AAACTACTCAACATGATCTCAAACTCCTTTACAAATTGTAAATAATCAGCCGGGTTTCCATCGAAACATCGTGGTTCAAATTTAGGGAGTTTGATGTTCCTATTATCCCTGAACGGCGAAACAGTAACATCAACCATGTCATGCTTAACATCAGACACATCGTTACAAGTAACAGACAAGTCACCATGACTTACTTTCATGTTTGCATCCAAGGCGCTCTGTCCCTTCTTTGACCCAGGCATTGTTGAACTTGACTCAATTCCAAAATGGTTCCAGATATTGCTTGTTCAAAGAGGACTTGACCGGCACCAGGAAAGATGAACGGTAACTATCCAAACTTTCACCAACTGTCTGAATCCGCCAGAATCTGTTTCTATCGTCAGAAACTGTCAGTCACGTCTCGCAAACCGTTAGTGCCCAGCTCTTGCTACGCTCGGGCTCACGCTGTTCCTTGAAGTTTTTCAGAAACGCTTAGTAATAACGGACGCAAAACCCAAAACAACGATTGGCGATCCCAGAATTCTTTATTGTAACACCAACATATAAAAAATAATTCCGCTAAGGTCTGTGAACAAATATTACAATAATAAATCACAATTTTACTTCTGACGGTTTACTGCTGACTTCTTTCTGAACAGCGACCGATGAGACGATGACTGTCGTATTGATGCCTCGGCGAAAATTGGGGAAGTTGGTTTTGAGCAAACAACCGTGAATCGATCGTTCAATCTTCAACTGCATTGACAGACAGTGTTCTCTTGACTTCTAGATATCGTAGCGTACCGTGAACTAAGAACTTTATCCATTGGTGAATAAGATCGTTCGCATGGTTTTAATCCAATGCTAGATAACTGCGTTTTGTAACCGCACCACTTTACGATCTATTCCTTAAATTATGTCGATCAGTGTGACGCCATTTAAGACTAGAGAAGGAACACCACGGGTTTTAGGAAAACCTATTTGTGTTCCTTAATATGATATCAATTTCGTAATTATAGGTAAATTAAGGAACTCACGAAGTAATTACATATATATGAACAATAATTGAGCGTAGAACGGAGGGTCGATTTTAAGGAATACCTTCTCGATACGGCTCACAGCTCACGTGAAGTAACACATGCCTACGTCTGAAGATACGTGTGAGGTGTTGCATTTAGCTGGTCTTTCGTCTCATTTGGACGCCTCCATATTTGACAAATGCTCAGTCCATGAATTATACTTGTACCTATAAGAATTTTACTAGAAAAGAATATCCTGCTGTGGTGTGGTGCTGTGTTACACTAGAGTTCCTCAGTTTACAGGTGAATCACAATAATATCAGTATTACCTGTTTTAATTGAAAAAGTAATTAGACTGTGTCACAGATGCTCTTGGCTGGATCCCTTAGTACCAAGTATTGTTCCCTATTAGAGTGCATTGAAGAAGCCGTGCGTGAAGATATTGTAGCTTCGCCGAAAATTGAATAGAAGCGTTTCACTTATACAACATGTACATAGTGATGAATACACTACTAACTCACTGTGCTCAACCCTATATTACCCCACAAAATTTTCTTGTCTGGAAATGAAACGTGTACATATATATTGTGTCAGTAACTGCAAATACACATTAACATCCAAATTTCATACGCCTTCTGTTTCACTACTCCATATGATAATAGTTTGCTGGTTACTTACGAATGTAGTGAAAAGTATTTCATGGACCAAAAGTAGCACTTGGTATTCAGCAGAGGTATGGGCATTTAGTGAAAGTATTTTTGATAATATGATGAGGTTAGCTTTTTTCTAATATATACGCACCTATCAACTCAGTGAAAAAATAATGACGAATTGTTACCACAAGCACTGTATTTACTATGGAGGGAATGTTATTACTGGCAAGTTTCACAGTGGCATGTATAAGTCATGCATGTCATTGCCTCAGTAATATAAGCATACTAATTGTACTACGACCCGAAGTGAGCAATCTCAAGGCTTTACAGCAACAATAGATAAGATTCTATTCTGATGAATCACACGGTGCTGTACAGCGATATTAACTGATGACGTTTCGAGCACAAGTTAGCCATACCAACAACTTTGTGGGAGGCGGATGTATTGAGAGACTGCTTGCAGACGCTACGTATGAAGACGTCCAGTAGAATGTCTACAAAGACTGAAAACCTGCAGTGAGGAAGACAAAAATGAAACAATTAGGAGACACATAACGCATAAAATAAGTATTGTTGATATAAGTATAAGACTTGGGCTCTGTGGCAGAGTATAACTCCATTATGGATAAGGTTTTACTTCGATAAATCAGTGTTGTAGAGTAATATTGGCTGATGACGTTTGGAGCACAAGCTATTGCTAATAATCACATCAAGTCATACAACTTTTTGCTTCATTTATATGCATACGTGTTGTATTTAAGCGTACTACAGGCATAAAAACCATCCATCTCATTCAGTTCTATTCTTGTGTCCGTGTTACTGACTTTCGGTTTATGTTTTCTTCTTCGATGCACTCTGTCTGGACAATTTAAGGAATTGGGAAATGCATAGAGTACTTAGGAAACGTCATTAATAATTGTTTAAGCCAATTAACACCGTAGTGAGTTGTGACACTGGGCAGTTGCAGTGATAAAGCTGACTGAGTTTTAACATGGAATTCAGCACAGTAGTGCAGTAGTTCGATTTGTTACATTCCACACTTGAAAAACATTACATTCAGTTGGTAATAAGCAAAACATTTCATCAGAGGTGTTTCAACTTCGCATTTGGGCTACGGGATAAGATAAACTAACTCATGAGATGTAACGAGATAGTGTAAAAGTTATCTCGGGTAAGAGGAGAAATTATTGTAAGATAACTCTTGTTTTCAGTTAGGCAAAAACCAAATGAAAAAAATACGATTATCATTTGTTGACATTTCGGTGATTATTATCCAATTTTTTACATTTCGTTATTCCCAAACTGTATGTCATCCTGACTGACCTTCAACATAGAAGCTTGCACGGAAGTGCGCCTGTTCAAGTTACCACATTCCATGAAACACACACAGGTAGAGCAAAAAGCAATTAAACGGAACTCTAATGAGTATAAATGTGAGGGAGAACGGATAGTGATAAGAATGAAATAAAAAAGTCGTTGACAACGATTTGGAATCGCATCTCTACCTAACAATATATGTTTAACCCCATTGTTACTCTTCATCTTATACTACTTGACACAGAAAATAGAACACATGCACCTACGATCAAACACAGTAGTCTTTTCATGTCTTCTAGATTTATTGGTTGCTTCCCGCAACCTAGGTGGGCAATATTATCAGCATTCTTTAAGTTGATGAGACTGTTCCGTGGTAAGTCCCTAAAGTGAACGGCAGACGAATCTGTAATTACATGCATGATGAAAGTGAACTAAAATAAGGACGAAAGTTGTATTGTACTACATCCTGCTTAGTAATATGAGTTCCCTCGTACTTTAGTTCCCGTACTGAGTGAGTAGAATGCAATCTGTGGAATTTGTGAAATTCACAAAGTGACAAACAGCCTCTTCAAAAAACTCAGTTGGTGTTTCCTCAGTAAAGTGAGAAACAGACATTGAGGTTGTGTAAAATTAATACATTGTGAACGGCTGCCACTGAAAATGACAAAAATTCTTACATTTACGAGTTATAATTTTGGCTTGATTGCAGCATTCAGCAATTGTTAAATGACCACTTGATGAGCACAGAATTTATACAGGAAGTGCATAAGATTTAGTAAAACATATACGCTTCTGATTTCAAAATGAAGTGTCCTTGACAAATGCGTAATGGCAAAAGCCTACACAGTTAACAAATGCTGAATTTGATATGGAGAGTTTTGTGAAGAAATTCCTCAGGAATTAGTTTTCTTATACGGAAGAGAGGGGAAGGCATTCATAATCTCTTGCTTCACTTGGAATTGCAATGCAACTCGATGCACAATAGTATTTATACGAATAAACTGAAAAATAAAGTCTTTCTCACCTGCTAAAAAATTTATTTTTATTCCAAATAAGGTGATAAGTTTTTTTACGCATAAGCTTAAGTTATGACCATGAAATCGGAATATTGTAGCAATTAAATTTTCCCTTAAAATAAAAGTCACTTCAAACACAAGTTCACAACAATGCTACATATTATGACCACAGTGTTAATGCTATTTGTCCAAAAATGAGCTGACTGCTATGAGTTCATAAAAACTGAAATTAATGCTGAAATTCAGCTATGAATACCAACAACAACTAAACTAATTAAGGCAATAGCGCCTCAGTTAATAGGCCGAATATACCAGTAGGATTCCATGAATATTAAAAGATACACGCTGAAATTTTGAACTTCCTACCTTATTTAATGCATCACATTGCGCAGGTATCAGTATCAGGAGATATTTCCTGATACAATGCTGTAAATGTAACGCAATTCAAGTACATTTTGCCGCCGATATTTTGTGAGTCGGAAATGTTTCATTTAAAAAGCGTATAAAAAACACAACTTGTTACTAAACCAACATAACAATAGACATGAACGCTACAATTAGCGAGGATATGCAATAAATCCACACTTCTGAAGCCGTGCTGGAAGTTCACTAGCTCAGCAGGCAGTTAATTCAATAATCTATCTACGGCTTAATATTTTCGTGCCAAGATATAAGTAGACAGTCAGCGCAGAAAGTTAAAGTGACCCCGGGCCCATCGTGTATGCTCGAAAGTGCAGATTGCTGAATTGGAATAGATACAAACACTACATGTGAAAACCTAAATTTGTGATGAAACATAAAAACCAACATATGCAACTGAACTGACCAACAAAGGTACCATTATGCGAAGCAGGTGTAAACTGTACAGAGGTGTTGAAATGACACTTGATATGAATTAGGACATAGTATGATTATACAGTCACATCACTAAGCAAATTTTGAAGTTTCGTTCGATTGACCTTGGCTGTTGTATGATAGCGGAATATTGAAAGTGTGCGCATTGTTACTGAAAAAACATGTGGTCTTCTGCTAAGTCACTTAAATGTATTGTTTCGGACGTCATTTGCAATGGCAAGGCTAATCGATTGCTGGAGATGGAAAATGCTCTTCAGAAACACAAACAGCTGTTATTTTCACCATTGTCATTTCCGGTAATTTTCATTTCATTTTTATTAGATACATTCTACAGGGTAAATGTGAAGGTGATTATCAAGCTGTTAAAACTGCTCAGAATGCTGGAGTTTTCCTACCAGAGTTTCCACATCGTGTTCTCCTGTCCGAAGATATCATTCAAGAGTCACTTTTTCTGAGTGAAGTTTTCAGGCTGAATGAACTGAGGGCTGTAGAACTCTGCCTAACAGGTATATACTTTCTTCATAAAAAGCAGTTAAAACATAGTTGAGAGTCAGCTTTCCTCATTCCCCCATCTTGCTCGGAGTTTAGTCGGTGTAATTCTCTACTACGAATCGCATCTGTCGATAATTGAATCCCTTGTTACCTTGATTGGTGCCCGTGATGGTCGAATGTGGTCAACTTCTGCAACTCCTGAAATTTGCCAGTCCGTTCACAAATTCACAGACGATTTGTTTGCAAGTGGAGCTCTTCAAAACATTTTAGGTAACTTCCTGTTCTTTAATGAAATCATTTCGTGTACACTGAATTACTTCACAATACAATTTATCGTTGTTTATCTTGACCTAAAGTTTTAATTGTTTTTCAGTTCATCTGCGCTTTATTCACGAGGAAAGTTTCTAGGGAAGAAGGCAGTTTCTATCCATGTTATAAGTATACACGTGATTTCGGATTATTATATTCTTTCTGTCATCATTCTACAGCAAACTCCCTTGTTTAAACTTTCAACAGGTGTTAATATATAAATACTTCGGGATATAGAAGCCTGATTGATTTTTTTTATCCCAAAACAGTTTAGTTATTCGCTTTTCTAGGTAGTGTACGCTGCTTTCTTCAGGTGGATGTAGGAAGTACTGGGAACTGGACTGCAAGTGAAATACTTCCTTTTTACCAAACGAACTTGAAGAAGGCGTATAGTACTCTTTTATATTTTCCCTATCTACCAACCATCGCTATTCACTTTCTCAATATCAGGTTATTCATTGGCAAAGTAATTATTGTTTCATTTTCTGACATGAATATTTCCTTATGCGCTCATTATTTGTGCTGTGATCTTGATATTTGTGTTCATTGTTATTATTGATAAGTTTTGTTATTATCTTATTTTACATTTATTCGCAGCGGTACCTGATAACACAGTGGTACTCATGGGATAATATTGTGAAAAATTTGTGGTTTGTTTAATCATATGATAAGATTGAAAGTTTATTGCAATAACACTTTTTCGAACAGGCAGCTTTTACCGGTAAAAATTTCGCATTTTTCGTCTTTTAGGTACTTTGCGATCATTTTCTGCGTATGAAGAATTTTCTCGATTGGAAACTGCACAGGTTTTAGGTGATTCTAAACATCGACATGATGTTTTCATGCTCCTAAAAAACATATCCGAAGGCTTAGCTGAATGTCTGATGCTATGGTCTTGTCAAAGCGTTTTAAATCTAAGTGAATTTAAGCTAGTTCTGGATTGTTTATTAACTCCGAAACCCCAAGCATTACCTGTAAATCCTAATGAAAATAAAGGTCAGTTAATATTTCAAATCAACAGTCAGCTTACAAGAGAAGGCGTACATTTGTATATGGCTTTGCTGTATTGTTTCCAACCTTTTTCTTCGAATACAATATGTGCTGATCAATTATCAGATCTAACAGATTTTGGTAAGTTTTGATGTGTATTTGATCTTACCAGTTCACGATATTGCAGAATAGAGCGGGAAAATCCCTTTTAATTTCCTGTTTCATCTTATCCACTTATGTGCTTGTAATGTATTGTGGCACTTACTAGTCATATTTTCAGAAATATATTCTCATTCCCCGTAAATACTAGAAAGGTCTCCTTAATTTCATTTCTCAAATATTCCTTGATCATCAATTTATGGTTAGAACTTATTTAAGTGGAATAAGCTATAGGCCACACATATTACGTGTGGATTGATGCTTATGTCCAATTGCCTAGGTTGAAGTAGGTGAAGGGAGACTGGAACTCGAAACTTGGTCGCTAAAAGCCAAATGCCTAAACTAATAAGCTTCGTCCCCATTAGTGTATAAGCTTTATCTAAATCCGAAATCCTATAAACAAAAACCTGATTTTCAATAACGATCGTTGTGAGTAGGGCAGATTTCTAACATTTTGTAATACATTTAGTTGTTTGGTTTTATACACTCGAATGTTTGCTAACAACTGGATATATTATTACTTTAAAATATGTAAATAAATGTCTTGCAGGAGGGGTTGTTAGGTATGCTAAACCTTCTTGGTTTCATTCTTTGGTTCTTGTATTTGTCATGTGAACATTTAATTCAAATATGCCTATCCTAGTAGGGCTTAAGCATTCTCATGCATTTCTCCGACAGCCTCAGGATCAATGAAGAGTTCAATTCCTGTGTTATCTGCTCCCAGTGTGGCATTCATATTGCCCGTGAGGATTTTGATGTCACCATTTGGGATGTCCATTACTGTTTGTAGTCATCTGTAAAAAGCCTCCTTCTTTTCTTGTTCCGCGTTGTTTGTAGCATTGTGCGTTGCATTGGATAATTGTGACCTTCCTGTCTTCCCTTTGAGTTGAATCTTGCTGTCATGATCCTGCAGGATGAAATTGGTTCCCACTGTATTAGGGCTTTGGCTTCCACTGGTGACACCATGATAGCCACTTCCTAAGTGTGTTCGTGGTTGTCGTCTAGGGGACCGGAGTAGATTATTGACTCTCCTGTTGATAATGTTGTCAATCCACATCCATTCCATCTGCTTTCGCAGGTACCCAGTACTTCTAAGCCATGTCTTCTCATCTCTCTGGCTACCTGGGTAGCCTTCTAAGTCTCATACATTGTACGCACATTCTACGTCCCCATTCTTATTCTTGCTTTCATCGAGAGAAGACATATCGGCTGGATGACTAGCTTCCCGAAGGCTTTCACCAGCCCGCTGTGTCATTTCGCCTCTCCGATCCCAGCAAAGAACAAGGTTGTTATTTAATTTTTGTATTTTTAACATATTTTCTGCGCGTTGAAGTTTCTCTAGCGGTTTGATAGGTCTAGTGTTGTAGGGTAGCTAGCCCCACGCCCAACCCTCCCTCTTTACCCGGGCTTTAGCTAGTTAACTAGGCGAGGTTGCTTATCCTAGTAATATACGCAAATCAGGAGATATTATAGAATAACCGGGGTAGTTTAAGGTTCTAAGTTATTTAGTATCTAAATTATTCATAATAAGAAATTCACATAATCCCAACAGTGCAATTGATATCTGAGCACTGTTTTGACATGGATGAATAGGTTTCCGCGGACATTTATTTCAAAGCTCATTGGTTAATCAGGATATGACTGACAAAAAATTAATTAGGTTTTCGAATATGTTTGATTTTAGTCTTAGTGTTTACCATTAGGTTTATTCAGTAACCGATATCAAGTGAAAAACATGCGTGCCAAATCAACTTAACTACTTGCATTATATCTTAGTGGTGCAAGCTGGTTCACATTGAGTTGAAAAAACTAAAGGCAAATAAGGGTCATATAAACCACAATGTCAAGACTTCTAAGATGAAGGCAAATAACGGCTTAAAAGAACTCAGGATTAAACCACCTAAACCGCAGCGAAAATGACAGTCATATTAATTTATGTCCAACTATAGGTTATGGCTATCACATGTATGCAACTCAGACAATCTGTGCCTTCCTAGAAGCTCCTGATTAGCAATTAGTATTTTGTTCATAGATTAGTTTGACGCACTAATCGAAAGTGCCTTTTATCGTCTTCCAGAGTAAATCTAATTAGCATATCAGGATAGTTTATTGATCAGACGTATTTTTCATAATAATAAAGCATTCTAATTCCAGGCTTTGTATCTTGTCTCTTATCGGACATCAAAACAATGTCATAAATGTTTATGTGGGTCAACACATGTATCTTGTTTAATTTTACTACTGCTAAATACCTTCGTTTGATAAATGCTCTTATTTTCTGACATTTCATGTTGATTGGTATTATTTTTCCACAGATTTGTTTCATCCTCTCTATACTGACCGCTCATTTGCATCCGGTATTGGGCGTTTATTGGATGAGAAAAAGGCTTTATATGAAAATCATACTAATGAAGATCGTTCAGAAAAGTTACAGTTATTGGCACTAATAAGACTATCGTGGGCAATATGCCTACGTAGGACAAGTCATTTACGTGCTGAACTACGCCGTCGTCGAAGTGCAGACGTAAACTCTAGTACAAACTGTAAAGACGACTTTGGTATTGGTGGTGATGAAGCAGATGAATTACAAGCGGCTTTAGCTATCGAGTCAGGTGCCTTAGAATTCGCTCGTAAACAGATCTTAAATACTGCTGACTTTGAACGTGAGGTATGTTGTGCATGTATATACTGTTGATCTGTCAGCATTATTTACACTTTTCATTTTAAGAAATAAACTGATGACACAACTCTTACTATCTAAAGTATAACAACATCAAATATCGGAACATTGAAGCACTACATGTGTCTATCCATTTTCAAGGGTAAAGACATAATTACTGTGACAAGAATAATTCATCACAACTTTTTGATCAGTACTACAGTCATCAGTATGACTGACTGACTTAGTTTCAACATAGAACGATTTTGAGCTATGTCAACAAATATTTATCTCCAGGTATTGATTCTTGGCATCCCCAGAACTGCAACGAGGCAACCTATACCTCCTATGTGGCTCAAGCTAACTGCCATAGACTTTATGGATTTATACCAGGTTTTGATTTGATTACACCTAACTCTTCCAACCTAATTGTATGCAAGCTAATATGGTTTGTTGAGGAAGGCTGCGGCTCGGGATGCGCAACACGTTTCGTAGCGATCTTATAACTTGATCGATTGACTTCCCTTCCTTACTTAACACTCGGCACCTAACCTCAATGTTGGTCACTGTATTATGCCACTCAACAAGGGAGATGCTCCATCAGTTTTCATAGATATACTTAATGTTTAATCGAAAAATAGCTTTTTTGTGTAACCTTCGTATGCTTTCACTTTTACACTACATTACTTTAGTATAACGCCTGATTGTGTGGCACTTTGAAGTTTCAAATTTACTTCAAGTCCATCGCAAGGATAATATGCATATAAACGGAAGAGTCATTTTCAAGTAAATTACGAAATATCCTGCACGTGTACGACTTTAGGCTTTGTGAGCGTTGTTCCAAGGATTTAGCATCAGAATTTTATCTCTTTGTGTAGTCATTGTGTTAACTTAGTTTGTAATGCGGAATTATTGTAAAAAGTTCAAGGTAGTAGGGTATGACGTAAATTCTGTATTAAACTTTAAACAATGAGGAGATTTTCTGTCCCTAGGAGAACCTGCAAACATGGGATGCGTTTAACAATTCTTTTTCTATCATATACAGTACTTCATTTTTTAATGTTTTATTTTTCAAATAATGAGATACTTATTTTTATTTTTGTAGCCACTGTGGGTGTATCGTATGCATTGTATTATTACTGATCTAATTGTACATATGCCAGCTCGAATAAAAGACATTCGATTACGTGATGAAGATTTACTAAGATCTACAGGTTTTGATCCATCAACTACTGGGCATGGTTTTGCAAACCTTTTACTCTTAATCGCTCAACTTTATAATCAGCCTGGTTCACGTCTTCACAGTCGACTAGCTTTGGAGTATTGGTGGCCTGTAGGTGAACTAGCTAATATTACACCAGCAGTCTTAGGCTCAAATGACTATTTGTCAACAGGGATGGCTAGAAAATCGCCCAGGCCAAAGTTGATTATCTACGGTGCTCAGTCACGAAATGCTGAGGTTGATAATATTCGACAGGTTAGTTTTTTACCCATGATGTTTCAATCGTTCATATTGTGTACTCGCATTTGTGTCAGGTATTCTAATCACCCTCCTTGGTGACACGAAAGCCTCAATGAAGAGGTTATGTGTTCGTAATGCCTGGTTCCCCGTAGTAAGGTGAAGCAGCTGTAATTAGTTATCTGATTTATGACTTTTCATGTATATTGGGCATTTAGTGAAAAGTAGACATACGAAAACTTCTGGGCACATTCGAAATAATTAGCTCCATTGTCTCATCTTACATTCGAGTTTGAGATTTCTCCGGGAAAATAACAAAAATGATTATATTTAAAATATCCTCTTTTCATATCAATCTTGCAATTCATATCACTTAAGTTTGTAGTTATAGACAAAGTTGGTAATCTGCCATCTGCGTCTATTGAGGCTTTACAGTTCAATTATTTTTCAAGGTATTTTGGGTGTATGTTCTCCCATCCTCACGCTCAGAGCGCGTGTGTATATATGTGTATATGTGACTACACTCACAGATGTAAATTGGTATATACTAGGGGATGTGACACAGTCGCTTGTGCAATGTTAAAGCTTATAGTAGAGCATATTTTTAACTTTTTCAACAACTATAAGCCCGGCTACATATTAGGTTTTACAGATGACAGAGTTCAATCTCTTTTTTTTGACAAGAGCTTCTCTCAGTATTTTATTTTCATCCTCGATAACCTCAACTGTACAGATACTCTGTGAATCCTCTTGCATAAGCAATTTACTAAATCTGTCGTATATTGTAACAGACAGAAACGTTGGAAATTTAAGCATTACCATGTACAACTAAGCTTTTTATAAATTGACCGCTTTATTGAACCATCCTCTCTCCGAGTTAGAAGTATGATGATATTAGATGGTTGGAGGTAATCGGTAGGAAGCCGTGGACCTAGGTTTTGTGCTAGTTGACACGCATCAGTCAGCAAGGTGTATCTGCAACCTTGAAGGAACTAATGTCCCTTCTGAGATTCGAACCCGCGTCACCCAGTGCCGCAGTCAGAGATGTTACCACTGGGTTGGCTATTCGCGCTCGCAACTGACCTCCTGTAGGACTGTAGTAGATATTTTGATTTGACACTAAGAACTAGTGTGGTGTGTCTAGTCCTCTATTTGGTGCAGAGTTAAGAGTATGTTTAGGTTAGTAAGTTAGTTGCAACTTTCTTCCTCACATGTAAGTCTTAAGTGATTTTGTTCAGATTTGAGTCTGTTCAGTGGACGAGTGGCATCTTCATGATTATTGCATGTCAGAATAATGTCATCAACATATCTCCTATAAAAATGCACTTTAGCATTTAAATCACCGGACAGATTTTTATTGTAAGACGCATACACATCGGTCAACAGGGGGTCCTAATGGACTCCTCATAACAACCCCCTTCAAATTGGTGAAATGAATATTAGCAACAGAATGATTATTCTTCATACATATAAGTGAATAATGTCAATATAGATTCCTCACTTTCGAATGGGAAACAGAGAACTACGTGATCAACTTGATATTTCTTCAGGTGTCGCATAGCACTAAAAGATAATTCGTTCTTTTTATTGTAACTTGCTTAACGGTGCGATTTTCGGTCTCTAGGATGGTGTTATGTGGTGAATGGAAATATTAACAAACCAATTATGAGCGATTTGTGATTCTCAGTTATTTTGTTTGTACAACACTTAACAAAATCGGACATTATAAAGTTGAAAAAAATTGTGACATTGAAGGCTTTCCAAAAGTGAGTAGATGACCTGATGGACAGCAATAGAGGAAGGGAAAGCGGTGTATTTGTCCTAACAGCCTAATATCATTCATTCGTGCGTCGGTGACACACCAGTGGAATGCTCGCCAACCACTGATGTGGTTTGAGGTTCAATCCCCAGCCGACGCACTCATTTACTCCGCTAAACCAGTAAGAAGACTGGTAAAGAGGGAAGGCTGGGCTTGAGGCTAGCAACCCCATCCGTGAAAAATAAACACCACTGCACCCGAAACTTCAAAGCTCTAACTTTAAGCTCTATGTTCCACTGGGAACGTAAAGGAATAAAAAATATCATTCATTCCGAACCCACCAGTAGAATTACCCATTTGATCAAAATAAAAACAGTGAATTGTGTTTAGCTATCTGTTGTCAGCTGTCGGTTGACTGCTCAGCAGTGTTCGTTATTGCTGTTTTCCCATCTAATAGAATTAAAACTAAATTCTTATTGTTATTATCTCTGCATAAATGTTTTTTGTTTTTGTATTACAGGCTGCACTTATTCGATTTTTGAGATTAGCTGGAGATATGGTGACAACACCGTGTTTATTTCTACCCTACCTACGCATGCTTCATAGTTTATGCTGTTCACGTAGTGCAGCTGGACTTTGTTTCAGTCTTCTTAAGGCGAATGCAAGCAATCCAGGTATTAGTTTTCAGTTTAGTGCACTTTTATGCATTACATTTATTCATTAATGGATAATTCTTATCCCTTAGGCTTTTTATTATTATATTTTTTTGTTACTCTATTGTGTTTCGAGTGAATGACGAGGCTTCAACAATACACCTCCATTTCACTCCGTCCTTTGTAGTCATTTTAAACTGGTTCTACGATTACCCATAAGCTTTCATTTCCTCCTCACACGATCTTCCTCGAGCCCGGCACCCAACGCATAATTTCCTCTTGAGGTTCTATCCTTGGGACTGGTGTGTGATGTAACTTTGCGTTTTCCTTAACGCGTGTCTGATCCATCTCCATTTCCTTCCGCATATTTGTTTGGCAATAGGTTCTTAGTCTGGGCAAATGTGTAGCTGTTGATAAGAGACTGAAACCTGTTCGAACTGCTTTTGGTGAGGCGCTTATTGTCTGAACGATATAGGAGAGAACTGACTTGACATTAGTGTTGAGTGCAGCAGATTTCCATGCTAACTACAGATCCGTAACAATCTACCTTTCTGATTCTCACTGATTTTAACGTCCTTCTCCGTGTCACCCTTAGTTAAAATGATGCTGTCTAGATAGGTTAAAAAAGTGGCTTCCTTCACATTTCTCCCGTGGTATGTTTATTACCTCTGTCTTCTCTATGTTCACTTGGAATCCTGTCTTCTTTGGTTCTTCTGCCAACTTTTCGTTTTCATACAGTGTCTGCCTTTATTCTTCTCCTTTGAAATGCTTTATGTATACTTAGGTATATACTGATAAAGTATAAGCATCATAGTACCATCAATGAAGTATATTGTATTATATTATGCATACTTTTATGTTTTATTCAATAATCCTGAGATTGTGATACCACTTAGTCACCAGAACAGAAGAGGAAAAGGGGTCAAAATTCGAGATATACTGCTCTTTAGACTGCTTAATGACACCATCGATGAAGAAATTAATACAACAAAGTTGGATGCAAGAGTGTATATACGACTACAAACTATAATTATTAGATGAAAGCCAGTAATACTATGCGATTGGTGAAACCAAAGTTTGAAAAATAGTTTCGAACTTCGCCTAGTTTAGTAGCCGGTCGTCGTCCTGGAAAAAGAAGGGAGGCTGGGGTTGGCGTTGGGGCCTAACAAATATGCAGGGGGAAATGGATACGTAGTGGATATACCTTGTGGAAACCTTTGAGTGACATCACGCACCAGGCCCTGGAGTGGAATCTGACCAGGAAACAACAAGTTGGGCATCCGAGGTTTATAAGGAGGTGGTCGTTTAAGGAGAAGATGAAAGCTTATGGACAATCGTGGAGTCAGTTAAAGAGGACTGTGGAGAACATGATGAAGTAAGTACTGCTGAAGCCCTATGCTCCATTCGGAACCCAAGGGAATACTGATAACATAAAATTAAAATGGTTTTGAACCCGAACTAAAGGCCGTCCTACTCAATCGGCTAATAACTTAACTTTCTTTAACAGAGATTCAAATTTGGAAAATATGCACAATTTCAATGTGTGTAAATTTTCTCACATTACCTTATTTAATATTTTCGCGTTTTAATAGTAATTTGATCTCCTTCTTATCCATAGGCGATTTCTAAATTAGCTTTATGTTAGAAATTTCGAAATTCAAGTCTTTTTCGTCAGTGTATAGTGATCTTTAAATGACGCCATTACAATACATTCCGAGTTGAACAATAATTAGTCGTAAGGAATCTGTTTCTGGGTACTTCGGTTGATTGGTCTATTGTAGGCTTCGTGTGCTTTTGGAAGCGTGTGGGCTGTTGTTACTTCCCGGCTGCTCACACCGTGGAAGTTGATTGATTCTTCGGGTACCTGAAACAGAAAGAGGGTTAGTGTTGCGTGTCCGCAGAGCCCAGGGGACAACTGCTTGAGGCAAGTCACACACGGCCTGTGTGAACTGGTTCCTGGGATTGGTTCCGCATTAGTAAACTTATCGCCGGTTACGGACCACCGTAGGGTAAGTCGGGATGTGCAATTTTCGGGGTTGACCTTTTCTAACCCCCTCTGTTCAGTGTGCAGAGGCAGCATAGCTAGCATGCTGGTCATCTGAGGGAAACACTTCACTGCTGTTACATCCTTGTTCCCCAGCAGTACGACTTCGACCCCAGACCCCCAGCATAGTGTAAGAAAAATTCTTACACAATGCCGGAAACTGCTTTTAGTCTAATCGCTATCCTAACAACCTTTCTGGCATGGTAGGACCTGCAGGAACAGTAGTTCCAACCAGTGTAGCTTGTTGGGTCACCGCGATGTGCAAGCCTGACCACGACGTCAAGGTGGCAGCTATCGGTCGACTAATCGACTAATAAATTGTGAAACAACTCAAAAAAAAAACAACAACAGCTGAATCTCAATTTTATTTTACTCTGACTATTAAAGAACAAGGGAGAAACACATTATCACTTTGTGAGTTTGTTGGGCTAAGGGTTTAAAAAGATTTCAGCAGGGTGTGAATGTGATGGTATTCCAACTCGCAACACTTTATACTGTCTAATATTACTCCCCATCTGTTTTGGCGTAGGTGATCAAAGTAGAAATTTATGAGTGCTTGTCATTTCCCAGCTGCCCACACCACTGATGTGGTTTTCTTCTTAGTGTACCTGAAATAGAAGGAGAATTAGTGTTGTGTGACTGCAGAGCCCAGGGGGACAACTGCTTGAAGTCATTCAAATGTGGTCTGTTTTTAGTGATTATTGAAGTTCAGGTTGTAAGAGATCTTACCACCGCTAAGCAAGTTGGGTTGTACAATTTTCGAGGTCGACCTACTCTGAACTCCTTTCCTTACCAGAGCGGAATGTGGCAGAATATCTGGTCTGTCAGTCATTTGAGGGAACCATCTTACCTCTTTTATATCCCCATTCACCAGCAGTACGACTTGACTCATAAGATTCCCAGCATAGTTTAAAAGACCTACACTATGATGATAACTGATTTTAGTCTAACCGGAATCCAAACAACCTTTTTGGGATTGTAAGACCTTCAGGAACATTGGTTCCAGTTATCTTAGCTCGTTGGGTAACTGCAATATGCAAGCGAGCCCATTCACGGTAGCTGCTATCGGTTGGTTTTGATCGGAATGGTTAGCTCACACTTACTGTCTAATACACATACATGTATATCTTGTTATATGGTCGTATTATTTCATACTGTTTCCTCAAAAAATGTTAAGATGTGCGAAAGATTCTTTTTAGGTAAATTAAGTATATTGTAGGTGAAACATTTTAGAGATTACATTCTTGATTATCTTCATTCATGTTTTAATTTCTGCGTAAACAGGTCGTGGTGCATCATTGATCACTTGGGATCATTTCTTTAACAGTTTTCGGCAATATTTAAATCATATGAAGCAAACAGTTGTCCAACCTGAATCAACAACAAATCTTCGAGTTCAGCCATCAAATCAACTTTATCCACATATTTACTTTAATGATGGAATAGGTGGAGGATCTCGTACTACTAGGGGGGCAGGTCTGTCACGGCCAACAGCTGAATCTATGTATGGTAGTAGAAGAGGTGTTGGCGCAATGGAACTTTCTACAACAACAGCAACAACGCCTACGACTAGTCAACCACGTGCTATTCAACCTGAAGAACAAGCTGGTTTACAGGCTGTTTTAAGATTGGTTGCTCGTATCTGTCGTATGGTAAGTGCTTCCCAATGTGTAGTGAATTGTGTATACTTTTGTAACAATTCAAGATTGTTCTATCCATTATCTCAACAATAGATTGTTGAAATACTTCACGGAGGCTATGACCGAAGGAACTAAGGAACTACTCCACGGACCTTTGACTTGAAGTCTGATGCACAAGGTAGCGGAGCAGCGTCAGAAGTCACCTTACAATGGTCGCTGGTGATCGAAACTAGTTCGTACACCATGCAACCCTATCGATATCTGGAGATCGTATTTACCATAGGTTTGAAATCAGGATCTTCCAACTTCCCCAGGTAGATCTGAATGTTCATAAGTCCGGTTATAATCACGGAACATTCACATTCTCCTTTCTACTTTTTTGTGAACACCACTCATGACGTCGATAAAATCTCAAAACAATCATTCTATACCCAAACTTAGCAGTACGAATCTAGAAAGGTACTGATTATTAATTTAAATGGGTTCGAGAATTTTACGTTTGTCTTCCTAAGGTTCTCAACACTTCAGAAATAAATAATTGGAGGCTGTTAGTGATTTGTTATGATCCAACTTTTGGATGCCTCACCTTCACTCCACTCATATTGGGTTTATCGTAATATCACTAAATATCTTTTCACCTTCTTGCCTACTGTTCTGGAGTGTGACCAGTTAAATTGAAAATATTTCATACTCTCTGTATTGATGTAAAATTGCATGGACGATGATCAAATTCTGACTCTTGAATAGTCTGTGAAATACGCATACTTTTCGGTGTATGGTACTTTGCATATTTCTCGGCTTGGGGGTGGGATTCGACTTAAGTGGTCGGTTAAAGTCGGTCAAGAGGTGGTGTGACAATATCTGTCTGTGAAAAGTGTATCAAAGAAGTGTGTTCTATCAATCAGAACGCTGTACGGTAAATCATGGAGCCATTCGAGAAGAGTTGTTTTCAAAGGGTAGAACACTTACTGGTGTCGTTCCTGGATGCGTAATGTCACAGTTCTTAATTAATTCATTGTAGATATACTGATGGATGTTATAGTCTGGTTAACTGAGATGTCTCACGAATTAGGTCTAAGGTAAACAGATGTAGGCTGACAAAATACAGCATTTTCTGAGCAACCTGAACAAAAATCTGGTTATGTTTGGCATGTTATTCGCCTCTATCACATGTAAGATAGTGCCGCATAACTAGTCTGCATCGACTTCTAGTTTAAAAGTTGGAAATGACATGGCTAAATGTGTTCATCTCTTTACTTATTTCTGAAGTTCTATCTACTTTCGTACAGTGGTTGTCAACATAATCTAAGCCCTAGTATACTCTAACTCCTATTTTTACTCAGGTTCTATATCAGACAATGCACCAAAGTGTATGCACTGTGTAGCAGTTCCTTTTGTCCTTCTTCTTCACAACAGCTAAACATGACTACTATAAGTTAAAATAAATGCAAAGATAAGAGGCTATTCATGACTTCATTTATAATTACGTGAGCTAAATGCAGCAAAATGGTAAGTAGCCATCATGTTAGTCAGGACTTTAGATAAATAGGTAGAGTCAGTCAATGAAGTGTTGTAAAGCTCCATTGATCGAATTGGTTGTGAGACGTGACAAGTCACTGCTAATTTGACCTAATTCAAATTAGTTAGGGAAGATTGTATGGCTGGTCAAACCGAAATATATCACCCATAAATGATTTTTTTTAACTGTTGGTATGGGTCAAGTGATAAAGAGGTGTCGACTGTCTGATCTGTGGTCTACGAAATCCCTGAAGTGATGTTATTTTGTGCAATATTCTGTGTTGTCTAACCGACAGTCAATCATGTTGATATATACTTCTATTTGAATAAAGTTGTTCAACTGCTTTACTTCTTTTTCGTATGTTTTCTTTCTTAGGATCCAGTTGCCCGTTCAGCATTCATCTCTAATCCTCAATGGCAATTGCTACCTGTATGCATGGGCTTTCTTACTTGTTCGGTTTCATTAGATTTAAAAGCGGATGTTTTATACCTACTTACTGAATTGTGTAAAAGTCAACAAAATATTCCATTATTATGGCAATATTTTGTCAGTGCAGAGGTGAGTTTATCCATTTAAGGGGAAAAAATTATTTGTCATTGAAATAATTAGCAGCATTATATATTAACTAACCAACGGGTTATTCCATACCTTGAGAATTTCCTGGTGTCCATTATTTTGTATTATCATGATAATTTCTTAGTTGGTACCAAAGGCGAATAGAGGTCAAGACAGCCAATGATTTTTCACATATCAAAAGATGTCAGTTCATTTTATTCTCAAGGCGTGACTCATCGCCTTAAGCTCTCAACTTCCAGACACTGTGTCTCGAGTTCGAATCTCACTCTGCCTCCTTAAGCCCGGGCAACTTGTGTGGTATCATCAGCCCTAATGCAATAAATGTGGCTTATAGCCTAGAGCGTGAAAGAGCTGTTTCAGGGACTGATTGCGAATAATATTATTCTCAAGGTGGTAGATTTCGTCACGAATAGACATCAGTTAGAAAACCGTTGAAACAACCAATGAATACTGCATTAGGTGTCTCCTTCTAGTTTGGAATTTCTCAACGATACACACCTATGTTTCTTGTTTTAAAAAATCTTATTGCCACATAATTGTGTAAGGTGATATTATAACCGCATATAACTCACTGTGTTTATCAATACAAACCTTTGTACTTGTCATCAATGAGGTATATCTGCAATCTTTACAGATTTGTGTAATCACTACTATTCTGTTTTGATGTATTGTTTGGCATAATCAAAGAAGTGAAAATGTCTACTATGCAGATTAAAATCCATTGTTCTATAGATTACTATCACTTTTTATTCCTTAGGTCCTGAGTGCCATGTTAGGGCTTTGGTTCCACATCTCCATTTCTTTAGGATCTCTGGCATCATTTCCAGCTGGCTCCACGATTACCCACAAGATTTCATTCCACATTCACACGGTCTTCTCCATGTTATCCTCAGACCCATCGCTTTTCATTCGGGTTTCGATTGTGGGTCTAGCGTGTGATGTCACCTCAATGTTTGCCTAGCGTTTTTCCAATCCATATTTGTCGAGCAATAGATTCTTGGCTGGTTGCTTATACTTTCCGGTCATTCGATCATCAGTACCAAAAGATGGGGGGAGGACTGTTAGTGGAAATTTCTAAAGGCTGTTGAAAATGTTTGCTGTGACGTGCACGCCAAGCATATAAATCATACAGAAAAGTACTAACTTGACATTAATGTTTCAAATTTGCTTATTATTCATTTTACTAACTGTTGTGAATGCCTCCACTTATATTAGAATAATGAATGCCTGTCTTGTTTTCCCTATCATAGCTTAAATTCTATTCCATCTGCTCTCATATATTCATAACACTTCTATTGCATATCTTCTTAATTCTTCTGAATTCTGATCAGCCTAACCAGCCTTAAACATAATGTGGACACACCATAACCTTATACTTACTTTCATTGTAAGAAGACATACTGGCTGACTCGTTTCAAGATGGCTTTTACCAACCGGAATTATCCGTCTTCAGATTAAAAAATGTAAGCAGTCCATCGCTTTCCTCGAGAAATAATGTTAGTTGACATAGGAGCAGGTCGGAATAGAGCTAGCGGTGGTCAAACCAAAACTGCGAATCGGTTCATGAAATATTTGACAGTTTGAACCAAGTAGGGATGTGCAGATGGTCACGTGGATCGGGGTCCTCAAGATCCTAAGAACCAATACGTGGAGACAATTGCTGATGTGTCTGTCCCTAAATCGTTTTCAATGGCACAGATGCATTCACTCTTCGTGATTTCCTATATCCACTAAAACCCTATTTTTTCCATGTTCGCATCCTTCCCCTTCACATTTGTGCTAATTATCGTTCTTTTAATTCTCTTATCTTTTCCGTCTTCCTTTGTGTGGTGCATGGAGTGTGACAACACGAGCTAGTGTACTTTTGTGCAGAGTTCTATGTTGAATTTCAGTCAGTCAGTCAGCTAGTCGTTACGCGATTTCATCGAAGAAAACGTTCAGTCTTTTTTATGTGCTCTGAAGTTTCCGTATCCAAAGGTGTGTGTGCGTGTGTGGGATTTTAACGTGGTTAGGTTTTTATCCACACTCCCCATCTTCCCTATTTTCAAGGGCTTAAGATCGATCAGTTAGTAAAGTAGACGAGATAATAGTTTATTTTGGAGGATTTTTATGCATACTTGTGGATGCCGGGTAATCAGTTGTTAAAATGCTTGTGGAACTGTATTCTATTTGTTTTTATTATTTGTTTTTTTCTCATAGTTTATTATTTTCGTCTTTACTAACACATTTGAGGAATGTTTATACATATTTTTCTCCAGCTTTTACCTTTTAACTTACAACGTGCTATCGGTCAGCCTCAATCATCTGTTCACGGTTTGAATGTAAGTATATATTTTAATTTGTAATGTAAGTTATGCAGAACTATGAATACTAATTCCATGCATCAAACTCTTGGTAGTGTGCTCACGCGTGCGTGTGTGTGTCGGTTGTTCTCTTGCATACACAGGTCCAAACATAATTGATTTACAATATTTTCTCATCTTTTCCTTGTTATGTAACCCCAGGTGTTTATTTGTAACAGATACAAATTTTGTTTAGTTGTCCGTGTAACATAACACGTTGTTAAACTCCACTATATCCATGTGTATCTATTTATAGGGAGTTTAGTGTGGCGAAATAGATTAAGGAAGAAAATTAGATCCAGCGTAATACTGAATTCCCAGCTCATCTGAATATTCACCCCATTTCATAATCGAATTATATGGGTCTCCAACTATTCAGTTCATATTCAAGTATTAGTTTGTAGGGATTTGGTTGAATGGTTACAGGATTTCATCATGAGCTGACATTAGTTAGAGAACCATTGGAAAACCTGGGAGTACTGGACAGTTTTTTCGTCCTCGTTTGGGACTATTCAGCTGTACGCACCCACCGGGGTTCGAACCCGGGACCTTCTGATTACAAGGCGAGCTCGTAGACCATTAAGCCACTGGGACCTGATCCAATGAGCCATGAATTCTAACTTCTGCCAATTCAGGGTATCGCGCAACCGCTAACCAATGTCTCCGGCGAGTATTTGTCCTCACACCCGACCTACTGCACCTTACTGGTCACGACTTCTCGCTCTCGGGTCCCAGTGGCTTAATGGTTTACGAGGTCCTGGGTTCGAACCCTGGTCGATGCGTACTGATGAAGAGTCCAAAACGGGGACGTAACAGCTGTTCAGTACTCCCAGGTTCTCCAATGGTTCTCGAACCAGTGTCAGCTCATGATGAAATCCTGTAACTATTCAGTTCATCTTCTCACAGTTGATTTAATGAGTTGCATTTCAATAATTAGCGTTTACTTTGTAATTATACACGATCATATGATAGAGAAGATTTGTAGCTCAGGTGGATGATTTTGATGTGGTTTTGTTCTCTGAGCTGGATGGTTAGTTTGCGAAGCTTTCATCACTTTACTGGGTGACATCTTCAGCGCATACTTCAATTTGACTTCAAATTGAAGTATGCGCTGAAGATGTCACCCAGTAAAGTGATGAAAGCTTCGCAAACTAACCATCCAGCTCAGAGAACAAAACCACATCAAAATACACGATCATATCCATGCACGACAAGCATACTCTTGTATCGTTCATGAGAGTCAATCTCTTTCTCCTTCTTGATACTCCCTTTGAGAAGTATATTTCCTTTTTCAGGTTTGAGTATAAAAGCCACTAAGAACTAGGCAGTACTGGACAGCTGTTTCGTCCTAGTTTGGGATTGTTGAGTGGTACATATCTATGGTGGGGAGAGGTTGAACCCAGAAATTTAAGGATACGAAGCGAGTTCGTTGACCATTCAGCCACAGAGTCCAAATCATGAATTGGCAGAAGTTAAAATTAATGGGTCATTCCATTCTGTCTAAGCCCCTCATGACTTGAAAGTCCTGTGCTCCATCTCTTATCGGGTTATATAGGTGCGTACTGACGAAGATTCTCAATGTAGGACGAAGCAGTTGTGCAGTACTCCCCTGTTTCTCAATGATACTCTAACTGAAGACAGCCAAACTTGAAATCAATGAAATCCCTGGAAACTAACACATGAAGGTATTTGCTTTTATCTAAAAAATAAAGACACCAAACACAAAAAAGTTGAAGTGAATGAAATCTAAATACTTCACAGGGGTATGTGGATATGAAAGAGAGCGAATCAAGCATCCTATATGATCGTATAAAAGCGAAAATTCAATCCTATGACAGAATATTGTTCCATATTCGATGTCAACTATCCAATGCTGTAGAGCGATTGCTCTTCAAATAACCAAATTAAAATTAAAATTATGAACCACATATTCACCTTTAAATTTAAACTTTCCAGCAAGATATTCGTGAGCACTCACTTCATAATCACTTACATTTACATCCAATTAGTGCAGACGCCCCACTAGGTCTAGGGTTCGAGTCCTACCTCATCTACTTCAGCCTACACATAATAAGCTTGGCTCATATTATATGATAAATGATACACCTTTTCCCGATACCTGGGTTCAAACAACCATCAAGTTAGCAATGAACCCCACACCTTATATGTGTGAGTTAATGAAACTGTCTGGTAGGTGGAATGAAGTTCGAACACACTGTGGTCAGAAGTTGAGCACTGGCGCCAGTAATCCACAACTCCATGATAGGATATTCCCTTTTTATTGTTTTCTCCCCATATTAACTTTTCATTGAATAACTGATTTCTGCCTCCTTCTTCTTATTGTTTTTTTTGTTTTTGTATCTTTACCAGACTGATATGGATGAAGTCGAACCACGAGCTGAAGAATATCCACTAACAAATGCTTTTCTTTCACTGATGACAGTTATCCTACCAAAATTGATTAACTATCCTATAGTTAGTAGTAATGTCTTAAAATCTACTGATGCTAAAGATACTATGATTACTGCTTATGATGGAAATATGATTCAAGTTAATCCTTTTGTTTCAATAACTTCTTTCATAACAAATACAATATTTTTACGGCATACTATGCGAGCCTATCGTAATCCAATGGAACGTGTAAGTTATTGTTTTCTTAAAGGATAATTGATTTCCGCTTTTTGTTGCTACTGTTTTTTTTTTTTGAGAATGCATATCTGATACGATTAGCTTTGAGATTTTGCTTCGGAAAATTTAAATTGTTTCGGAATTAAATAACGACAAAGTCCCACCCCACCACCTGCCTTAAAGACTACGGATAGCTTGTATAGGTTTGTCTTTAAAAAGGTTAAAAAATGTGGATACATATCAGTTTGCATCATGTAATATTATATCCTTTAGTTCCTAGAGGAACATAGGGCTTCAGCTGAGCGTCTCCATTGCGTTCGGTTTTCTGTCAGCTTTTTCACCCTGCTCCAAGTCTGCCCACATGCTTTCATCTCCTCTTCACATGACCTCCTCCAAGTCACCCTTGGACGACCAACTCTCCGCTTCCCTTTCGGGTTCCACTCGAGCAATGGCTTGTCTAGTGGTGTCACTTGATGGTTTCCTCAGCGTATGGCCAATCCATCTCCATTTCTTCCTGCCTATTTGTTTCACAATCGGTTCCTGGTTGGTTCGCTCCCAGAGATCACAGCCTGTTGCTGGTCTTTTCTGGCCATCTGATCTTGAGTATTGATCGAAGACAACTGTTAATGAAGGTCTGAAGTTCGTTTGAGATGCTCTTTATGACGCGCAGTGCAAGTCTGTGATCCATATAGTAGCACTGACTTCATGTTGGAGTTGAAAATCCGGATCTTATTTTTGATGCTGAGTGCTGTCGACCCTCACACAGAATTAAGAGTAATGAAAGCTTGTCTTGCTTTTCCGATTCTGGCTTTGATATCCTCGTCAGTTCGGTCCTCCTGTAGTTGAAACGATGCTTCCCAGCTCGGTGGGTAGGTAAAGGAGGTTGTTTCTTTCAGGCTCCTCCCATCTATGCTGGCTGATTGTTATCTGTTGTTGTTGCTGTTGGTGTTGTCCAGGAATCTTCATCACCTCTGTTTTATCTGTGTTCACCTGAAGTCCTGAAGGTTTGTAGTCTATCTTATTTTTTTTCTTATGAGAGTTCCGATAAAACTAGACCACACAAATGATTAAATTTGTTTTGCATTAACGTTTTAAAATAAATCTGCATTATGGACATAAACAATAACAATTAGTGAGATGTTTGCATTCGATAACGATGTTAAAATTCCATATAGGTTAATAGATGACCAATATGAATGATAATAATAATGCTGTGATTAGAGTTTGATACACGAAGGCAATAAGGGCCACTTTTCTGAATATCAAGTATTACGTACCTTGGAGAAAGTATAGCCAATAAATAACTAATTTAATTGGTCGCGTAAGTTCGTGCTCTTTAGTTGTCCAATTGCATTATGGTAAAGTATTCTGTCTCCACCTGTGGCACAGCAGTAAGATGCTCGCCAATCACCGATGTGGCTCGGGGTTCGATTCCCGGCCGACACACTCCTTTAACTTGATAAGCCAGTAATAAGACGGGTAAAGAGGGAAGGTTTGGCATAAGGTTAGCAATCCCATCCTGTAAAAATAAATACCACTAGCCTGAAGCTCTATGTTCCACTCGGAACGTAAAGGAACAAAAAAACTCGATGGTTTAAATGTGTCCAGATTGGTAATATCTGGTTTTAGCTTGTTCTAGGCTAGTTTTAAAATCAGGTAGAATCATAGGTGCATAACTGTTATCTAGGTAATTTCTCGTGCTTCAGGTAACTTGGAATTATTAGGGACTTAGATATTTAAATAGGCCTTTGTGTTTTTCCTAGTTCAGGTGATGATGAACAAATCAAAGAGGAAGTTTGCATCATTCCACTGTGCTGCATTTAGGAAAAGCGATAAAATGGAAAAAAACAGAAATAACATAATGCCATAGTGGTCAGTGTTGTGTGTTAAAAGGAATAATCTAATGAAGCGCGAATGCGGCTACACTGTTGTGAATTATTTTAGGCCACTAAATTGAGTTATTAGAATCAAGATGTTTTTGCGGTTTTCCAGTTAAATCGATCGAGATAATTAGGACACATGTTAAGCATACTGGATCATCATCACCTTCCTTGTCTACAGATGTTAACTGACTTAGGATTAGGTTGAAAAACAGTTAGAGGTTATCAAATCAAAACCTGGCGTCAGTTCTTGAAGTCCTTGACAGTAGCTGTGGGGCATCCACTTTAAGAGGTTCAGACGACCAGATTGGGGTCTTCGAGATTCTAAGAATTTGTCTCTTTAGAATACTAACATCATTGCTCAAGATCGTGGTCGATGGTTTAGATTAATTCACTCTTCGTGATCTACGGGATCTACTAGACGCTCGTGTTTGTCGATGAAACTATTCTTTCTGTCTTACATTTCCGTTCATTATAGGTCTTATGAACATTTTCCTTTTTCTGTATGAAAACTTGAACTGATGCACTTTTGTACAAAGTTCTGCTCTATAAACTAAACCCGCTCACAAATATCAGGGTTCAGGCCAAAATGTTTTGGTCTGACCACTTTCAACTCTTTCTTTCGAATCAAATCTTCTGCTAACCGTGCTTTTCATGGAAGGGAGTGGTTCGATTCGTAATGTGTACCTAATTCAAACTTGTATTGCATTTTAGCACTTTCTCATGAACTTGGATTATAATTAGCAAAATGGATTTAAACACGTCCACCTTGCCATTTTTTGATAGTATTTTTGAAACCATCGCTGCTGAGTTCGAGCCTCAAGTCTCTACACAATCACTTACTACAGATGCAGGTATATCCAGATGACGGGTCCCTGGTGGGGCGGAATGCGCATCCCACATTTCACTGCTATTTCAGCCACAATCAAAAAACACGTTTACGGCTTGATTACAAACAATGTCAATAAAGTGCCTTAAAGTAGTTATCTTCCCTGTTCTCTGATTGTTAAAAATCAGTTAGTTTGTTATAGTGTTACGTCACTCACTGATGGACTTACATAGAAGTCCTGTGCGTTTATATAAGTATTTGGATGGTTTTTATTTCCTGACTGCCAACGTTGTGGAATCCTTTTGTATGCGCATCATTGTGGGATGTTGTCTACAATAATTAGTTTTGCTGAGCATCTATTCATTTTTTCGCATGCGGGAGAAATAAATGCAAGAAAATCAAGCAGGCTTTAGACAGGGAGACTGTGTACTAATCATATATTCATCTTTACGACAGATTCTGTCCCCTTTTGTGTTTAGTTTCATCATAGATGTACTAATGCATTTTGCCCTAAGCTTAGTAACTTAGGGATTGAATTGTTACCAGGGTATAGTCTTGTTGACTTAGAATATGTGAATGATATAGTCCCAATAAGTGAAGACGCTGATATAATGCAAAGCCTTCCGAACACCTTCATCAGAAAGCAACCTTCGAATGTTTGGCATGCATTTCGCGCCTTTCGAATGTGAGATGATGCTACAGGACTGGACTACGTTGACTCCTAGCTTAGAAATAGGGAGTGAAGTAGTAGGGCACCTTGACCACTTCACTTATTTGGGAATTTGCATCAGCCTCAACGGGTTGACTAATTACTGACGAAATCTCAGCACCGACACGAGTCTTATGTAGAATTTACCCGTTTTTCGTCACTTCTGGAATAGACGTGATATCTAGCTGGTGATCAAAGGCTGTGTGTACTGCTCAACAGTTCACTCCGTCCTACTTTATGTCCGTGAGTAAGATAAGGCCATTGAAAGTGGAAGACATGCAAACACTAGCTGTCTTTGATTTTATTAATGTCTGCGTTCTGTCTCCTATGTTAGGCGGTATAGTAGGGTAGGTGAAAAGGAAGCGGCGAGTTGGTCGTCCAAGGGTGACTTGGAGGGGGTCGTGTGAAGAGGAGATGAAAGCATGTGGGCAGACTTGGAGCGGGGTGAAAAAGTTGGCAGAAAACCGAAGGCAATGGAGACGCTCAGCTGAAGCCCTATGTTCCTCTAGGAATTAAAGGAAATAATAATAATAAATAAGTAGGTTAAGTAGACTAGGTGCCGAGTGTTAATTAAGGAGGGAGAGTCAATTGATCAAGTTATGGTGGTGAATCGATTGAGATGGCTAAGACATGTGTTACGTATACCTAGCCATCCTCTTCCTCGACGGGTAATGTTATCTGACATAGGATCAGGTTGGAAAAGATCTAGTGGTGGTCAATCAAAAACAGGGAAATTTTCGACAATTAGCTTGAGCCAACTACGCATGGAGGTAAAAACTGCCGAGTTGGGTTTCTTAGGGTGTTAAGAACCAGTGGGTGGAGGCAGCCGGAAATTATTCCCATTAGCTCAAATGCATTCACTCTTTTTGGTCTTCCATATCTAGTAAATCCTATTGTTTTTTTCATGTTCTTATCCTTCTCCATCATATTTCTGCTTATTATCTTTCTTTTGAGTGTTTTTTCATCACTCTTTTATCGTCCTTCATATGCAGCTAGAGCAGCTGGATTTCTGTACAAAGTGCTATGTTGCAACCATTCGGCATATGGTTTAAATATATTTGCATTAGTAAGATAGGAACACGGAATTCAAAGTGGAGATTTTAGTATTTATGTTTCATTTTTATTGTATATTGTTCGTTTCGCTTATTATTATTTAATTTCTTTGAAATAGTGGGATATAGCTGCTTCTTGCCTAGTTCTATTTGATGGACTTGTCAATGACTTTTTGAATCGACTAAACAATGCAATAGTAGTGATTACTACATTGATGATGACTAGTCGTGAAAAAGATGGGGAGAATTTAGATTCACTATTTGCTTCGAGTGGCGTTGGTGGCGATGTGAATGCTGGAAATCACCAGTCTGCTAGTGGTATCATTAGTCAATCCGTTGACTGGCCATCCTATCTATTGAATATTCTATTTCAAATGGGTAAAGAACAACAGCATATCCACGGGCATCAAATGTATTCGACAACGATGAAAACGACAACAGCAACAGCGACTACATCAGAAGCATTGATTAGTCAGTTGCATTTACCTGCAGGTTGGCCATACACTGATCCAGGTTATCATTTGGCTACTCAACTTTTAACTGATTCATCTTTATTCCGAATGGTAAGTGATTTCCTCGTGTTTGCCTGTTAAAGTGATGTCTTAAGGAGATTTTTTTTTACATTAGAAGGTGATATATTATCTTTGTTGTAATTTTTGCTGAAATTAAAAATTGTTTTCCTTTTAAATCAAACACTGGGTTTAATGGTCTACGAGCTCGCCTTGTAGCCTAAAGGTCCTGGGTTCGAACCCCATTGACTGCGTACTAATGAGGAGCCCCAAGCTAGGACGAAACAACTGTCCAGTACTCCCTGCAGGTTTTCCGATGGTTCTCTAACCGATGTCAGCTCTTGATGAAATCCTGTGACCAAACACTGTCTGTGTATGGGTGAGGATGGGTTGACTTCTGTTTTCCTGTCGACATCCGCTTTTGTGACCACGCGTTCATAGCCTTTGCCAAATAAGTCCTATTCATTGCCTTCACGCGGTTAGTGTGTTCCTCACAAAAGTGAAAGAATGAATCCAAACGTCTGGTGTTTACAATGGGATGTTTTGGACATGCTGGTCTACCTAAAGGCTCTAGTAAACCTTTATTCTAAACCTATGGTGTATATGAGCTCCATTATCCAAATGGATCTAATAATATATGTAACTTGTTTTGGACACTGGCTGTTATGAGGACGTAGTATCTGACGGTGCTCCACTGCCTTGTGGATCAGACTCCAAGTCAAAGCTTCTGGGATAAGGGGTTGGTCCCTTAATACAACCACTTGTTTCGGTCTGGTCCCAGCCTCGTACAAACTATGAGATTTTGTGTGGATATTCTGTTGGTGCCCATGGCGTACCAAGTTTGTGTTTTAAAAAAATAATAATAATAATAATTCGGCTTGGTCCATTTCATTACAGTTTAAGTGGTGACCTAGTCTGTACAATTCATATTTTAACGTGAAGATATGGCTCATTGCCTAAAAAAACCCATTCAGCTTTCAGCCAATGAGTAAGGGGTTGGGATAATTCTGTATCTATTTCAGTCCTTGCACAATAAGTGTGATTCCCAGCTGGATACATGAAATATCTCTTTTAACAATATAAATCTGATACAAGTCTAGTGTCATTTCTGATTGCTAAATGAATATATGACATGATATGCGATGAAAAACTTTTTGGTGAATGCATTTCGAGTTCATCTACCTTCACTTTATAAACTGTCACTGTGTAACAAGTGGTTATGCGACTGATGTGTTTTAGGGATTTGTCTTTCAGTCTCTGGATGAAAGGATTCAACTCTTCACCTTTCCTCTCTAATCAGTTATTATTCATAATCCACTGATATAACCAAGGTCTCATAGTTCAGCTACTCAAATATTTATCTCACCTTCAATCTTGGTCCATTACACACCGTCGTATTGGTGGAGATCTTTTTTTTTGTAGATGTTTTTATGACTTAATTGTTATTTGTATATCCAGTCTCTTTCTTTCTTCATAGTGGTCCGTTTAAAATTTAGGCTACTAAAAGCTTCCACTACTATATTGCGTATAATTTCTCTTCTTCAATTTGCTTTAATATATTGAAATAAGACTTCTGATGGTATTTTCCGCACTAATCACTATCAACGGGAGGGATGCCTTCACTTATCTAGGAAGCACGGTTTCAACCACAGGCAGTTGGAACGGATGAACTTATCGAACCCAGTCAGAATCGGCAAAGCAAAATACTCCTTCATCAACCTGAAACCATTTTGTAAATCTTCTACACTGCACTCATTCAGCATAAAGAACAAGATTCGGATTTTCAACACAAATGTGAAGTCAGTCACTTCTTCTCTAGGAGTCAGAAACTTACAGTGCGAGTCACGAAATAGTTACCATCCTTGGTCAAATGACCAGAAATAATTAACAACAAGAAACTCTGGCAAAAAACCAAACAGGAGAGTCGATTGCTCAACAAATATGCACGAGAAAATGGTGATGGGTCGTGCGTATGTTGAGATGGTCATCGAATGACATCGCGCGCAATGTAGGCCATAGATAGAGTGGAATCCCAATGGGAAGTAAGGAGTTGGCCTAGGGTGACATGGTGGAAACCGTTTGAGGAAGAGGAGATGAGAGATTATGGGCAATCGTGGACTCAGATGAAGAGGACAGCAGAAAGTAGAAGAAAGTGGAGATGTGTTGTTGAAGCCCCTATGTTCCACACAGAACCCAAGGGAATAATAATAATAATGGTATTTTCTACGCTCGGGAGTATTTAAAATGTCTGCAACCTACCGATTCTCAAGTTTCTACTAAACTTGAGAAAAAGGCATACTCATGGGTGGCAGTGTTTCTCAATACACGAGATGGCTTCTATTCTTGGGTTATGTCCTTGGATCTCAAAATATACTCGTGAATTTTTTATAATCGCCTTTCAACCAGATGTCGTGCATTTCTTGAATGAGACGAAGAAAAAAATATCCCAAGGGGATTGGTTTTCACTTCCCGGTTAGACAGCATTGTATCACATGATCTACTGTCAACCTGTATTTTATTTGTAGATCCTGGACGAGTAAAAAATATCCTGCAATAAATACCGTTGAAAATTCTGTAAATTGTATAAACACTGTCCAGCATAAAGCCGTTATTATTATTATCAAGTGTCACATACGATAACATAATTTTTCAATGGTATATACATACATATATATATCTTTTTAAATTTTAGGTTACTGGTCTTCTAGAGGTTGGTTTACATCGACATCTTGAATTTCCTCTACCGAATGGACCACCAGCTGGATGACACGCGCTACATACGCCGGTTTAAGTCTTATCCGTCGACTACTGGCTAGTGAAGATATTCTAGTAACATTTGTTCGACGTATAGCAACAAATATACAGTGAGTTATTACGGTAACAGGCATGATAACGCTTTTAAATTTTTCTTCATATTTGTTTTTCAGTACTTTACATTCCGAGTGGAGCTTAGGTTTTCTTGAGCTATTTGAAGTTTTATGAGTTGTAGTGTAGTGTTTTACGTAGTGGGGCCACCATCCTCACGGTCAACTCATCTCTTTTCCGAATTTATTGTTGGCTAGTATACTATGCGTGGTTTCAGAGGGCGTTGGGAAGGAGGCGGACCAGGGCCGCGTGGTGGGTTAGCGGGCATTCTTCCACTGAACAATCGATGCGTTATGCTTCTGAATAGTGAAGTGTACTCACTAAAGATAATTTTTCATCGTGTTGAATTGTATATAATTATGATTATTGTTATTCCATTGGGTTTTGGGCAGGTTATTTGGCTTCGGCAGCATTTCCGTTTCGTCCTGTTCTCTGAAGTTATTTTTAGCTGGCTCCTCAGTAGCCCTTAAGCTTTGATTTCGTCCTCACACGATTTCCTTCATATCACCCTCAACCTAACACCGAACGCATCATTTCCCATTTGGGTTCCACTGAAAGACGTGATATGGGATTCAACTTCTCGATAATCTTCTGAGAGTTATATCCAATCCGTCTTGTTACCTTCAGTATCTTTGCTTGGCAATACGTTTTTTATTGGTTTGTCGACAATTGTATATGGTTTCTTTCAATTCACCTTTTCCTCTGTTTAATGACATTTTTCATTTTTAAAAATTATTTTGATATTTAGACCTCGAATTGGTTCTGGATATATCGCTTCCTCTAATGTATCTATTCCTCTACCAAATCTGCCATCGTTTGGTCATACTGTTCTTCCTGTGTATGTTTCACGTTTACTTATGTCAACAAATAGTGGATCTGGTAAAGCGGATCTTATTCCAATGTTGTTAAAGTGAGTTGAGACAAACTAACGTATGGTATCCTTTTTAAAAAAAATTATTGTTAGTAATTGGGGTGGACGGGTGTCTTTCTACGGTTGATATGGCTTTTGTTCATTTGAACACAAGTTTTGATCTCATGCTACCTACGGTAGCTTAATACAGTTATTAGTCTTCACAACAACTGCTCAAGTTTGTGTATAGCTGCTTTTGTTACCTGAATGCCAATTTACAGTGTCCGTGTTGAAACTTGATTAGATTTCTTATCAATTGGTTTAATCTATTTATGTTCAATATTTGATGCGAAGATTTTGTTATTCATTACTCATTCCTTGTATCTCAAGTGGAGCAAGTGAAATATATGGCATTAGACCTTATAGTTTCAGTAGCAATGATGTTAGTAGCAGGATGATCGAACTCATCTCTCTTGCGGTTTACTATTGTGTCTAGTAAACTAAACGAGTTTCGGAAGTGTGTTGGCCAAGAATTGAATTTTAGCGTCCTGCATCTATTAGATAACTAGCATGCAACCACTGAAGGAACAGCAGCGCACAGAACGTTTCACACAGCACACATAAAAGTAGGGGAAAGACAATGGACCTACATGCATAGAGGGGAAAATAATTTGATGTGAACTAGAAAAGAGTCTCTGAATCTGGAAGGTGACACTGTGAGTAATTACGTCTGCACCGTTGTCACTGATTTTTAAGCACATCTCATCAAAAGGGGCCAGCCATTGTTGACTAAGTTCCACTCAATTTTGTTCTTATTAATAGTGGTGTACTCTGATTTTATCACTCTGGATCACCATTTCCTAATTTTTTTTGTTTTAACTTAAAGGTTCTTAAATGTACTTTGTTTTATTTTCGTTTGTGTTTAGATACTGTTTGTTGGCAGATTACCTACCAGATCATACAGCTTGTGCTGTCAATATTCTTGGCTATTTAGCAGCTTCTATTAAACCGCATACAGATTTATTGGCTTTATTAACATCTGATGAAGTGAGTGTATAGTGTCTGCATCTCATTTTAATTCTGGTAATTTTTTTTGTTATACTAACGCCTAAGACTATTTGTGGTGCAAATGATATATGGTTGGTACTCATACAGGATCAAGTGTACTACGTTTGGTTGCATTTTGTCTTCAAGTATGGAGAGTTTTGAGAGGATTCCTGTTATTTGACCACTATTTTAGCTTGTAAAGATGTGGCTTAAGCACTTAGCCTTCAGCTAGGGGATCCTGGGTCCGAATCCTACTCCATCTTCTTCAGTTTCGGGGACACCTGGGTAGTATGATCAACTCTGACATACATCAGGTGTGCCTTATAGCTTGGTGTTTGAGATACCCGTCCCAGGTAATTGAGTTTCAACATCAACAACATCACTAACAATTATCCGCTCTTAGCCAGTAAGTATAGTAGCTTAGATAGGTAAAGTTGTAAACTTCTCTCACCTGAGGGGCTACAATTAGTTTTACCTTAAAGTTAAATGTTTAACTAAAATACAACTAAGGCAAATTATAGAGAAGGATGAAGATTTAGGATAGTCGTTTTCTAATCTGTGTCGTGGAATATAGATAGTTTAGTTGACATGTAGAAGGCAACTGGGAAATCCGGTTAAACATTGTAGGTGATATACTTAAGACTTCATGATAATATAATGTTCAAGAGTTTGTTTATAGGGATTGGATTTGTTTCGAGTTTTATCACGGATTAGTACCTTCTAGAGAACCGTTGGAAAACCAGGGAGTACTGGGCAGTTGTTTCAGCCTCGTTTTTGACTCATCTGTAATACACACTCACTGGATTTCGAACCCAGGACCTTTCGATTACAAGAGTGGCTCGGAGACCATTCAGCTACTGGAATCTGACTTAGTGGCCAGTTCATGAATTCTAACTTTTAAAACCTAGTCGGGAGTAAGGACAAATACTCACCGATGATATTGGCTGGTGGTTGCGTTAAAATCACGAATTGGTAGAAGTGAGAATTCATGGACTAGCCATTGAATTGGATCCCAGTGGCTGAATGGTCTATGAGCTTCCCTTGTAACCGAAAGCTGCTGGGTGTCTACTACCAGTGAGTCTCTAACTAGTCTGAAACAGCTGTCCACTGCTTGTCGGTAGTTTTCAATGGTTTTCTAGTTGATATCAATCGATGATCAAACTTGTAACAATACAATGTATTTTTTATCCTCGTTGTAACCGTGATAACTTACTGGTGTATTTGCTTTGTCAAAACAACATTCTATAACTTTCGATTATATCTGTTATATTTTTTTATTCTTCCGGATTATTATTTTCCATACTCGAGGTTAAGCATGTTATTGTCTTTATTAAGTTTTACTGCATTTTGGATATTTCCAATTGTGAAGCATTTTACCCTTAGTAATGTCTTTTTTCAAGAACCTATTGCTCAATAAACATGCTAAAGAAAATGAAGATGGATTGGGCAGACACTGAGTAGACCGTCGAATGACATTGCGCATCAGGCCACCGGAATGGAAAACAACAAGTGGATCATAGGGAAGATCAGAGACTATGGGCAACTGTGGTGCCCCAGCTAAAGAGGACCGCATGAAATGGGACAAAGTAGGGACTTGTTGTTGAAGCCCTGTGTTCTACTAGGAATCTAAGGGGATATTAATAATATAATAACATTTTTTTGCTTTGTTTTGCGCATCCTGTTTGTACAGAAAACACGTAATCAGTTACTTGGAGCATTTGCGCATTTAATTCAATGGCCAACAAATAATGCAACAATTAATTCAACATTCAGTCAGTCACTTGATGATCAATCTTCAATGCTGCATTATTTAGACAACGACGGACATTTTGCCTTTACAGATGAATGGTTATATGGTGACAGTGATAATGAATTAGCTTTATTACTACACACTGTTGGCACATTTTCAGCTCGCCTACCTTCACCAGCAAGTTGTGCCGCGCGGCTGGATGCTGCTTTCCCTATACAAACAACCAATTGGTATTTTCCTAATCAAGCCTGGGAACGTTGGACAACTTACATGCCGTATACATACTTTTCTAATTGGAGCGATATACGCATTACGCATAATCGAATCATTAATAGTGATTATTATAGTACGGCATTTGGGGATTGGTTCTATCGTGAGTAGTGTTGCCTTCATCATTTTTTTGTGACGGTTGTATTTTCTATCACATTGTATCGGATGGGAGGTATTGTTGAAAAGTAGCCTTGTCTTCCAGTAATCTGAAGTTGTTATGATAATATGAAAGGTTTGTTTGACAGCAGTTACCGTCAGCATTGTACTGCCTACCATCCAAGATGATGACATATTCAGTAGTTATCTACCAGTCAGTATTGGGACAAAATGAGTAGTTTCAAAGTTAGACATAAAGTTCCACGTAAAGAAAGGCATTTTGCCTTTGTTAAGCTAGATATTGAATCGTGCCATTGGACTGTTCGTTATCAGTTCCCAATTTTATTGTGTGCAATGACGAATTATCTTGATCACCTAACTTAGTTTGAATGTTTCATAAGTCCTAATGGATTGCTGGCTAGTGAAGATGAAAAGCTCGTTGAACGTTTAGCATTTTTCATCTTTGACCTTTGAATAATGTCTGGTCACCCAACGAAGCGGTGTCTACTGGCCAACAACCCGTTTTAAGACAGGACAGCTTTAAGGTAATGCCACTACCGGAGTGTAATGGAGAAATGCACTAAGAAAGGTGTCTACATTAGATGTGGTGTTAATCAAAGAAAGGCGAGCTCGTGAATTAAAATACTTAGCATATCTAAATTGGCAGCTCTACATTTTCCTTACAAAATGAGCTATTATTATTGTTGTTATTGGGGGTAGTGACTGATTTAATCTAAGTGCTCAACTTACAACTAGCAGGTTACGTTTTCGAGCCTCACTGCACCTACGAAAGTCTGGGAGAACAGGTAGTATTGCTAGCCGTCGCAAAATAGGCGTGTGACTGATTGTCAACTGCATGAAATTGCAAGTTGTTGTCGAGCAACGTTCCTTTCGTTTTCATTCCATCTTCCTGTCTTTTAAATAGACAATTTATTTTTTCCAAGTTAACTTTCTATTTTCCACGAATTGATTATTTTGGACCTGAGTGACTAGCAATGGGATCCAGAATGTGCATATAATTTTGTGGTCCAAGTGGTCCAGTGAATGACACTTTGATGTTCAAAACAATAGGCCTTACATTCGATTCTCGGTAGGAACACCACTAATCACTGGAGACTGCAGGTGCATTCAGATGATTAGTCCAAAATAGGACGAAGTGCTCATTCTAGACTCCCCAGCCAGTCCCGGTCCATAAGATACCATCAATATACGACTTACGTTTCATTTTACTTCTGTCGATAAATATAATCAAATATTACCACTATTGTTTGTCTGATTATCCTACATATATAGATGTTCTTTCAAAAAACCCTTTTATTTCGTTTATATAAATCTAGAAATTACAAGTAACTCGAGTTCAGTACCGATATCGATATCATTCCATCAAATCCTGTTGGCAGTTATGGATCATCCAGCGCCTAATCTTGTACATTGGTTGTGTGGTTTTCGTTTTGATAGCTGTAAAGCTATTTCACGTTCAAATCTACAGGTATGTATTCAGATATTGTTTTGACGCGATAACTTACCACTGGCCTAATTTTAAATTATGAAATTAAACCAACGTGTATATTCTTAGTACAAAATTGTCATGCAGCCATTCACTAAATATTGGTCGGTATATTCTTCCCATTTAGATCATTCGATCTGGGAAGTAAGTTTGTACGTGTATATGTGTGTTTAAAACAATCATTACTCTTGTTTACTGTGTCATCAACTGTATGCTCTGAGTAATAAAACATTTTGTAGAATTTAGCCTGTAGGCACTTTAGAAGTTGTATTGACTGGTTTCAACTCAGTTATTATTTATTCCCCTGTACGTCGAGTAAAACACAGGGTTTCAACAGCACATCTCCACTTCACCCTGTGGTCTTGTGTGTGGTCTTTTTTAATTGGCTCTACGATTACCCATAATCTTTCGTTTGCGCCTCACATGATCTCATCCGTGTCACCCTTGGACTTATGCATGACTTGTCACTTTTCATTAGGTTTCCACTCGATGGCCTAGCTAACGCACGATGTCAATCAACAGTCTTCTCATAGTGCGCCTAATCCGTTTCAATTTCCTTCTTCATATTTGTCATATGATTTGTTCAATGACGATGTGTACCGTTGCAATTTAGTCTCCGAAAATAAGTATAAGGACATGGAATGTTCACACGGTGATTGGGGATTGGGAAGGCTGGTCAGACTGCTACAAAATGGAGAGAGTATGGCACAGAAGCGCTAGGGATCTGTGAGAGCAGATAGAATGAAGTTAACTCTCGCAATTGTCAACTGAAGAGGCATAATCTACTCCAGTCTCCCATAATTATTTTGTGAGGGCTGATCATACCACCCAGTTGTGTAGTTTAAAGTAGGTATTATTAGTTGTGTAGGATATCATGTCACTGTGTATGCATATGGAAGTTGCGTATCCATCATTTCCCTTCTGGACGAGTTTCACCCCCCCCACACCTATATTTCTTTGGAGTTTTTAATTATCCAGTGAACTTCAATTTTAGGTAGATCTTGTGTATGTGTGATTTTTGAAGAGATAATATCCATAACGAGATCGATGAGCATATCTTCACGACTTGTATGTATGGGGTCAGTTATAAGGTTAGCAATCCGCCTTATTGGTTGAGTTACTTTGTTTGCAACCAACCTACTTCAGTTTGAGAAACTGGCTGGTATCGTCAGTCCTCAGATAATACGTGCCTAGCACATGAATAATTTCTTCCGCACAAATGAAGTCATTTGTAACCGCATTATCTAACCACAGTGATAAATGTCATAGATGCAAGAGAACACTAGTTTTGGTCTTGCAACATCTAGTGCCAATCAGCTCGGTCAACCTGTAGTACAAATATATTTGCATACTATGAGTCATATTTAATATTTTTATTTGTTTTTGTTATCTTTTAACCAAAACTTTCAGGATGCTGGTATTGCTGATCAACAAAGAACATGTTTGCATAGTATGCTTGATGTGTTAGATACAACCTCACATTGGTTACAGTCTACATCAAGTTTACCGTATGAATTTGCTTGTACATTACACTGGAATACTGCTTTAATCTGGCAAATTCTATATAAATTAGGCTTTGATTCTCTGACATCAGAACCATTTTTACGCTTTCTTCGAAGTAATCATGATTTATTTGGGAAATATCTACTATCAGATGTTTGTCAGTCATCATTCAGTTCAAGTAACAGTGGAAATATTTGTGAAGGCTTTACACCTCGTCAGAAAGCAGGTAGGTTTATGCGTATTTGTGTATATGTATATTTACTTGCATGATTTTCGCTAGTTGGCCGTATATTCCCAATTTTGTTCTTTTTTATTTCGTATAAAGCCATTTGTTCATTGTAATTACCGACAAGTACTCTCTCTTCTCTCTTTTTCCCTGCAGTACTCGAAGCTTTGTCGTTGAATCGTAAAAATTGGATACTTCGTTTGTACGCAATTGAACTACGTGTTTGTGCAATCGCCAACCAACGTTCACATGTTACTAAATTACTGAAATTATTCTTTGGCGGTATGTATATACTTTACTAGTCAATATTTACTCATTTTACACAGAATACTACTGTCTTTTGATATTACTCATAAGATATAAGGATTAACTTGCTACCAGGAGGCATAGGTGAGGATGTTGAGTCATCTAAACACCTTGAGCAGGAGTCTTCGGATGTTTGAAATTCGACTCACTCCCTGTCAAATGTAACATTATGCTAGTGTCTAAATCAGGTTGTAATTTTATGATAGAAAGTGATGCAGTGGTTGAGTAGGTTATTCACTTCACATATTTCGGAAGTTTCATCGACTCCAACGCAACAGACTGATTGCTGATGAAATCTTAGCACGAATACAAAAGGTTCGTCATCTCTGGTGTAAAAGTGATATCTTCCAGAGGACATGTATATTGCACAGCAGTTCTATCCGTCCTTGAGACATGGCCGTTGGAAGTGAGAAATTTGAAAAGGCTAACTGTCTCTGACAGCATATGTTTGCGTCCTGTTTCGCCTGTTAAGCGGTGTAATGTGGTTACTCATACCAAGCCATCGTTTTCATCATCGAGTAGTGTCAGCTAACATGGGATTAGGTTGGAAGAGAGAGAGAGAGAGGTAATGAAACCGAAACCTGGCATGGATCCGCGAATTCTTTGACTGTTGGTTTGAGTCATGTATTGAGGTGTAGACTACCTGAATGAGGTCATCAAGACGCTTAAATACCATAGTTACTTACTGTTAAGGGCGTGACTCGAAATCGTTATCAATAGTACAGATGAATTTACTCCCTGTTATGATACAGATTTTGAAATTACCCACTTATCTGTGTGTCGGTGACACAGTGGTTAGGACTCTCGCCGACCATCCACATAGTCCGGGGTTCGATCCCCTGCCGACGCACACTTGATATCAATGGTCGGCCTACAAATTTGGGCTACCGATATCACATGCTGAAAATTCCATACCTGTACCAAAAATACGGTGTGGAATGAAGCTGTAATCAAGAAAATTTAAGCATAGCCTCTTCCTTATATTTTCGTCCATTGTAGTCTGATCATATTTATTTATTTATTATTTTGATTATGGCTTGAAACCACACACTATTTTTGGTACAAGTATGGAATTTTCAGTATGTGATATCGGTAGCCCAAATTTTGTAGGCAGACTATTGATATCTGCTGTGCGCCGCCAGGTGGTCGAACCCCGGACCAAATGCATGGTCGGCGGGGGTCCTAACCGCTGTGCCACTGACGCTTTTATATGTATGACGAAGTCAGTCAACGATTCTCGTTGTGTGTTAAAGACCAAGTGTAGGCCTTACTTCTCACCTTTAGTCATTCCAAGACAGATATTCTAAGGATAAGTTTGATTTTTTGAATTGGTCATCGTTATGATTTTAGTATCGTACTGTGTGGTATAAGGGTAAGAAATGTGTCGGTATACATATTGTCTAACATAACGTCAAGTTCTATGTTGCACGTGTTATTCCATCGCGAAGGCAGTTCAAACTAGGCAAATATCTGTAGTTTTTTAAACGTTGCCCAGCTTTAATGGTGACAATTTTTTAAAATAGTTTTATGCTGGACAGTCAAATAAATCTGTAATCTGCATCCTTTTCAGTTTTGTGTTTATTGTTTTACTGACTACTGTGTTTGTAATCTTCAGTTTAAAATATGAACTAATCTAATCGTTCTTCATTGTTTTAGATCTGCTGTTTGATAATTCTTTTCGCCGGAAAGAACAACCTGAGGAATGTAAGTATATACTTAAAAGCAATTGCTCCTTTTTTCAAACACTGAACTTTTGATGTCTTGTTCTTATGACTGTTTTTGCTTTTTCATTTATAAATGCTTTCAAGTGTTGGCTTGCAGGGATTCGATTGTCTTCAAGTTATGTTTTAAATTGACTTCAGTTAAAGAGTCATTGAAAACCAGGAAGTATTGGACCTCAGTTTTGTCCTACTTCGGGACTCCTCAACTGTACTCACATATGATCCCACCAAAGATGTGTATCATCTGAATACTCAGTCATTGAGATGTAGTTCAGTGACCCATGAATTCTGTCAACTTGATGTATATATATATATATATATATATTGTGGGTGAATGCAAAAGTCCATGTTATCGCCGAGGATTTGTCCTCACACCTGACTTGGTTCATCCCACTGGGAATCTAGGCAACTTCATCCTGTAGTCAGTTACTGGCAAGAAACAGATTAATTTTCAAATATTGATCTGCAGCCATGTCTCTTGTTGTTGCAGAATAACAGTATTTATAAGGTGTAAATGGTGACGAATTATTTTTCTTTACATTAAGTGGGCAATTCAAAGAAGGTTAACAGCCTGAAGTAGTTATGACGTTTGTGACGTATGTATGTTTTCATATCGCCTATCAACCATCGCATTGTACTAGCGAGAGATATTAAATTGGAAGAAATTGAAGAATGCTTAAATCATAATATTTAGCGACACTTTGTTATATCACTTCGTACTATGTTTATATAATCTTTATCCTTAAAGGGTTCGATCCTTTTTGTTTTCGTAGGTTAAACGGCTTTAGATGTTATCATGCAGTGGTGATTGAACTCACGAATATGTGGTTGATTGGCTTAAGGGCTCAACTTTCAGTCAGTGAGTTCAAGATTCATTCACCACTTTAGCCTGGGCAAACAGTCATTTTCATCAGCCCTCACACCTGATACCTGTGACTTGTAGACTGTTTTAACTCAATTAATTGGAATAAGTTTTCGCACGTGTCAGGCTATGAGCTACACTGGTTGTAGTTGGGAGCTGATAATGCCGCTGAATTGTGCGGGTTGAAGTAGGTGGAGCGGAATTACAACTCGGTACTTGAAACTGAGATGTCCAGTTTAGTAAGTTATCCACCTCAGTTGGTTTAACATATACAACAGTTGTGTCATTCAATTGAAATGATCAAGAATTACCTTTGTACTGGATGCGATATAAAAATGTATCATTTTTACGCCTAATGGTGATTAGCAGGGATCGCTTTATCGGGATGGTACTTTATCGAATGCTCACTCTTCGAAATTATACATTTCAAGGTGAAGTTTCAACAACAACAGCAACATCCACCGCCAGTCACCATCAACGGGACGGATTTGAAAGAGGTTACTTCATTCACTTATCTAGGGAGTATCTAGGAAGCATTGTCTCAACTATAGGAGAAACGGACAAGGATGTCAATTCGAGAATCGGGAAGGCGAGAAACACATTCATCAACCTGAAACCAATCTGGAAATCTTCGTCACTCAGCATCAGCAACAAAATTCAGTCGGATTTTCAATACAAACGTCAGTTCTTCTATACGAATCAGAAACTTGGTGGGGGGTTCACAAAGAATATTTCCAACAGCCTGTTGCAGACCTTTATCAACAACTGTCTTTGCTGGATCTATACTGAAGATGAGATGGCCTAGCCGGAAAAAATCACCAACAAGAAACTATGGGAACAAACAAAACAAGAACCAATCGCCAACCAACAAATATGCAGAAGAAAGTGGAGATGGATTGGACACTCGCTAAGGAGACCACTGGGTGACATCGTGCGTCAAGCCCCGAGTGGAACCAGAAAGGGAAGCGGCGAGTGGGACGTCAGTGCAAGGGTGACATGGAGGAGATCGTGTGAAGAGGAGTTGAAACAGTATGGACTAACATGGATGCAGGTGAAAAGCACAGCAGAAGACAGAAGCAAGTGGAGACGTGCAGTTGAAGCCCTATGTTCCACTAGGAATCCAAGGGAACAATAATAATAATAATAATAATAATAATAATAATAATAAGAATATGTCATCAACTTGATACCATGAACGTCAATCAAAAAAGCAAAAAAGCACATGAGGCGCCCTATATACTACTGATGGATTGATACAAGTAGTTAAGTACTAACCATCGCTTGTATCAGTCAGTCAATACTGTATGTCATCATGTTATTTTGTATTTGATGAAAAACTAAATCGGTACTGTTGTTTAAGAGCTTTTAATATGACCCCCGTTAACTAGATTAGCTGTCCAGAGTTTGCCTCAATTCATTTCTATGTTATGTTAGTTAAATTACCGTCACTTTTTATTTACTCTTCATCATCTTGTTATTTATTGGCTAGTTTTTTGAATACCTATTCGTTTTCTCAATTTTTTTCCTAAAAATTTTGGTTTAGCCCCGTCCGTTCTAATCGACTTTATTCCATTGCTTAATGCCTCTGAAGAGTTTATCAGTGAATCAAATCCATTGGAATCAAAAATGTTTGATCCAAATTTCATTCATGAAGTAATTTCTCTTTTTCTTTTGTTAACTAATTCATTTATCACTATTTTTCATAATGATATTATTTCAATGTATTTCGTAAGCAATTTATCGCTACTTTATGTAGCCTTAGTTCAAAGACTTTGAAAGGTTTGAGAGGAAGGTTGCTCTTATCAGAATAGCTGAGTGGAAACACTGCAAACGTTCAAATATCTTGGGGTTTTGGAAGCGATCAAGGCCTAGAACTTGGTTCTATTTACATTTTTTATTAGTATGCTTCTGCGAAACTTAGCTGCTACCTTGATAGGATAACTTTTACCCCATTTCTCTCCTTTTCTCCACACGGCATTTGTTACTTTGAAGTGACACAGGGAAGAAGAAGGATAATGATCAGGAGGACTTGGTGTGCTTTTGAAAATGTGTATGTGATTGGTACCTCCCAGCTGCGCACACCGTGGAAGTTGATTTTTTCTTGGGTTACCTGAAACAGAAAGATTATTGGTCTTACTTTACTGCAGAGCCCAGGAGATACCTACTTGAGGCCGGTCGCATTTGGCGTATCTGAACCGACTTTTTGCTTTGGCTGTGTATTAGTAAACTTACCATCGGTTACGGACCACCGTAGGGTTAGTTGGGATGTACAATTTTTGGGGCCAATCTTTTCTAACCCCCTCTCTCCAGAGTGGAGAAACAGCATAGTTGGCATGCTGGTCGTATGAGGAAAACACCTCACCACTGTTACACCCGTGTTCCCCAGCAGTACGACTTCGGTCACAGACCCCTAGAATAGTTTTAAAAAATTCTTCCACTAAGCCGGCAACTGCTTTTAGTCTAATCGCTATCCTAACCATTTTTCCTGGAGTGGTAGGACCTGCAGAAACAATAATTTCAGCCTGTGTAGCTTGTTGGATCATTGCTATATGCAAACCCGACCGCCACGTCAAAGTAGCAGCCATCCGTTGGAGTTACTTTCAGGTAATCAGTTAATCTATCCAACGAAGCTCCCCAGTGTTTTATAACACTTTGTATAAATTAATTTTCACGGGTCTGTTTATAGCAGTGATTTAAATTTCTGAAACGAAGGGGAGGGGGCGGCTTGACTTTCTTTAAGCTTGCAGTTTTTGCCTTGCCGATAAGCCCCAACAGGCACAAAAGCTTGATTCTAACGAGTTATCATGAATTAAAATTTTTATAGCCTATAACTTCTAAGACCATGTACACTAAGCAGCTCCTGGAGAACATATTCAAAACAGAATTCGAACAATCAGTAGCACATTTAACAATAGCCTGTCTAAGATTTGTCTAAGTTTCTCAACTGAAAGTAACAGATTATTAAAGTTCTAACTTAATAAACACAATTTCCAATATTACCACTATGAAAGCATTCATTAAAAAGTATTGTGAGTCTACAATTACACAAATCATACAAAAGAAAGTGGCGTTTAGCGAAGAGTTACTCATTTCAGCTATATCATTCTCACACTGTATAGTTGTACATATATCGTAAACTTTCCCAGCTACAAAGGGATTATATCCAAAGATATGTCATTAGAATTGTAAATTATTATATAATGTAGAAAGCGTTAATCGGGTAGAAACTAACATAAAATTAACCTATTAAATTGAGTGACATAATATAATTGACTGGACTGTGCAGAGCTCAACTAAACTAGAAATAGGCAGGTTAGTTATCATAAGAAGTAGTAGTGGGTAGGGAGAAAAATAAGAAAATAAAAAGAAAAATTAGAATTAACAAAACTTTCATCCCAAATGCTGAGACGAATTAGGGCCGTTGTATGTTCAGTGATTGAACAAACTTCGTCGGTATATATAGTTCATTGTATTACATTACCATATCTGCTGTGGTTTGATTCGTACCTCTTTGACAAGATTTCCGCGTGCTCTGTACATGACTCTGAATTTATTTTACGGGTTTGCATGGTGTCCAGAGTCGTTCAGATATTGCAGAATATGGAGCTACGAGGAAGTCTTTTTTCCTTCTTTGTAAAACAATGTAGATCTCTCCGCAGCTCTGTTCCGGAACACCTGGTGGACTCTGGGCACCGATGTCTATAAAAAGTATATGAGCGGTGAGTTTTAAGCATTGAACTTTCAGTTACTGCGTCCTGGGTTCGAAATTCACCCCACCAGTAAGATCATCAGTTCTCAACTCAATGCCTGGGGATTATAGCCCACTTTCGGTTTTAGTTAGAATCGGTTTTGGGTAGCTGAATTTCAAGGTTAGTGACAACCAAAATCGACTTGTTGTGTTCTGAGAACAGGAAGCCGGTCTTTGCATTCTACTGTATAGCTGGCCAAAACTACCACCTTGAGTTCCGCGCAGTCACAAAATCCTCCAGCGGCAACAAAAAGGCAGTTATTTGGGATAAAATCTACGCTACTATTTAACAACAATAATAACATATGAAATGGTCAAAATTAGCTGAACAGTGCCGTCGGGCAGCTACACAGACTCAATCTTTCCTGGAATATAAAACAAAAATTGTACGACATAGTCATTTAGCCAAATCAAGCGTAAGAAGCACTTGAGAATGAAGAGGTATACTCCCAATAAGGTGGGAACAAAACGGCGTGATCAAGAATCACTCAACAACAATTCCCGTGGAGAATCCTAGGCCGAAAGGACTGTGATTCAGTCAAACGAAACTGCATCACATAACCACAAAGAGAAGCATTAAAATTAGAGATTAGACAGAAAGAAAGGTAAATAATAATATGGATTAACCCAATATTTGATATGCAAAAGTTAGGACAGTGATATATAGTTTCGGAGAAAAGAGGGGAATAATCCTAGTAAGTATCAATATTGTATTTAGATCGTTCAAAGGGGGAGTCTCCTAAGAATTATTCCATAATATCTGCTTGATAATTTACAATTATCCGTGTTATGCTATCTTTACACACTTATTATTTTAATAATCATTATCCAGTTAATTCACCTTTTTATTTTATTTTTTTTTGCTTTGTTCTTCTTCGCCGTGGTAGTTACTGGCCAAATCAGAGGTTGCATGCCCACTTGTCACGTCAGATTCAAATGCAGCAAGATGTTTGTCAAGAATGATTCATTTTAAAATATTTCTAATGAATTTATACATTAAACTAGTCGGACTACGTAATGATCTAGATAATTATACAAATGATGATTTAAACAAATTGTTAATGTTGACATTTGAACAAGTATTCGATATAAATGTATCCGCGCATCATTTAGCCTCATTGGAAGTGTTCAACTGTACCTCTGCCGCAGCCGCCACCACCACCACCTCAGCAACAATACCAATGCTTATTAAACAGATTTCAGCTGTACGTGAATGGATTGATACACGTAATGTTCATGGTCTGCTATTATATGCTGGTAAGCAGGCAGCTATCGAAGGATGGAGACAAGCAGTGGAAATTAGTTTAGGCCTAATGACTGATCAGTTAGGCTATGGTGGTGCTGGTACAAAGCAAATCTCTGGCGGTCAATCGTTCTCCTCTGTATCTAGTTATTTGTATTCAGAATTGATGAGTAGCCAAAAACGTGATGTTGGATCTATTAATAATAGTAGTAGTAATGTTCTGGATAGTAAACTACAACTTCGTCCAATGCCTGCATTGTGTATGGATGTACTTATTCTGTTATTGTCAGAGGTGAGAGTTTGAAGGAACATTATTGTTTTGGGTTTGATGAATTAGTATTTTGTTGAATTTTAGTATTATTGATTTATGTATTCTACAGCTGTAACGTCTCTCTGTGTGTGTATGCATTTTGTGTCATTCCTTTGGGTTCTAAGCGAATCATAAGACTTCTGGCTGGGGCTTTTCAAGATTTAGTAGCGTTGTTGTTGTGATTTCATGAAGTCGGGTTGCTAGCCTCATGCTCAACCTTCCCAAAATTATAGGCTTACTGTCGATTAGTAATCTAGATAGAGTTTAGGAGTGCATCGGTGGGAAATCGAACCTTGGGCTACTTGCGTGTTTAACGAGCATCCTACCATTAAATGAGCGACATACCGAAGTATTTACTTGGCGCTTATTACTGTCGTCTTCAAATATAAACCTCTTTGGGAATTACTTTACAAACTCTTGAATAGTAAAAGTATGTGGAATATACGTTATGATGAACATTTGAGGAACCTTCAATCACATGGACATAGATTAAGTTAACAAAGATTTCAACGGAGTAGTAGCCGTTATTAAGCTTGGAGATGTTCAAGGGGAAGAACTTGATCCTATTTGTGGAAATACTACAGCCTACATCATTGAATTGTGTGTTATTCAAATGATTGAGGATTATTTAAGTACTTTTAGTTCGAAAGTCAGAACATGTCAACAGGTGTTTATGTACTGCAAGTACACTTGATTCGAAGCTGATATTCCTTAGACTTGTCTTCCACGTCCCCCTCTTCCGTCAGTCGCTAGAAAGGAACCACATGCATAGTACGTGTCTAAGCCATTAAAAGGGATGTTTCATGTTGGGGGTCATGATGTTTTCCATAATATCTAAATGGAGATTATCACACTTTCCTCATGAATACATAATATAACTACCGAATCCAAGTAAACATTTGGAGGTGTCAATAATAAAGCTTCTTCCATTCAAAATGACCAGCAGAAATGATGGTATCGCCACGTTAATGGGCACTTTTGATAATATTATCTATCCACTTTTTTCAAAATCAGCTTGGTTAGAAGGTAATTTTGGTATCGTGTATCAGCTGTATGGTGTTAAGGTCTAAATATCGGTAATATATCATTTTATTGAAGGATATACTCCATTCTTTTCATTTATTATGTTTAGTCGTATATTTATCATTACTTTGCGTTCCAGTTGGAAAATAGCGCTTCAAACTTGAGTTCTTTTGAAGTTTCAGTAGCTGTGGTGTTTTCTTCTACGGGGTGGAGTTGCTGACCTCATACCCAACCATCCTTCTTTACTAGGTTTATTAGGTCGTCGGCTGGGAATCGAACCTGAACTATCTTCCTGGGCTGGTGAGTATTCTCTGACGTTGAACCACCCTACGAACTAATCATATTGCAACCTTTGTATGATTGTCCACTATGAGTGGGCCCATCTGATGCGTAGAATAGAAATTAAATGTACAGTCTTTGATAAAATAGGTGATCTGTCGGGGAATTTATATGTCCTAGGCGTATTGGACATGTGTTGTGCATGCTCAACTACCGTCTACTTCAACGTCCTAAGCTGGTGGTAGTGGTAGCGGCGGTCAAACAAAAACTTGGCACCAGTCAATGAAATCCACAACAGTTGGTCTAAGCCACGTAGAAGGTGTAGACTTCCAGGCTGGGGTCCTCGGGACGGTAAAACTCTATGGTTGGAAACAATTGGTGACATGGCTCAAAACCGTTCTCAGTGGCTAGCGCAGATGCATCCACTCCTTGTGACTTATGATCTCCAATGAAACTGTTTTGTTCTTCGTTATTACTCCTCCTCCTTTGTCTCACACCTCTGCTCACTGTCTCTATTATGCTTTTCTTGTACTTTCTTCTCTTGCTTCGCGTGCTACACGGAGTGTGGCGACTTGAACTGCTGCACATATGTGCAAAGTTCTATGTCGAAAACAGGCAGACAGACAGGTGGTAGTGAAGATAGTCTGGAGAAAAGTGATTGGTGTCAGATAAAAAATATATGGTTATTCAGGTTTATTTGAACTTTACCTGTTCACGATGCCATATCCATTGACTGAATATCAGGGACCTGTATCTACTAAGTAGTATGTAAAAGTATCTCACGAGAAGTTGTATATTTTAGGCCTACTGATTATTCTAAATACTGCAGGTTTGATCACCAGTTAACATCGGTTAAATAGCCATTGGAATACAAGGTATCCTGAACAACTAACCCATCCGAGTTTGGGACTTTTCAGTCTAACTCACCCACTTTCATATTAGTTTGCTTATCAGATGTATCACACAGTGAAGAAACAGTATTATTTACTGGATGACGTTCTGAACAAAATTTATTGCGGTTCATAATCATATAAATTATAATCACATGACTTTGAAACTTGAGTTTTATAGTTTTCTTTGTTCTCTCCTATTCGTCCTCGGGGTAGTAAAACTTCCCAGATATCTGGGATAGGTGTTGAATCATTCCTATTACACGTATTCCCTGTCAGTTGATTCGATAAACAAAGCTTCTGTTATCAATCTCTCCGTCCCTCCACCCTGTGACATTAGATTTTAAAACTGTCATCCTATCCCATCCAGCCTATTGTATGGTTGTGTGTAACTGCATGTAGTGCTATCTATGGCTGAACTATTATCTAGATTTCTTATCTTATTTGGGTCAACCAGTCTATATTTAGCTAGGTTTTTTATGTCCGGCTAGTCTGACTGCCCCGGTTCTACTAGTTTGACCTATGTATTTGACCTGACAATCATTGCAACAGGGTATTACATAAACTAAGTTCTTTTGTTTTAACGGCTCCACAGGATCCTCTAACCGACAGAGCTTGTTTCTAATTGAGTTTGTGGGTGGTTTGAATGTCAGCCTCTTGTACTCCTGTCTTGGTAATAACTCTGTGTAAGGTGGTTTCCGAGGTTCCTTCTTTGTATGCAGCACAAAAACTAAGTAGTATCAAGGAAAATCTAAGACAGGAAGTAAGGCATATAAGAGAAGCTTTGAAACTTATTAATTACCTTGATAAATTAGTCAGAAAGTATGTAGGGAAATGTGAAAATAAAATAAATAATGATAGTAGTGATAATAATAATAATAATAATAATAATAATAATTGATATGATTGTGAACAATAAATTTTGTTCGGAACGTCATCCAATAAATAATACTGTTACACATTAATAAACAAATTAATGTGGAATTACTTTACTACCACAGTGCCGAAGTTGTACACATATATATTAACTCACCAACTGAAGTTTAAACTCAGGATCTTCCAGTTACAGGGCTAGTTCGTGATCATACCTGTAACTAATCAAATGCCTATAAGCGAACACTCGAAAATATTTCATTTGTTTATGCATGGTAACCTGTCTGTTTTACATTTTAGTGGCATTACTTGTATTATTTTATGTAAAATTTTTTTTTAGATATGTTCAATAAAAGAAGTCCCACAGACTATTCGGCTGTTAGCTAGTGGTACTACTCTCTCACTATGCTCATTTCTACATGGTCAATCGGCAGTTATCTCTGCGAAATCTAATAGTTCATTATTAGACTCAACTGGAATAACTAAATGCACTTACAATAGACAATGGTCTCCTTTACTCATTTTAATTATGGAATTAATCATTAAATCAATTGTTAGAACTAGTAAGTTGTGTTTTGTTTTAAAGGAGGAATGTAATGCCGTATTATTATTATTCCCTTAGGCTTCATCAAGACGTCTGCATTCCACAAAGATTTGCATTGTCTCCTGGGTTATGTATGGCACATGCCGAGCCATCGCTTTCTTCGACGAGCAATGTTAGCCTATATAGGACCAGGTTGGACAAGAGTTAGGGTCTGTCAAACTAAAGACTGGAATTAGACCGTAAATCCTTTGACAGTTGGTTTTAGCCATGTAGGGTGGCGCACTACACTGCGTAATTAGGGTCTTCGGGGTGTTAAGAAGCAATAGCTTGTGGCTATTGCCTATTTAGGTCAAAATTTTTTGCAGTGGTGGGGGAACTTTCACTCTCCATGATACTATGTGCCAACTTGACCGTCATGTTCTTCCATGTTTCTATTTTTCAACCCACCCCCCTGCCACACATTTATGCTATAATAACAGTTATTACTTTTTAGAAAAAAGTAACAAATTGAGCGGAGAAATACACTGCTTTTCAATTAGTTCCTCATCATCGGTTCTACAGTTACATATATGGACTCATGGACTAAACATATAACCACATCATTGGTACAATTTTGATGCAAAACAACGATGCATTAGTGTAGAGCCGATGGTGAGGAACTAATCGGAAAAGAATATATTTCTTCACTCAATTTGTTGGTTTTTTTCTTAATGCGTAGATGGGAATTTTCATACTACTTAATCTAATTTTCTCTCGTTTCTCTACTTTTACGGGTTTAACGGAGTGTGGTAAGCTGAACTACTACACCTCTGTGTGAAGTTCTATGTTGAAATTCAATCGGCAATGTCAGTTACTCTGTCCTCTTCGGTCTTTCTAAGCTGGCTCTATCATTGCCAACAGTTTCTCATTTCCTTTCCACACGACCTCCATATCATCTTGAGACCGAGGCTTGTTTTCCACTTGAAGGAGCTTCAGTGTATGTTTGATCTCTCTGCACTTTAATCTGTATCTGTTGGGTATATAGGTTCTTGGTTGATTGAACTTGATTCCTACAGAAACTTTGAAACGCAGAAATAAATATTCCTAAGTATTCCATATTATATATTTTTATTTGATATATAGCACACAATCAGTGAGTGAATGTTGACAACCGGATGGCGTTTCCACCACAATTTATTGCTCATAATCGCATTATATCACATTTTTTCCCCTTCACATTCCCCAGTGGAACATAGGGTTTCAAGATAGTGCCTTGAAGTTTCTGTAGAAGTGTTTATTTTACAGGATGAGGTTGCTAGCCTCATGCCAAACCTTTCCTCTTTACCAGCATTATTTCTGGCTTAGCGAGGTAAAGGAGTGCGTCGGTGGCCGGGGATCGAACCCCGGACCATGTGCATGGTTGGCGAGCGTTCTAACCGCTATACCACCGACGCACAAATATTATATCACATACCTATGAGAAATATTATAATCATGAGAATGATGCACTGGTATAATCGATTTTGCGCGTTTTTTTACTTACTTTGATTAATTTAAGCACAGTCTACGGTAGTTGCATGAACTCAGAGCAGACATAACCTGCACTTCTATATGTGATCAGGTAAATAGTGAGTGATTACATAGTTTGACGTTTTGTTGTTTTGACTACCTTTCATTATTTGCCGTTTTTAGTTGTATTTCGATTTTAGGTAGAGTCAGATAACTCAGGAGATTATCGAGTTATTGAGTTCCCTTACATGGTTTCGCTTTGGAGTTCGGAAGTATTTCAAAGTGTATTGAAGTGAATACCAAATTTTTGTTAGTTGTCTTCGCAAAGAAAGGGTTCGGTGTTATGTGAATGATTTAAATCAAAACTTTTTTACCTAGTCTTAAACTTCTTGAGCTAATCACGGAGGTATTCCGGTTTCCTTTCATTATTATGTGGCAACACTGTTGGTGAAAAGTTTTGTGTTCCAAAGGCCAAACAGCCAGTGACTGACCACTGATTGTCAAAGTTTCAAACAACATTTAGTATACTTTTGTTGTTTCTATGCCTTATTATAAGTTGTGTCATATGAATAGATGTAATTTTATCTTCTGTATGTATCTCATTATCAGTCACTGTACATGAATTACACACGGAAATATTGTTAGTTGTATTGGGTGGCTGTTTTTGCTGGTATTGGTTTGAGCTTATCAATAGTGTCTGTATTTATATCCAGTTTGAATCATTCGAATTCTCGCTGGCTATTTCAACGAACTTGTAAGGCATATAAGTCAGGTGTTTCATATGACAACCAAATTTGTGGAAAAAGTCACCAAAAAAGCAAGCATAATTGTATTGAACTATATACTACTGATTCATTGACATTGGTACTTGTATACCACACACATCAACCAAGTGGTATGTGTCCTAACCAGATGAAGATCATCTGAATACTGTACGACCGTTTCGCTCGTTTGACGTCGAGCTCGTTATCAGTGTGTACCACCAGATTTGACTCAGCCCAGACAGCCGAAACAGTGTTCGAACCACCCGATTTCCAGCTAGCTGGTTGCTTTGACGAATTGGTGATACGATAGATTTAATTCACTATTTGCAACATTCTTATGATTGGACACTAGTTACTAGTGGACATGAGTTCCTTCAAGGTGATTGCAGATACGCCTTGCGGTCGAGTGTCAACTAGCACGAAAACTAGGTCCAAGGCCCTCTGCCGATTGCCTGCAACTATCTTATATACTTATGATTACATACTGCACATATCAAATGTGCTTACTTTTTGATTACCATTTGTGTTATCAAACAGGTCACATATTGTGATCTGAATAACTTGCGTTATCCGAAGGAAGAAACCACAAACTGTGTAGAGTGCACATTGTGAAAAAAGTCACCATTCAAAGTAGCACAGTTTAATACATCTTTGTGCTTGTATTAGTTTGTTAACATTAAAGAACGGTCAAATAATTTCTACACCGTTAACCACTTGTCTTCACCACTTTTTAAACATTTTATGTTGTTACGTTTAATTTTTTTCTCCCTCTTTCTTTTGTTTCCAACTTTAGAAACATCAACACAACGTATGCGTGCCAATTATTATGGAAGCCTATGTTACATGATACGGTTTTGTCGTAGTCTGAGTAAGTAGTGAGGGCACATATATTATTATTATTATTATTATTGTTATCACCAATATTAGTAGTATTTTAACTACTTTTTTGTTTAATTGGTTGGAGGACTTCATCATGAGCTGACATCATTTAGAGAACGATTGGAAAACCTGGGAGTACGGGACAGCTGTTTCGTCGTGGTTTGGGACTCTTTATGAGAACGCACTCACTGATGGAGTTCGAACCCAGGACCTTCTGGTTACAAGGCAAGCTCGCAGACCATAAGACCCTGGGACGCGATCCAATTGCCCATGAATTTTAACTTTTGCTAATTCCCGATATAGCACGACTACTTCGCAATGTCTTCTCCAACGAGTTACTGCCTCAACTTAAACCTGCTGCACCCTTCTTGTCACAACTATTTCTAGTTGATCTTGGAAATTTCTTTTTATGTTTCTTCCAACATATATATGATTAGTGCTAGTTGTTAACATAAATTGAACAATAGTTTTATAGAGTAGTTGTATTGGATCATTGACGCGTGGTGGAGGAGTGGTGGCTAAAATTCCATCGTAAAGTGAATTTATTTGATAAATGCACACAGTATTATTTACTGATTTGATGATGCTTCTAGCACAACTGTTTTTTTCATAGTCATTATCAGCTCACGACTCAGGTAGCCTAGTGGATGATAGCTCTTGGAACGACAAGTGCTACGATTGTATCCCACTAGGAATTCATACCACAGTGTGGATTGCTGGCGTATCCAGCTGATGATTTCTTAAGAAGGTCAAAGTGCGCATGCTGAATTCCACTTTTGGTTTACCATTGTCCAAATAACAGTAAGTACAACAGTACTAATGAATTCAAAACAGTTGGGAATGAATTTTTAAAAAAGTTACATTCAACAGCAGCTAATGCATTTTCATGTGTTTGACACATGATTGCGTTGGATACTGCTCTGAGTTGTTGCACAACCCCCCCTAGTGTGTGTAGCTTTCATACTCATTATTCAATGAGTGAAAGTCGAATTTCTATAACTCTCAGTGAATTCAAGGTATCCTGAAAAGTACTGATTATGCATAGATGGTAACTAAGTGATGTATGTATGTGTGTGTGTGTGTGCGCTTTTATTTATAACCAAGTTTAATCACCTCAAAAAAATTTACATTTTCGCAATTTTTATCTCTATCATTTTTTTCAGGTCAGTTGGAAAAAGAAGATACAACGACAATTTCCGATTGCAAATCATTAGCTGAATGCTTTTCAGTGTTCAGTCCCTCTTCTTCTTCTGTTGCTTCTTCCATGCCGGATACTTTACATTCTGATAAAATGAGCGATTCTGATTTAAGTCAGTTGCATTCACTGCTAATGACTGATTTAATCCATGGTCATACAATCACACAAATGGCTGCAATGAGTTTATTGGAGTTATTAATTTCATTTGATCGTTGCTCACACCAGTTGATTTCACAAATTGACAGTCAAGGAACTATTGACGTAAGTTTTCTTGTTGTCGTTTGTTTATTTGTTTGTTTAATTATATATTTTAAAACATTTTGTCCCTTTAATAAATTTGGTTAGTAACTGATACTTTCAAAGGTGGCGTTTGTCTTCAAAATGTGTGGCGTATTCTCGTGATTTATTCAGAACATTCTGATCACATGCGCACACGCTACCACTTTTCAATTCAGTGTACCTGAAGTTGAAAGAAATGATAAATAAAATAAAATAAAACAACACAACACAATTAGGGTTTCAAAAGTGAGGAGTGAGTCGGCTGTTCAAATGGTAAAAAGCCTGCTAACGACATGAGTGGTCCGGATTCGACTTTCATATCTGTCCTTACCTGCTACTCAAAATATCATCTTAAAAGCTGTTTTGCTATCAGTTTGTATGATTCATATCAGTGATATATGTGTCTATAGACAAGGTGGTAAACGCTACCACTTGCGCTTATCAGCGTTTAGGATTTAGTATGTTTTTCACGTTATTTTGAGTACATTGAGGTGACAAATGGATGTGTGTATGCATGTGTACTGTATTTTGGTAAAATATATCAAAACATTTTCTCGGATAAACATCATCCTTTAACAATACTGTTGTATAATGTTTTGAAAGTTTTGATAAAACGAATGGCACCATAATTAGCTCTCAAGATAGACCACTGGAACGTTGGAAAGAACACTTTGGGGAGCAATTTAATTGGCGTACAACCACACTGATGGAATGACTCCAGAGGTGCCCATGGACATTGCAGACTGTTTACTGTCTGAGTTAACTAAGGTATTACGCAACTCCTGGGAACCAGGTGTAGTCCCGCCGGGCCGGTGTCAGTCATTGATTATTCCCATATACAAGAAGGGAGACAAGTCTTCCTGTGATAATCACAAGGGGATTAGCTTTACTAATAGTGTCTAAAGTCCTAGGCTCAATAATAATGCGTAGACTAAATGTAGTGCTCGTGAGGAACGAATATGTGAGAATCAGGCAAGCAACATATCAGAAAGAGGGGGTACTGATCATACCTTCACCCTCCGACTGATTTTTGACCTGAAGGCGGCTTTCATTTGCTTCGAATAAGAGGTATCATGGCAATTGATGGCTGTGAAGGAAATGCCGAGGGAATACATCGCACTAATCAAGGCACTCTACTCGAACTCACGTAGCCAGGTGAGAGCTTATGGCGAGTTGTCATCTGGAGTGGTGACAACTAGTAGTGTCCGTCAGGAATGCCCATTTCTACTTAATCTCATCATTGATGTACCAATGTACTTGACCCTGACTTCAGTGATCCAGGGATTGACTTGTTAGCAGGGAATAATAATATTCTCATTGACTTACAATATGCAGATGATATAGTCTCTGTAGGTGGAGACGAGTCTCCTGAACCCATTGAGGGGCAGCACTAATATAGTATCTAAAGTCTTAGGCTCAATAATCATGCGTAGACTAAGTGGTGCTCGGGAAGCACAAACACGAGAGAGCCAGGCAGGCTTTAGACCAGGAAGAGGGTGTATTGATCATATCTTCACCCTCCGACAGATTCTAGAACAAAGGCATTCCTACCGGCGTCCAACAATCATTATATTTCTTGACCTAAAGGCAGCTTTCGACTCTGTCGGTCGGGAAGTTCTCTGGAGATGCTTGGTTGTAAAGGGAATTCCGAGAAAATATATTGCACTGATTAAGGCACTCTACTCGTACTCATACAGCCAGGTGAGGGCTTACGGCGAGCTGTCATCTGAACTGATGACGACCAGTGGTGTCCGTCAAGGATGCCCATTATCCCCTATTCTATTCAACTTCATCATAGATGTGTTAATGGACTTAACCCTAAGTGACTTCAGCGACTCAGGGATTGACTTGCTACTAGGGAATAACAGTCTCGTTGACTTGGAATATGCAGACGATATAGTCCTTCTAGGCGAAGACGCTGACGAAATGCAGAGTCTTCTGAACACCTTGAGCTGTAATCTACGAATGTTTGGCATGCGATTCGCTCCCGCCGCCTAATGCAAGATGATGTTACAGGACTGGACTACATCGACGCCTAGTTTAAAAATAGGGAGTGAAGTGGTAGAGCACGTTGACCACTTCACTTATTTGGGAAGTACCATCAGCCCCAACGGGCTGATCTCTGACGAAATCTCAGCACGAATACAAGGGGCTCGTTCCGCATTTTCCAGTTTACGCCGACTCTGGCGTAGACGAGATGTTCGACTATCGACCAAAGGGCGGGTGTACTGCTCATCAGTCCGCTCCGTCCTCCTTTATGGCCAGCTGTGAGACCTGGCCACTGAGAGTGGAAGATATGAAAAGACTAGCTGTCTTTGATCATAGGTGCCTGCGCTCTATTTCCCGTGTAAAGTGGCATAATAAGGTGAGCAACATTGAAGTTAGGCGTAGAGTTCTAGGTAAAGAGGGGAAATCAATCGACGAAGTCGTGAAGCTACAAAGACTGAGATGGTTAGGACATGTGTTACGTATGCCAAGTCATCGCCTCCCTCGACGAGCAATGTTAGCGGATATAGGATCAGGCTGGAAAAAAGTTGGCGGCGGTCAAACAAAAACTTGGCACCAGTCAATGAAATCCACAACAGTTAGTCTAAGCCACGTAGAAAGGTGTAGACTTCCAGGCTGGGGTCCTCGGGACGGTAAAACTCTATGGTTGGAAACAATTGGTGACATGGCTCAAAACCGTTCTCAGTGGCTAGCGCAGATGCATCCACTCCTTGTGACTTATGATCTCCAATGAAACTGTTTTGTATTTCTTTATTACTCCTTTGTCTCACACCTCTGCTCACAGTTTCTATTATGCTTTTCTTATACTTTCTTCTCTTGCTTCGCGTGCTACACGGAATGTGGCGACTTGAACTTCCGCACATTTGTGCAAAGTTCTATGTCGAAAACAGACAGAGACAGACAGACATTGAGGGGCAGCAATCTTCGAATGTTTGGCATGCGATTCGCTCCCGTCAGATGCAAGAGGATTCTACAAGACTGGACTTCATTGACTCCTAGGTTAAGGGTAGGGAGTGAAGTGGTTGGTGAAAGGTGTTACGTATGCATGTCTAGTCATCGATAGCCTTCCTCGACAGGCAACGTTAGCTGACATGAGATAGAGCACGTTGAAAAGTAGTTGCTAGTGGTGGTCGAACCAAAACATGGATTCATCAGTCAGTGAAATCCACAAAAGTTTGTTTCAGCCAGCCACGTAGGGATGTGTATACTAGCCTCTTGGTTGGGCTCTTCGTGATAGTAAAAACCAATGAAAGTTGACGACAGTTTGATATGTCTCAGATTCCTTGTGAATGTCTGGCTCAGATGCATTTACCGTTTGTGCTTTATCATGTCCAACGGAATTCTATTGTTCTTGCATATTACTATTCTTTTTGCGTCACACTTCTGTTTATTGTCTATCTTTTGAATTTCTGTGTACTCTCTTGTTTTGCTTTGTGTATCACAAGAGGGGAGTGTGGCAGCTCAAACTGCTGCACATCTGTGCAAAGTTTTGCCAGTCAGTCATGTCGTTACAGATCAATACAGATTTACGTGCTACCACATCGGTGCCGAAGTTTTAAACATACGAATGAAAAAAATTATGCTAATAAGTAATCAATTATGTATATGCTCTGTGAATTGTTGTCAGTCTTCTTTCTTTCTTTCTTCTCTTTGCCTCCTATTCATAGCATCTCTTGGAGACTATAGATGATGATTTAAATGCAATCACTAAATTCTTAACACCTACTGATGCTAGAATACATGATGATCCACAGTTAAACAAACAGCTACCAGTCGATGTGAATGACAAGTCTACACCGAATACTGTCTCTGCATTCTTTTTGTATCAATCGAAAATGTCACTTCTGTGCAGGATAGGCAGTTCACGCGCTGGTGCAAAGGTAAAACTTCGCCTTTTTTTTGTGTGTTTCTGATTGTTTAAATTGTGTTTGATACACTGGTTGCTTGAGAATGCCGGTGTGTGAATTCTAGTTTCGGTTCACTTGCCTTCACAGTTAAATGATTCAGTGGTTTGATGACAGTATTTTTTCTATGTAATTTGTAGGTGAACAGCGTCGATTGTTTGAATAAGTGTTGTCGTTATCACATGTGTCATTCTAGCGCTTTTCATATAGCCTTGATAGTGATTTTAAAAAATGTAAACAATCTGAATCCCTGGTTAGGGAATCCACTGCATATTTTGGGTTAAAATCAGCTCTTATCTGAATGATTACCTGGATAAGGGGTTTTGTGAATCAAATGTTCTGGAGCACTACATGTGGTGTTTAATTTGTATGACTGTCGCTTAATCGTGCATTACAGAAATTGTGCAATTATCTTAGAATATCGTATGTACCGGTGGTTACCCTTCCCATTGACAATAACCTGGTGTGAAACAGGGTAAGTGTGTAATCTTGTCGTAGCTTCTACCAAAGGGTATTCTTCGCCATCCTTATCAATTCGATATGAACACATGAAATGTGGAGTAAATAGAGGTGATGAAGGTGCCCAAATGACAACAGCAAGCATGAATCAGCACTACGGGGGAGTTTGTTTTCTTTAAGCCAACCTAGGAAGAAAACTGCGCTTGGCATGCATAAGGATACCGCAGTCGGAAACGCAGACAAGGCGTTCGCTACTCTGAAATCAGTGTGCAGAGGTGAAGTAGTTGGCAAAGGGAACAAGATGTCAATTGTCGCAATTAATGTCAAGTCAGATAGACAACTAGCACACGCGTCACTGAAGACATTTCTATCAGGCTACGACAAAATTTGTGGGACACTCATCTTCGCTGAATACTCTGGCAGAAAACCTGTTAACAGTCTACTACTCAACATATATGCAGAATCAAATATAGATGTGCTGATGAGACCTCGTGAGTGATACCATTCACCATGTGGTGGTTCTTCCTTTGAGTGGAATGTCAATGAGAGGCACAAGTTGGGCCTAGTTTCACAGGAAGAAAGATCGTGTGGAGGAGGAAATGAGTGCTTGTTGTGACAGTCATGGCTCCAGTTGGAGATGTTCCACTCAGGTATCAAAGAATGATTATTGGGGTAACATTAATCATTAGAGCCAAATTACTATTGATTATTAATGTTGTTCCCTCAGGTCCCGAGAGAAACTAAGGGCTTTAACGGCATGTTTCCATTTTACCTAAGCTGGAAATGCTTTTCTTAATGCGTGAAGTTTCTGATCCATGTAGTAGAAGAACTTATTTCACATCTGTGTTGAAAATTTTAATCTTGTTCTTTATGTTTTTGAGTGAAGAAGATTTCAAAACTAATTCCAGAAAGAGTGCAGGTTCGTCTTACCCCTCCGATTCTCCTTCGCTTTGACATCTTCATTCATACCGGCCACCTGTGTTTGAAACAATGCTTCCTAGATAAGTAAAGAAAGTAACCTCTGTCAAATTTCTTCCGTTGATGATGATTGGTGCTGGTCATTGTTGGTTGGTTGATTGGTTGGTTATCTGCATCATCTCCGTCTTCTCTGTGTTCACCAGCAGTCCTATCTTAGCCGCCTGCTTCTTCAGCCAATTTGTTGGTCTTAGTTTGAAATAATATTTGAAATTTGTAAAAAAATTTTATTTGTAAAATCTCAGCGATATTGAAATGAGTAATTCCAACGTTTCCTGTGTTCGGCAATCTGGTCCAAACTTCTTCAGGGAAATCAATCGAAATAAACATAACAGAGGTTTATATATATAAAAGGAACATCTCTTGTTTTTAAAAACTTTGTCCAGTCATGAGCCATAAAACAAGTGTTAACAAGTATTATAAACAAAATTGTATGAGTTGTGATCAGAATTTGACCTCAGACTTACAAATATTGATCCACCTTTGTTAAACACTTTAAACACAGTATGTATGTCTGCTATTCTGTCAAATCTTGACTACAGTTCATTTGATTTCTGAAATTTCTTCACTTATAAAGTTTATTTCAAGACACTGTCGTTCTATTATCAAATTAGGAGAAGATCTTAAACAATGCTATACCCAAATAGTTATTCATTGTTCATTCACCATATCATTTCTATCAATTTTTCTTTTTCTCTCGCTTTCCCCCTCTTCAGGTTTTGGCAAATCATGGTGTATTGAATCGTTTAGCTGATTGTGAATTATTCTCCTTATCCAATTTAGCCAATTGTTATGCTTATGGTTTAGATAATTTATATATCCGTGAAGATATTAACAATAATAATTATAACAATAACAGTAATCTTATGAATTATTCCAATCATATGGATGAATCCATCACAGCTGATTTCAACTGGTTCCATGTATTGTGTAAACATCTATACTGTTTATCACCACTAAGTGTTAGTAGTAAAAATGATGATAATGGTAATAATTACAATATTTATTGGGATATCATTGAATTAATGATTATTGGTAAAGGCAGTGTAGAGTCTAGTTGTCAGCATCAGGAACTACAAAGTGATGAAGATGAGTTGAAAGTCACCTGGGCAGCTGCATTGATGCCTACTTTGAGGCTATGTAAAATTGTATTGAATTCATTAGGTGAGTCATTATTGTTACCCTCTCCCCACCACCATTTTTTTCATCTTACAATTAATTGATTTTGTTCTGTTGATTTACTCTGCATTGTATTATTGCTTCGTTTTCTAAATCTGTCTGCCTGTCTGTTTTCGACATAGAACTTTGCACAAATGTGCGACAGTTCAAGTCGCCACACTCCGTGTAGCACGCGAAGCAACAGAAGAAAGTACAAGAAAAGCATAATAGAAACAGTGAGCAGAGGTGTGAGACAAAGGAGTAATAAAGAGAAACAAAACAGTTTCATTGGAGATCATAAGTCACAAGGAGTGGATGCATCTGCGCTAGCCACTGAGAACGATTTTGAGCCATGTCACCAATTGTTTCCAACCATAGATTTTTACCGTCCCGAGGACCCCAGCCTGGAAGTCTACACCTTCCTACGTGGCTTAGACCAACTGTTGTGGATTTCATTGACTGGTGCCAAGTTTTTGTTTGACCGCCGCTAGCTTTTTCCAGCCTGACCCTATATCCGCTAACATTGCTCGTCGAGGGAGGCGTTTTTTAAATAGAAATGATCAATATTTGTGGTTGACTGTCTAAGACACTTTGATTTCAGGCATTGTGTTCTCAGTTTGAATCCTGCTTCATCTACGTCAGTCTGGTCATCATGATTCTTCACACCATAAGTCCGACTCCTGGTCTCATTCAATACCAGGTCTTTTCCTTGCAATTTAGTGTTGTATTTCTCTTAAATTTATGGCATTATAATTGCTCTTATCCTAAACAACACCATAAGTATAGACGGCAAATAGTAAATTGATCTATCAATAGTTGACCCTCAGAACTCCCAGGGGAACATAGAGAGGATTGATGTGATGATGAAGATAACCAACCAACCAACAGCAACAACAACCAGCTTCAGTCACCGTGAACAGGAGAGATTCGACAGTGGTTACTTCCTTCGCTTATCTAGGAAGTAGGCAAAACGGATGAAGATGTCAAAGTCAGATTTGGACAGACAGGATACACCTTCATCTCTCTGGGATCAGTTTTTAAATCTTCTGTACTCCAGCAGGCATATAGAACAAAATTAGGATTTTCAACACCAATGTTAAGCCAGTTCTTCGACAGTCATATTATAGAATCAACAAAAATTAGGGAGCACTGGACAAGTCATCTATGTGGCATTGGTTGATGGTAGCGATACATCATGAATTGACGGAAGTTAGAATTCGCGGCTTTTTTTAATTCTAACCCTTTATTGGCTGTGAATAGTTAGTCAAGGGACTACTGACCTCGTAGCTGAAGGTCTTCCTCTAGAGTTGATTCATGATGATAAGGTCAAGGGTGAGAACACAAACTGTTGAAGTATCTCAAAGTAGGCTGAAAGGATTTTCAGTGACTCTCTAATTCATGTTTCTGGTTTGTAATGAAATTTTGCAATCAAATAAATCCGATACATAAATTCAATTCTTATATTAATCTCTTTTTCAGGTCCTACTCATATGTCAATTAATCAACAAGTGTTCAATTTCCTCTATACTCATTCCAGTTCATTAATGTGCAATGAAACACAGTTGACCAGTTCATTAGTAACCTTTTTAAGTCGACAAGATTGGTCTTACATAAATCATAATCATAACACTATTGATGATTTTAATAACAACAATAATACTAATAATACTGTTTCATCGAATTCAATGAATTCTGAATGGCTTATTCAATGGATAGCATCAGAAACTAATATTATTAATTTATTCACTTTAATTATGCAAGCATGTAACAGTTCACTGAGTGTATCCTGTAGCGATGAGTAAGTTATGCCTAAATTCATTACAGATTTGTTTGTCCATTTATAACCTTTGGTAATCAGTTTTCAAACATAATCTCTACCCTACACTTACCTCTGTTCTCAGGGTTTTGAGTGCAGATTTGCCTCATTGGCCTAAGAGATTTAGCTTTCGTGCCAATAAGTTGTGGGTTGGAGTCTCACTGCACCTATTTCTATGCAGGTATTTCGGTAGTGTTGTTAGACCTCACACATACGTACACTATGAGTATGTCCCATAGTCTGGTGTACATATGAGATCTGTTACACGTGATTGATCTTCAAACATTCTTATGGAAAAATCCCAAGACGTCTTCTTTGCCCTCATTAATTAACCGATTTAATTGAAAAAAAATATTTGGGTATATCAATACAACACTACATTAGAATGTGGAGGGGAGTATGAGTCATTATCGTTTTTGTTCAACTATGGGATAGAATTATGCAATACGTTCCTCCTTGTCTAACTGATTTGTAAAACTTGGGAAATGGCGTTAACCCGTTTTCTTAGTTTATTCCTGTCGTGTTTTTAGATACTTATGTGAAGCTGCGTCATATACCACTAAGCATCAGTGGGTGTTTTAATACAATATGTATTGAGCTTTATCTATTGTATATTAGAGATAGTGATACTCTATGGTTGGTGGTAGGTTAGGTGTGGAGTTCCGAACTGTGATGTGATGTTGAAGCTGTGCTAACTGTCATTAATGAGTTATAGCTCCTTATATCGAAATTGTATTTTATTGTGTGTTCGGAATCCTTGTAGTATAGAAACTACTTGTCTAATAACGGTTCAGTTACTATGACTGACAAAGTTTATGTGATGATCTCTTTAGAGATTGAATCCACGACCTTCAGGTTAAGAGATGTGCTTGTTGATCATTCAGCCAGTGAGACTGGATTCTAACCTTTGAGAATTGGTGTGATATGTAGTGCAACTGTCCACCTATGTCATCGGTGAGTGTCTTTTCTCCTCGTAGCTAGTGGAGGCTGACTGGATAATACTGCCTACTAGAATCTCAAGCAATTCCGTAATCATTCAGTGATGAGCAGTATTGATTAGTAGGGATTCGATCGACTTCAAGTTAAGCCGTGAACTGACATCAGTTATGGTATCACCAAAAACAAAAGAGTGAGATGGAGTCATGGGTCCGTTCGGTTGAGGAGGACCAAACTAGGGTGAAACAACTTTCAGTGTTCTTTCAATGATTACCTTAATGATTACAGTTCATCATTTAATTAAAAGGATCTCTCACAACATATCACGTCATTTTAAATCTTTAATGTTGTCGTTTTTGTCTTCAAAATTTGATACTATTTTTTCTGTTCTCCTTTTTTCTTACGTACCTACTCACCACTCATCTTCACTTTAGATATTCTAATCTACAACGAGAAGTGATACAGTCGAAAATTCTTCGTCATACGTTTGATCTACTCGTCAATCTTATCGATCCAAATACTGCCTATTCTACTGTTAATTATGCTTCTGCTATTACTGCGGCTAGTCATTATGATGATGATTACTTGTCTAGGCGAAGTAAATTCCAGAATAGTTGTCTAGCTTTTGAATACTTATTCATTGAAACACAATACATTCAGCTAATGTTTAATTTATTATGTGTGCTGACATCGTATTTAAGTACACCAGAGGGTAAAATAAGAACGATTCCATCAGAGGGATTGAACAAGTGGTCTACGCGTACATTATTTCAATTCTTCAATAGTTCTCCAAATATGTCTAAGCAAGGTGAGTAGTGGAATATGTGTTTGTCTTACTTATAAGTGTATTCACACATGTATTCCCCTTTATTTATTTGAATAAAGCAAAAACGACAAGTTTCGCAGAATAATATGGTAACAGCATTTATTTCGTTGGCTTCTCATCATCTGCTTACAGTCTAAATAAATTATTATTAAGTTTATGTACAGAAAAATTTTAACATACTTGCAAATTTTACATAATGTCAGTTGACAGGAAGTTTCGAACTTAGTTGAATAGTGCTCAGAAATTACGCTCATATAGGTTTTACGCATCCAGTTCAAGTTTAAGCAAGGGAGTTACCTAATAAAGATGAGGGGTCCGTAAGGTGATAGGCGACTGACTAATAAATTAGGTAACAATGTACTGAGCTCGATTCAACTCATAGAAACGAGAGACAAGCAAAATTACACTGTATTAAAGGGGGAGTTAGGCTAAAGCCAAAGACTATGTAATCAGCTGAAACAGGGAATAAAGACATCCAGTTACCAGGTTGTCCAGGCAATACTGCTGGTAACTGCTTCTTTCTGAATACATGAATTAGTTTTCTGGCACTTGATAGAGATTGCTTCGGCAAACTTGAGGAGAATTGAGGTTTTTGCCTATTGATAATTTTAAAGGATTTTGCGATTTCCACCTCATGACCCATATCACGGAGACGCCCGGCAATGTCACTAGTGTAAACGTTTGTTCCCTTGAGGAGTAAGCTTTTCAGTACATGTTTAGAAAATCGGAGGCGTACACTTCTTTCTGTCCTCCCAATGTAACTGCTCCAGCAGATACACGTACATTTGTATACACAGTTGGAGTTGTTAACATGAGAAAGGTATCTGTCGACTTTTGATTCCACCAAAGAGCATGTTATCCGATGAATGGGAATCAACTTAGCTGCAGGCTAGGCTCTGGCTAGGGACGTACTCAATCTTCTGTTCAGCTTTTAAAATCGAATTGAATGAAGATAGGCTTTTTCCCCACTGTAATTTGTTTGATATTTGAGCCTTGATGTTTTCCTTATTTGTTAATGAATATTATTAGTGTATTGTTTAGATGTAATTTTAGTTAAACTTGATTTTGTGACAGACTTTAGTTGAAACGTGCTTATGTGTTTTTCGCGTCTGTATATATTCAGTTACTAATTAACTTTCTCCCGTGATTATCTGGAAGATTTCTACCTTGATTCCCATTGTTTCATTACTATTATTACCTCGTTTTCCGAATGGAATGTGGGGCTTCAACAAAACATCTCCATTTCATTCTGTTCTATGCAGTTCTTTATAACGCCCTTCAAAACTGCCCGTAAGCTTCCATCTCCTCATGACACAAGGTTACCTTCGAAATGACGCCTAACTGGTCTTTTCCTACTTAGCTTCCACTTGAGAGTCTGGTGCTTGGTGTCAGTTACCAGTCTGATCTATCTTCATTCCCTTCTTCGTTATTACTCCTTTGTCTCACACCTCTGCTCACTGTCTCTATTATGCTTTTCTTATACTTTCTTCTCTTGCTTCGCGTGCTACACGGAGTGTGGCGAATTGAACTTCCGCACATTTGTGCAAAGTCGAATGTTGAAAACAGACATACAGACATTCCCTTCGAGATATTTGTTGGGTAATACGTTCTTAGTTGGTTCGCTGCCAAACGTTCCGTGTTGTTTATCCATTTTTGCCAGTTATATGATCTTCACTGTAGAACTAACGCTTCTGTTGATGGAAGTTTGCTGTCTGGAGAACCCTAGCATTCTGAGGTTCCCAACTACGTGGTCTACACCTCTCCCCACGTGACACTGACAACAAACAGCAAGAGATTTCATGGATTGATGCTGTGTTTTCATTTGACGGTATCTAACTCTTCTCCAGCCTAATTCTATCTCGGCTAACATTGCTCGACATGAACTCCGGTGCCCCGATATTTGCAACAGGTATTCTAGTCATCTCAGTCGACGTAGCTTCACTATCTCATTGATGTGCTTGTCTTCCTTAAGTAACCCTTTACTTAATGTATCATACCGCTTAAACATGGAATATACAATGCAAACATCAGTCCTCGAAGATAGCCAAGGTTTTTCGTATCCTCAACTTTCAACAGCCATGTCTCATATTCATAAAAGTGAAAGAGACAGAGACAACCGTTGTAAAGTGCACACATCCATTTATTGGTGCTCGCTTGGATATCACATCTATGCCAGAGATGATGTAAGTTAGCAATTATCGGACAATATTGTTCTTTGTGTTGGTTCGCTGTACTGCTGGAATTCCTTATTGCTAACAAACTAATAAAACGTAATTCTATTTTCCTTCTTACATTTATATTCTTTGTATGATATTCTCTATATAATTAGTGATTATCGTTTCTTTTTTCCTTATTTTTCCCCATATATACAGATAATAGTAGTAGTACTGATATGAATTCAAAAGTCCTCGATACGCTGACTTTATTTATTACTATATTAAAATGGGCAATGAAATGCTTATACAGCAAAGAGAAGATTTGCATATCCCTGATGAATGCTCAATTCCTTAATAATAATAATAACAATAAAAGCAAACGTTCAGAGAATCAGCACAGTGACCAACTAAAACAACAATTTGGACAGTCTGTTGTTCAACTGTTAAACGTATGTTGATTAGTTTTATTTTTTAGTTTATATTTCTGTTCAAAAGACTAATCGTGTAAAGTATGCTCATTATATGTGGATGTGCTACGTAATTCATGTGAAGGTTGGGATAATACCCCGGTTGGCCAATCTTAAGGTACGACTCAGTGAACCTGTCAATTATGGTCTGGTAAACATAACAAGAAAACAACATCACTTACTGCATTTCTGTGGTTACTGATCTATACCGCATTAGTTTCTTTTAGATCCTGGGGCCCATCTGTACTGAACTGTTGATTTTACTAACACCTCTCTCTCTGCACCAATCCTTTCATTACTGTAAAAAAACTCCTTGCTGAGTGAAGACAGTGAAAGGTGAAAACAAAACTTCAGGTGAATATAAAGAAAGCGAACATGATGAAGATAATCAACCAACCAACCGACCAGCAATAACCAGTACCAATTACTGTCGATGGGAGAAATTTGAAAGAGGTGATTACCCTCACTTATATAAGAAGCGCTGTTTCAACCACAGGTGGCCGGCACGAATGAAGATGTCAAATCGAAGCAGAATCAGAAAGGCAAGACAAACCTTCATTCTTTCTGGAATCAGTCTTGAAATCTTCTGCATTTGCTCAGCATAAATAACTACATTGGCGAGAAACTTGACCAGCGCAACACGGAAACCATTTCCAACAAGCAACTGCATACTTTTATCAATAGCTGTCTTTACTGGCTATATAGTGTATATCAGATGACCAGAAAGGATTACCAACAAGAAACTATGGGAATAAACTAACGAGGAACCTATCACTCAGCAAATATGCAGGAGGAAATGGAGATGAATTGGACACGCGCTGATGAGACCGTTGAATGATATCGTGGGCTAGACCATCACTCGAGTAAAACCCAAATGGAAAACTAAGGGTTGGGCGTCTTCTCCAGGGTTACATGGAGGAGATCAGAGATTATGGGCAATCGTGGGGTCAGCTAAATAAGACTGTAGACAACAGGATGAAAGGCGGACGTCCTCGTGAAGCTCTAAGTTCCACTCGGAACCCAAGGGAACAATGATCTTCTCATATTTGTCTTTAAGTGTGAATAGATTTTGTTTTTCAATACTGAATCGAATACAGGGCTTCAAGCTTTAATGTTTGGGTGGCGAGTTGGGTTGTTAGCTTTACGCCCAACCTAATCGCCTATCGAGATTTACTATCAACTAGTAAAGTAGACGAGGTTTGGAAATTGAACTCGGATGACTGTTATCGTTGCCGATGATTCTACTATTGAACCACCGACACACAAATGTATTGACGGTGTTTCTATAAAATCTTTATGAAGATGTGTTATTATATTAGTAAACCATAATAGAGTGATGGTAAAATAAGGATGATGAGAATAATAATGTTAATAAACTTTACAAAATAAAATGAAGCAAAATACAGTAAAAACGTTACTTTGGTCATAGTAAGGTGAATAAATGTATGTAGTGCTTTTGAACACAGATGTCTGGTTTCAAATCCCCAATAGCCGGCGTATTCAAAGTCAATTCATGCGATATTGAGGAACAGTGTGAGGCAGTTATGCGGAGGTACTCAATGTCCAGAGTTGACAAGGTGTTGGAGGATAGAAATGCTAGTATCCTCCTTTTCTGCTCTGGCTACCTAGACTAAACATTGAACTGATAAATACACATTGTGAGACAGCCAAAATCGGTACTTTATCCTTAACGTTGAGTGAATTAACTGTCTACTAGAGAATCTCACATGTAAAGTGGCTGCTTGAATAGTGTAGTGCATAGTGCACAAATACTGGATACATTTTTATATATCTCAGAAATTCAAAAGTAAATGTTAGTTAGTACAGTAATTAGGCATAAAGACAAGACTTTCTAGTCTACTGACAAAGAGATGGGGACGAATTAAAAGGGATAATACACTTCTAGCTTGCCGAAAGTAGTAGTGTATGTGTATGAATAAGAAACTGAGCTGCAATCTTCATAAATTATTTTAGCACAGGAAATTGGTATGTGCTACGTTATTCGACGCTGTATCTTTAATCAGTGTAACAATGTAATTCTAAAGTTGCTCAGTAATAATTGGATTTTTGGAGGGAAAAGTCTCATCTTTTCTCACCTATACTTATTTTTCCCGTGTCTTATATTTGTAAAAGAAAGCTACTCTCTAGTTATTGAGTTGTATGTGGCTTTTGTGACTAATCGTTGACAGTGAAATATTGCTCAACAACCATTAGCGATTTCATACAGTTGGGAATAAGCCACACGCCTGTTGTGTGTGTGTGCTAAGGATACTGCATGGCTGCTTAAATCTCTGTAGGATAGAGGCGGCTTCGAAGCCCATGACCTTTTAGTAAAAAATGCATCGTCTAAACAGTTGATATAGCTTAGAAATTAATTTTTTTACATCTTTTGTGTTTTTATAACTCTGTAATGCTGTTATTATTGTTTAATTACTCAGGATAGATGACATTTTGATCATGATATCTGATCAACACTGTTATCACTACTATTTTTATTCGTTCCTTCAAGCCTGAGTGGAATATCGTGCATTTCTGATTGTACTCAGTTCTGTATCATTACTTTCCGTTGATTTGACGACTACTCACAAGTGTTCATTTCCTCGTCACATGTCACCGTTGAATCCATGTCAGACTCCTTGTTTTCCTTTTGGATTCCACTAAAGGGAGGTCTTCTAATTGAATTTTCCAAACTACTTTCATTTTCTTGAGCATATTTTTTGAGCCATGGGTTGCTGGTTTTGGTTCTCTGCTAAATCCCCTTGTGATCAACACTGTTATTTTGACATATTTAAATAATTTATAATAATAAAAATAGCTACTATTTCAAGCAATAATTCACTTTCTTATGCTTTTATGTTGTTGTTTTTTTTTACTGTAGTGTGAATCATCCAGTGAGAACTTATCCATCAATGATTTGAGACAAGCTTCATCTATCATTTTTAATTTTTCTGCACAGTTGTTCAATTCTAATGAGTAAGTTATAACACAGTCAGTTCCCCGTTTTTTTCTTTTTTTTCGTGTGTTATGCTCTTATTGTCTTTAATAAACACTAAACATAAAGCTTACCTCATTTTTAACCCATTGTCTGAATTTTCCAGTGGCTGAGTGATCTATGAACTTGCCTACTAACCACAGGTTGCTGGCCACGAACCCAGTGAATACACACTACTGAAGAGTCCCGAATTAGGACGAAATAACTGCCAAGTATTCGTTAGTGGTTTTCAGTGGGTCTCTAATTGATTATTCGGTAGAATATTTGCCAATCACCCACGTGGTCCGAAATTTGATCCCCGGACGACTCACTCCCTTAACTAGACTTAGTCAGTCCGATAAACAGGGAAGGTATCGGCGTGAGGCCAAAAAAAGACACCGCTGCTACTGAAATTTCAAAGCACAAGCTTAAAGCCTTATATCCCACTTGGAGTGCAAAGGAATGAAAAAAAGACCCAGTTGATTTCACGTCTCAACCAATCAGCAGTAAATAGTTTTACGAAAGGCGAATATTTCATGACTCATTGACATTGTCACTTATTGTACATTGAATAGTATTCTATATAATTTCCATGTACTCTCGTTTTGTAGTCGAACCGCCGGGGGTAAAGAGAATCAGAATTCAGAGTTTATGATGATGCAGAGATTAACACAGATTGGGGCTAGTTGTTTACGTGTTCAATTGCGTGGACTTATTGGTAAGTGATTTTCTTGATTGAATTGATTTGAAATGAAGAGTTGTACCTCATTCAATGGTTGAAGTATTCCACTTTCAACTAATGAGTTAGGCATCCGGGGTATGTGCTCCCACACCTATCACGCTTTAAATAACCAGCTGGTTTTGTTATCCCTGACATACAATAGGTATAGCTTGTCATCAAATGCTAAAGATCGGATCGCCGAAAGTCATCTCCAGTAGCAAACTACTCAATAATCCTGTAGCCAACCAAATCCCTACCAACCAACACTTAAATATCGATGAGATGCTCACTAGTGACTTGCCCTATTCAGGTAGGTAGTTACCTGAGGTTCTAGTGAGAAGTCGTGACCAGTAGGGTGCAGCAGGTCGGGTGTGAGGACAGATACTTGCCGAATACATTGGTTAGGGTCGCGCTAGGTCATGAATTGGCAGAAGTTAGAATTGATGGGCCAATGGATCAGGTCCCAGTGGCTTAATGGTATACGAGCTAGCTCGCCTTGTGACCAGAAGGTCCTGGGTTCGAATCCCGGTGGGTGCGTACTGATGGAGAGTCCCAAATTAGGATGAAACAGCTGTCCAGTACTTCCAGGTTTTCCAATGGTTCTCTAACCAATGTCAGCTCATAATGAAATCCTGTAACAAACCGAATCCCTACAAACCAACACTTAAATAGTCAACAATCTATCGGCTCACAAACATGCAAAAAGAAATGAATATTGATTATCACTCATGCTCTGAAGAGACAATTAAGTGATATTTCACACTAGGCTGTGTATCGAGTGGAAGCTATAATATGATAAATATCGTGTTGGGTGCAAGTTTGAAGGTGATATTATAGATACGTGAAAGCATGTGTGTACATCTATGGAGTCATCTCAAAATGATCACACACAGAGTGCAATGTATTATTCAGAAAGCTAGAAATAAATAACTTACTAATAATTCTTTAAGTTCACGTGAATGCAAATGAATTTCGGGTGACACTTAGGTATCTGAATACTCTTTGGGCTTGAATTCTTGTTGACTTACTTCAATCTAAGCATCTAGGTAGTATCATCAGCTCTCACATGACAAGTGTGACTCTTAGCCCAATACATGAATAAACTGTTCCCTGTAATTGAACTGTTTCAGAACTATCTAGTTGGACTTACTTATTTAGCAGTTTTGAAACTATGAAAGTGGATCTCTGAATGTTATTCGACTGGTGTGTCTGTGTGTGTGTGCAGAGGTGTATAAGTTGTATTTCGTGCGTCGATAGTTCAGTGATACAATGCTCGCCAACCGTGGGGAATTTCAGTTCTGACTCCCGGCCGATGCACTCCTAAATCTCGCTTAGTTTACTAGCTGATAATTAAACACAAAAAGAGGAAAGGTTGGATGTAAAGCTAGCAACCCCACCCCTCAGAACTTCCTATGTTTCACTTGGAACCCAACCCTAATGAAGGATTCCGATTTGTTCTCGAGTGTCAGGTAGTAGTCTACTGTATTCATACGTACAATACATCACCAAAATATGATTGTGTCATAGCAGAGTTCTCAGATAGAGTACTACTGTAATCCTGACAACTGATCTTTTCATTCTGTTGAACTATCCAGAACTAACTAAGCTTTAAACAAAAGTACAAGATCATTACCTATTCCCTTCTGATTGGTTAAAGCAGTGAACTGCTAATCAATGCGTCTCAGATTCGAATCCGCACAATTCATTCTGGCCAACTCGGTAGAGTATTATTAGCTTTCACACGATAAGTGTGATTTCAAATTAGGTAACTAAACTCTGAGGTCTATCCTTCACTGATTAAATTCCTACCTATTGAAAACATTTGTTTGTAGATTGTTCTATTTGTCAGTTAACCTGTTATTATTTTTATTATTCCTTTGAGTTCCAAGTAAAACATAAGGCTTCGGTACTTTCATTTCACCATGTTTTTTTGCCGTCTCCACGATTACCCGTACTCTTTCATTTCTCCTTCAATATAATATCGTCTATGTCACTCTCGAAGCGACGCCCAACTCGTTGTTTACTATTCAAGTTCCATTTGAGAGCCTGGCGCGCGACGTCAACTAATTCAATATCCGATCGTAAGCATGGAAGATAGGGGAAGGTTTGGCGTCGATCTGGTGACCCTACCCCCGAAAATCAATTCATTTGCTTCAGAAACTCCAAATCCCATAAAAATATAAAAACTGAACTTATTCTTGACTGGAATCGAAGAGACAAAATGACACACTGGCTGGTGAAAGTCTTCAGGAAGCTAGTCAGACTGTATGTCTCCTTCTTCCGATGAAAGCAAAAACAAGTAGAGGGACATAGAATGTTCACACGATAATCAGTTGTCCTTAATGAATATATTCTTGTTGATTTTACCAAAGTTTTTCTCGTTTAACTAGTTTTTTTTCCTCTCATGATTTATTCATACATATATATATCCCTATACTATACAGGTATTATTGAACAGTCAACCTTTTTATTATGGAAGCATTTAACTAACTTCATCAATAACCATGATACAAAAGTTGAAAGCATCAAAAAAGATCAATCTTTACAGCCTCAACGTTTACGTGATCTCTCTTCAAGTTTTACGTTATCACCGAAAGCGAAACCCTCATCTCCAGCAAAACGACAGATTACAGTTGGTACGCCTGCTGCTGGTACTCGTCATGAAGACAAGAGTCTACTGCAAAAGAATATTGCCTTTCTTCGTAGTCATTTCAATCATTCAATGCTTCATGAAATGTTTGAAATGCTCAATCACTTAACTAAGGTAGGTAACGTTTTTTTAAATGGCTTCAGAGTCTTTATTTCCGTAATACATAGAACTTAAAGAAAACGTATGATTGGAACAACTGAAATTCGTTTGATCGATTATGTTTACCAGTGGAGTCCAGAACGCACATGCTCTCCTATTTTTTTGCAATGCATCATTTAGAAGAACCTGATTCCTAATGCGTGATAATGTCGTCAATAAAAACTCGAAGTCAGCACTCATTTCTTCAAACGCAAAACTGTCATCTACTGGGGACGAGTGTTTCACTGGGAACACTGTCATCCATTTAAATGCGCAAGTACATCTGTCTGACAAGTCCTAAACGCGTCGAAAGACGCCTTCTGAATTCCACTGCTTTCTAGCGAACATTAAACCAACGACTTTGAGTCAATAATGCTGGAAATATTGAAGCAGCCGTTTAACAGGCTTTTCAACTCCACAGACACCAAAAAATCTTAACTTCGCCTTAAGGGTTCGTCTACTAAATACTGCTGAGGCTGGCTGTTGGGATCCACACTAAGAAGTCTATTCTATGTGTTCATAAGATGCTAGTTTAGACATTTTCCTTACCTTGGCTATCTAAGTTCGAATGATCCTCAACTTTTGTGAAATTTTCCTAATTTTAGTTGATATACTATTCGCTAGTATATCTTTATTATTATTATTATTATTTAAAAGACACTAATATTGTTACTGACCACCATTCTGGAATATTCTATGTATATAAAGTTGTATATATAATTGTAAGGGCAGAAGAGGAAATTATCAAAAAGGATATTCTTTGCTCAATTATTTTGTTTTTTATAGATATGAGTGAGTAATTTAAAGTGAATATAGTTGTTTTCGTTGGGCAATACCTACCTTTAATGGATTTTTCTGTGGTATTAATTCAACTACCCATCTCCTCTATTTCCCCTTTGTGTTTGTTTTTCACTTATTAGGCTGCTTTCTTAAAACAGAATCAACGACTATTTATTCAAGTTATGCATGATCGGTTGGAGAAGATTCTGATAAACATGAACACCAATCAGAACATTCAGTGATGATGATGCAATCAATCAGGAATGGATCATTTTGATTCAAATAATAAAGAGGAACAATTGCAGCTACACTGTCCCTATCACTATTTTTCTTTACTTGTTTCATGCGTAAATTTCATTGTATGTATATTCCATTCTGTATTTGTGGATGTTTTTATTTATAAATGCCCCCAGGTATCTGTATACAAATCAGAGTAAGCTTTGGCTTTTGTTTTGAAGAAAATCAACATCTGCCTTTTGCAAAAGCGGGTATTATAATAACTAGAGTGGTGATCAGAAGTAATTCACAGGAGTACTAGTAACGGTAATTTTAGCAAACTGACTGACTGCTGGGTTTCAACGCATCTTAAGTGTACCAGTTCAATTTGACACACATACTCGACGTAGCATCCAGAGGTAGAGCAAAGAAAGGAAAAACAAATTTAAGAGAACTACTATAAGCAGAAATGTACAAGAGAAAGAAAAGTAACATGGAAACACATGAGTGTTTACTGCATCACCAATAGTTTCCAGCTATTATTGGTTCTTAGTATTCCGAGGACTTCAGTCAGACAGTCTACAGCTCCCTACGTGGCCGGCTCAAACCATCTGTCAGAGACTTCATGGACTGATGCCAGGTTCTGATATACTCGCCGCTAACTCTCCCCAACCTAATATTACGTTAGCCCACGTTTCCGGTGGAGGTGGGTGGTGACTAGACATGTGCAACACGCATCCTAACTGTATTAACGTCCTCGTCCGTGCCCCTTGTAGTTGAAATAATGTAGCCGAGGTATGCAAAAGAGCCAACTTCCTTAAGATTCTTCCCGCTGGTAGTGATTGGTGTCGTCATCACTTACCTCTGTGTTCAACCGAAGTCCTGTCCGTTACTTATCTGTTCTGCCATCTTGTTGGTTTTTGCTTGTAGATCTCGGAGTTTGTGTGATACACTAAAAATAAGTCATCTGCAAAGTCAGCCTTTTTGCCGACTCATAGTATGCTTGTCTTCTCACTCTCCACAGTCTATTGGATGATCAAGTCCACCACAATTAGAAGTATCACCGATGAAGGTGGGCACAGTCTTGTATTTCTACTATCTTCATTGAGTTTCCTCTGATATAATTATAAGCAATAAATCGTGTTCGAAATATAACTTTAAGAAAAAATAATACTGTATAACTCGTCGTGTGTTTTGTCAAATTATTACATGTTCGCTTGCTATTCAGTGCTGTTAAACAAAAGCCGACCATTTTGAAAGACTGATATAAAATATAGGATATGTATTTTATTTTACATAAGATATATATTATACAATTTGTAGGAACAAGTGAGAAAAAGGGGGGTTAAGCTGAACAATTTTAATTTGTCTGATATTAATCCAAGAATATTTTTTCCGCTTGAAAGTGGATGATATGCGCACTTGAAACAACAAAATAAATTCTTTGTACACACACATTGGGAGATTTCGCAACCGTCTCAAACAAGCTTCTCTCCAACTTATTTCATTATTTTACTCCATTTGTCATGGAATCATCAATTTTCATCTTTGCTTCAATTTTTTTGAAACCACATGTGCTACTGAAATACTTATTCCCAATTTCCATTGGTTTCTCTGCAGCTTGTGGATTGACAATTTCTAATCCCTAAAGGCAATTTTTAAATGAAAATAATGATTATAAGCACAAAAAGGGAGAAAGTTTATACATATATTCCTGAATGAATGAATGAGTTTCCGCATAGAACTCTGTACAGATGTGCAACACTTCAAGTTATCCTACCATGGAGAAAAGTGACAGAAAGTAAAAATATCTGTGGTAAGCGGAAATGTGTAGATACCGATCACGCCATTGGTCCGCGCTCGGGTGTGCTTACGACTGAACGGACGTAGGAAACAGCTGGCGGTAAAACCATCACGTCCCCAGCTCGATCAGGAAACTAAATCCCTATTTGAGGAAGAACTAGCTAAACACATATCTGAGTTCGACAGCTGTGCTCACCCTGAAGAAGCCTGGAAGAATATTCAGTCAGCTATAGATACAGCTGTAAAAGCTGTGAATAAGGCAAATCCAAAGGTGAGTAAAAACCACTGGATTTCGACTGCCTCATCCGAACTGATAGATGCTAGAAGACTTATTCCGGCGAGCTCCGAATTCAATGAGGAGCGAAAGCTGCACAAAAGGAAACTTACTAAAAGTCTCCGCAAGGAACAGTGGTGGGTGACAAAGGCGAAAGAGATGGAAAAAGCATCGGCGATAGGCAACTCTTTAGACTCATCAGAAACGGGTGGGAGAAGGCAAATCATAAGTGAGACTATTTCTGAGAAAAATGGCTCCTTAATTAGCTCTCAGGATAGACGCCTTGAACGCTGGAAAGAACACTAGCCACACTGAACCTCCCCGACATCCAGCACACACCCGAATGGGATATAGACACTGGTCCGCCGTCTGTAAGTGAGGTCACAAAAGCTATCAGTAATTTGAAACGAGGCAAAGCGGCAGGACCCGACGGAATTATTCCGGAGGTGTTTAAATATGGGGGTGACATACTAGTTTGTAGATTAACTGAGGTACTAGGCAAAGTCTGGGAATCAGAGACAGTGCCATCAGACTGGGGTAAGTCACTTATTATACCGATATTCAAGAAGGGAAACAAGTCCTCGTGTGATAATCATAGGGGGATCAGCCTAACGAACATAGTCTCTAAAATCCTAGGCTCAGTAATCATGCATAGACTAAGCAGAACTCGGGAGGAACAGACAAGGGAAAATCAAGCAGGCTTTAGACCAGGTAGAGGGTGCATAGATCATATCTTCACTCTTCGACAGATTCTAGAACATAGACACACTTTTCGGCGTCCAACAATTGTCATATTTCTTGACTTGAAGGCGGCCTTCGACTCCGTGGATCGAAAGGTACTATGGCAATGTCTGACTGTGAAGGGAGTGCCAAGAAAGTACATTGCACTAATCAAGGCACTCTATTCAAACTCACGTAGTCGTGTAAGGGCTTATGGGGAATTGTCATCTGAATTGGTAACAACCAGTGGTGTCCGACAGGGATGTCCACTTTCCCCATTTCTGTTTAACTTCATCATAGATATGCTAATGGAAGTATCCTTAACTGAACGTAATGACTTAGGAATCGACTTGTTACCAGGGAATAATCTTATGGACTTAGAATATGCAGATGACATAGTCCTGTTAGGGGAGGATGCTGACAAAATGCAGAGTCTTCTGAACACCTTGAGCAGCAATCTTCGTATGTTTGGCATGCGATTCGCCCCTGCAAAATGTAAGATGCTGCTACAGGACTGGACACGTCAACCCTAACTTAGTGATAGGGAGTGAAGTGATAGAACATGTTGACCACTTCACCTATTTGGGAAGTTGTATTAGCACCAACGGACTGATTGGCGATGAAATCTCAGCACGGATCCGAAAAGCTCGAGCTGCTTTCGCTGACTTACACCATCTCTGGCGTAGGCGTGACATCCGGTTATCAACCAAGGGACGTGTGTACTGCTCATCAGTTCGCTCCGTCCTTCTCTATGGCTCTGAAACATGGCCAATACGCGTTGAAGACATGAAAAGGTTGACTGCTTTCGATCATAGATGTCTGCGATCTCTGTCTCACGTTAGGTGGTTTAATAAGGTAAGTAATGTTGACGTTAGGCGTAGAGTGTTGGGCAAAGAGGGAAAATCAATCGACGAGGCTATAAAGTTACATAGACTAAGATGGCTAGGTCACGTGGTGCGCATGCCTAACCACCGCCTCCCCCGACGGGCATTACTAGCTGATATAGGTGCAGGTTGGAAAAGAGCCAGTGGTGGCCAAACAAAAACATGGCCTCATCAATCCATGAAATCCTTGACAGTTAAACTGAGTCAGGTAGGGAGATGCAGACTCCGGGTTGGGGCCCTCGGGACTCTAGGAATCAATGGCTGGAGACAATAGGTGACATGGCTCAAAATCGTTGTCAATGGCGCAGATGTATTCAGTCTCTGTAATCTTTCATATTCCTTTCTACCATTACCCATTCTGTTTCACTCTTATACTTGTCAAACTCTATTGATTCTCTTCACTCATCTTCTTGTCTACCTCTGTGTGCTATTTGGAACGTGGCAACTCGAACTGCTGCACTTCGGTGCCAAGTTCTATGTTGAATCCAGACAGACAGGGTAGGACCATGGTAAGACATGAGGGTTCAATAGCTATCGAAGATAACAGAGTGTGAATACATCTGCATCATTGAGAACGATTTTGAGCCATATCACCAATATTCTCAAGTGATTGTTTCTTAGAATCCCGAAAACCTTAAACAGGCAGTCTGCCACCACCCTATGCAGGTCGAAATAACTGTCAAAGATTCCATAGATGGATGCAAGAGCTTGACCCTTTTTCCCACCGAATCCTATGTCGGTTAATATTTCTGGTGATGACCCGGCATATACAACACGTGGCCTAGCCATCTTGATCGACTCACCGATTGATTTCCTTTTCTTACCTAGTAGTCTACACTTAACCTTAATATTACTCACCATACTATATCAACTAGCACTGGAGGTATAACGCAAACATCCGTAATCAGAAGACAGTTAGGCTTAGATATATTCTGGAACATAAGCATACTTGCCAGCGTCCAACACTTGCCATATTTCTTAAGTTGGAGCAAGCGTTTGACTCTTTCAGCCAAGAGGTGCTGTGGCAATTTCCACTTGTGAAGAAAGACACTCTACTCAAACTCATGCACCTGTGTTAGGGCTTATGGAGGCTTGTCATCTCTAGTGATGACAATCAGTGGTGTTCATCAGGAACGTCCACCGATCTCAGTTTTGTTTAATTTCATCGTAGATGTACTAATGGATGTGACTAATCGACCTTAACAACTTAGGGATTGATGTGTTATCAGGGGACAGTGTTGTTGATTTAGAGTATGCGAGTGATATTATTCTACTAGGTAGGAACTCTGACAAAATTGAAAGTCTTCTGAACACGTTGAACAGAAATTTTGTATATTTGACATACAATTCGCCTTTGTCAAACATAAGATGTTACTATAAGACTACCCTGCGCTGACTTCGCTCTGTCCTCCTTCAGCGATGGGAGATATGCCCGTTGAGAGTGGAAGATTTCGAAGGGAAATTATCCCAATCAAATCTTAGACAGAGGAAACACCAAAATTGCCAGGGAATTTCTAGAAGCCTGGTACTCAAAGGAATATGCATTTAACAAACACATTAATATAGACCAAATGTACCAACTAATATAAAGTAAATCAGGTGACCAGAAAGTTTAAAATCCAAGTCAACAGAAAATGGTCAATACATATGTAAAGATGATTACCTGGAGACACAATTATATCACTCATGAAGAATTCAAATCATTTCTCTTTATGCTAAATATTGCGCTGAATATGTTGTCCAGAAGGACAACGAAAGCTCCGCAACTAAACCAACCAGCTCAGAGAACACTATTAATTGCCATCACACTTTAGCCCAAGCAACTACGTGGAATCATCAGTCTTCACAAAACGACTGTAGCTCATGGTCTGGTAAATCAAAATATCTTTCAGTCAACTAAGTTCTGACTAACTTCCATATTACTAGAAGTAGCAGTACTAACAATCTCCTTGTTAGCTATATCAATACAATGCAATAGAATTCAGGAAAGACATCAGTAGTCCCTTCACAATACAGAATGTCAGTTGAAAAACTGTGACGAAAAAATATCAAATTTATGCATGGATACATACATACATAATAAGGAGATAGACACTTACTTGTAAGGGAGTGAATGCAATTGAAGAGGATGTGCCAGCCACATGTTTACGAATAGTAGAACTCCCACCCCAACTTGTAGCGCCTAATGCAGTAGTCGGCATAGTAGACATACCACCAAATTTTGATAATTTCTGTTGTAATGCTTTACTCACACGAGCTTTAGTCTTTGAATCTGCTTGTGGTGCACGTAAACGACCAGCAACACCACGTTGACCAAGTGAACCTAATGAAAATCCCAGATCACTTTGATAAGCATCATCAGTAATCTCTCCAAATTGAATACGATTCGCTGATCGTCGTAGTTCACTCATGCCTAAACGTTCCTTCATTTTTCTATAACGTCTACCACCACGTTTTCTGTAAACGCAAAAAAAAGAATATCCTCAGATTTGTTGACTGTGCTCTACACTTTACAAAATTTTGATTTACACATTAATGTAAGCGTAAGTGGAACATAGGAAATCAGCAGCACATCTACATCCTGTTCCCTAAATTCCTCCACGATAGCCCATAAGCTATCGTCTTCTCCTTCTCACACGATCTTCTTTATGTCATCCTTCCAACGCTCGACCCGACGTTCCCTATTAGGAGGACCCCGCTCGACAGCCTGGTGCTTGATGTTATTCTCCAGTCTCCCTAGTGTGTCTCATCCATCTTCATTTTCTTCGGCATATGTTTCGAGCAATAGGTGTTTGGTTAGTTTGTTCCCATAGTTTCTTGTTGCTTATTCCTCCCGGCCATTTGATCCTCGGTACGGAGCCAACGAATGGGGCAGCTGCTGATGAAAGTCTCCAATAGCCTGTTGGAAATGATGTAAGTGAAACGATGTGCCACTGAAATATGTAGAAGCACTGAATAACTTGAAATTAATGTTGACAATCCGAGTTCCCTCCTTTAGTGTGAGTGCAACAGATTTCAAGACTGATTTTAGAGTAGTTTGTCTTGGCAATGGTAAACTAAATATGTATGTAATAGAATGCTTGCCAGGCAATCAAAAGCTTCGGGTTAAACATCGCCTCATCATCAGTAAGCCTCGAATAGAGGGAAGATTAACAGTGTGGCTAGCTAGAAATTCCACTTTCTTAAGAAAACAACATCATCGCGACTGAGACTTGAAAAGTTTGAAGTCGTATATTTATTTCACTCGAAATGCAAAAAATGAAAACAAAAAACAACGAATATAAACATTAAATGACGCGGGATGGAGGGGGGGAGGGAGGGAAGAAAAGGAGGAACTCACTTAGCCGGTGGATCTATTGGAGCTGGTAAAGCTTTAATCGCTTTCACTGGAGGTGGTTCTTGCCATTTATCAAATTTTCGCTCAATTTCTAATAGAAGTTTTTCTCCAACATGTCCATCCTAATGAAGTGAATGATTTTCAAGGAAGGAAAGAGAACAGCAAAGATATGTTTCTCTTAGTAAACACAGTGAAATGGAAGAATGTTTCATTATAGTATTAGATTTTAATCAATAATATAATGTAAAAGACAATTTAAAACACTCATTAGTGAACAAACAAAATATCCTTCCATTGTGGATAAAATTTTATTTTGATAAAGTCTCACAGTGTTATACACAGTAATATTTACTGATGGAGATGTTTTGAGCACAATTTATTACTGCTCATAATTATATCAAAGTATCTGAAGCCCTTAGACGAAGATAAAAGAGGATGGCTAAAGTCTAAACTTGTTGATATTGCTAACCAATACCACATATCACCAGTGGAGAAGCAGAAGATGCCGACCGAAGAGCATAGAATAGCTCTGAAGAAACTATATGAAAACGATGAAATCGTCATATTTAGACCTGATAAAGGCTCAGGGGTTGTTATAATGAACAAAGCTGATCATATACATAAAATGATGACAATTCTAAACGACAAAGAAAAATTCCAAGTAGACAACAAAAAAGATGCCACAACGTCATTTGAAAATAAAGTTAATAAATGTCTCAAAGAACTTCTAATGAAGAAACTAATCAACAGCGAAACATATAATAAACTGAAGTCAAAAGGTGGACGCCTGCCGTCTATGTACGGCCTACCAAAAATTCACAAAGCAAATGTGCCAATCCTGTCAATGATTGACTCACCATGCCACAAGCTAGCTCGATGGTTAGCTGATTCTATAGAGCCCATTCGAATTAAATTTGCAACCCACAGCCTGAAGGATAGTTATCAATTTTCCAAGGAAGTTGACAATATCGACATATCAGACAAACTCATGGTACCATATGACGTGACCTCCTTGTTTACAAACGTACCACTGATGGAAACAATTGATATAATTTGTAAACAAACGGATCTACTACCACTACCGGAGACAGAGATGAAGCGACTTCCACTACTCTGCACAAAAGATATACAATTCAAATTCAACAATCAACTTTACCGACAAATCGATGGGTTCGCTTCTGGGACCTATCCTGGCTGATATCTTCATGGGCTACCTTGAGCAGACATAACTAAGTCCTGCTATCAATGGAACGACCTACTATCGCCGATATGTTGATGACACATTTGTTGTTTGCAACAATATGGATCACGCATCGGCACTATATGATCACCTAAATGAGATACATCCAAATATCAAATTCACCATGGAAAATGAATATAATAATGAGTTCAATTTCCTGGATCTAAATGTAAAAAGAACAAACGAAGGCATGGTCGAAAAGTCCATCTATAGAAAAGAAACCTGGACTGGACAATATCTTCACTATAACAGCTTTTGTCCCATAAGCTATAAACGTGGATTAGTGAGGACTTTGTATGACAGAGCCAGGAAGCTATGTTCACCAAACAGGGTCGAAGAAGAATTAGTTTTCGTCGAGAAATGCCTAAGGGAAAATGGATACCCTAAGGGATTTATACAGAAGTACAGCAGAGAAAAAGATGAGAAAGAAAAGCATCCAACTGTAGAAAGGAAAAAAAGTGTTTATTCGTCTACCATACAAAGGAGATGCAGTGTCACAAAAGATTGACAAAAGACTGAAAGGTGCAATAAATAGAAGCTTCCCGGCAGCAAAACTCATAACAGTACACAGCACCACTCCTTCTTTAATCCCCTCAAAACTGGATAAATACCCTGCTGATGTCACCTCCAACTGCGTTTATGAATTCACGTGCACTTGCGGGAGCAAGTACATTGGAAGGACAGAAAGAAGGGCTTCTATCCGGTTTTCTGAACATATTCCCAAAAACCTGTGCCTGAAAGGAAGCAGATATTCCCAGAGTGCAATTACCAGACACATTGTTGATACCGGACATCTCGTAGAGATTTCTAAGTCCTTCAAAATATTAAATAGACAAAGGACAGCAAATTTACTACGATTTGCCGAAGCAATCGCAATCAAACAACTTAAACCAGACTTATGCATACAGAAAGAGAGTATGATTAACCTCTCACTACCTTGGTAACAGAATTTGATTTTGATTAGTCATCTAATTCAGTGATCTCAACTCACTGAACAAATCTTAATCTCACAAACTGTAACCGCTTTTGTTTCTTGAGTTGCTATGTGAACCTACAAGCTAACACTGTTCTGTTAATCAATTTTTTCTGTTTTCTGTCTTACCCCTCCCCTTCTTTTCAACTTTAAAAGCGTATAAATTGATGATGAAAACTTAAACTAAAAACATTGTAATGCTTTCATTTAGATGCGTCAATTTTATACTATCTCTTCTCTACCACCACTCGAACATTAAAGTATGTCATTATCATCTATATAACCATTGTAATTTCAGGTAGTCTGCAGCTGATGAGAACCTGTGAAATAGAATGATATCATTTTATACTGCAAATTTATCGAAACATCAAAGTACTCACACAACTTTCTAACTTCGTTTATATGGTTCCACTATTTTTCATCGCTTGACTTGATTGGTAGTAATATTTCCATATTTCTGGTATGAGTGATGAGTCATTCCCATTGTACGTGTTGGGTGTAGACATTCAATGAAAAAAGATACAGTAATCAACCTCTCTCCATCTACTTATATTACTTTTTAGAATTTTAGCCCTCTCCCAACCATATTGTGTGAAAGTGTGTCGCATGCAGTGCAATTGCTGAGCTTTTTTCTAAATTACTTATCTTCGCGGGGTCAACTCTAACTATAGCTAATTTCTTATGTTCTGGTCATCTCACGACTCTCCTGATCTACTAGTTTGACCTATGTGGTTGACCTCACTCACAGTCATTGCAAAGTATTTTGTAAATTATATTATTTTACTTAATTGAGCCCACCAGATCTTTTAGCCTACACAGCTTGTCTCTGAGTGAGTCTGTAGGTTTGAATGCCACCACCATTTCTGCTTTGTTGAGAATGCTATGCAGGGCCTTATATGTCCCCTCCTTATATGGTATAACTGTAGATGCCTTCTGTTCTTTCCTATTTATGTTATCATAATTAGTTTCCCCTTTATTTTTATTTTGCTTTTGACCTTTTCTGATCTTCCTAATAAATTTTGTAGGATAGTTATTGAACACTAATGCCTTTTTCTATCTGTTTCATCTCATCATTTAGGCCTTTTTTTGTCGTACTATTTAGTGCTATTGCTCGGTTTGTTAGACACTTAACTAAATTTTATTCACAATGGAATTTAACTCTACCACAGTGCATAAGTTCTATTCATATATTTTAAAAAATGTTTTCGATAACCTCTTCCTTTTCATGTTTTACCGTTCACATGGCAAAAATAATTAAAGATCTCAAAATTAGTACTACCTAAGTACATATTGTTATAATTACCGGACACTATATTACCACTAAATTGGTTCAGATCAATGTTTGTTTAAAGACCTGATTAGCTGAATTAAGAATATTTGACAATATACCCATTTCCATAGCTTCGTCCCTCTCCAATAGAAAAAAAATCTGGGTCAAAGTATTAAGTTTACACTATGTGAATGAATATGAACTTAAGATTGTATATGGTACCTGAAATGAGAATAGCTATCTAGAAAAGTCCATCATGAAACACAGTCAAGAAAATATAAAAGAATTCTTCTGTAGACAAGAAGCCTCCATATGTGCAACTGCAATTCAAAGGTGATGTACCTGGTGAAATAATAAGCAACAAGTTAAGAAACTCGATTCAAAGGACTTTTAATGCCGATAAGCAACACGATCGGTTGTTATCCCAAAGCCGAAAGATTGAAGTACCTAGACCAGCCATATTTTCTTGTCAGTTTGTCAATGCAGCTGCTCTTATGGAGGAGATCACATTGACCGATGCTCTACGAACTTAACTTTTCTTGCTCGGGAACACCCACCAATGCGGCTAAATAATGGTGTGGTAAAAACCATCAACAGTTCGGGAATAGACAACATGATCCAAACAGACCATAAAGTGAGTATTGAAGGAACGTAACCTATCATCTATTGGCTGCCAAATTAATGACCAAACGCCTTTAAGTACAGAATATTCTTAAAACCAGAAGCGATTACGACTGCCTTAAAAAACCGGAGGTCTGCGTACGAAAGACACAAGTCGAACTAATAGTGTTACCCTAGTCTGTATTGGAGCCTATTAATTCATAAATTCTGTATTATTTCATCTGATATCCAATTTAGTGTTATATTTATGCATGTTATCACTTACAGAGGCTTTTGAACTGTAATTTATTGATCTGAATGATCCTATGTTATTCAGAAAAAGTAATTATTCTTTAACTATCATGGATATATAACTGTAGAACCTGATGAGGAGAAAGCTATTGAAAAGAACATTCTTTGAAGTTGTCAGCCTCAGCGCTCAACTTTCCCTGCTTTCCGGGGCTTCTGCCGGCTAGGCGCTCTAGGAGTACACTGGCCAGGAACCCGACCCTGACCTTCCATATAGTTGACAAGTATTCTTCTGTCTGTCTCTGTCTGTTTTCGACATAGAACATTGCACAAATGTGCGGAAGTTCAAGTCGCCACATTCCGTGTAGCACGCGAAGCAAGAGAAGAAAGTACAAGAAAAGCATAATAGAAACAGTGAGCAGAGGTGTGAGACAAAGGAGTAATAAAGAAATACAAAACAGTTTCATTGGAGATCATTCTTCTTCTTCTTCTACGACAGAACCATCGATGTACCAGGTGTTAAATCCACTATACAAAAACAGAGCTTTACAGAGGTTCAACATTCATAGCGTAGAGGTGTCACCCATTTGTACTCGACTTTTGAACGGTAGGTTCTAGGTTTGAAATCCCTACTTGAGACTGAGTAACTAGATAGTTCCATCAGACCACACAGAGTAAGTGTGGCTCATATGGCCTAATACACGGAAAACATGATTCAGGTAGTTCATTTCGAACTAATCTATAACATAATCTTACTGACAAAGTAACTCATTCAAGACTACCCACAAAATTGGAAAGTCTTGGAATCACTGGTGCGTTGCTAATCTGAATTACGGAATTCTTCATACGTAGGAGACAGAGAGTCAAGATCAACTCAGAAATCTTCTGGTCAACGGTATGTAGTTGAGTTTCACATGGCAGCGTACTTGACCACCTCTTATTTATCTTGTATATCCACGTATAACTTAGGCTCACTGAACCTCCAATGATGCTTTATGCAGATGACCTAAAAATTTGGAGAGCTTTAAGGTGATAATGATATGCTCGCATTGTCAAGAAATCTCAAAAAAAACTGTTAGATTGGTCCAAAGAATGAATGCGAATTGCACAACCAGACTTATCAAACAGGCAAGCGTCACTTCATACGAACTAGGTGGATTAACACTCCTTATCACTTCACACCCATATGCATCTATCAGTGTCATAGCAAGTCGTGACCTTAAAACCACAACACACTATCATGAGGTAGCAGCTCAGCTTTCTAAATCTTTATGGGGAAAAACATAGAGTGCTTACTGGGATCACCTGTGGTGAGGTCAAAACTGGAAAAGTGCATCCAGGCAACCAGTCATTGCGGGGTGGTGGTGGTGGGGACCCACACATTCTAGAAAGGGTTCAAAGGAAGACAACACGTATGATCCTTGGTATGACCAATTCATCATACCAGAAGCAACTTGCTCATCTGAATTTCTTCTCTTTGTCGTACCATACGCAAAGAGGAACTCCAATTATAATGTTTAAATTTCTACAAAATGACTATGTAAGTGATCCATCTTATTCCTCTTCCTCTTCCTACCGACCAGGTTGGTTGTATATCTCAGATGATATACCAGGAGAGTTCAAAAGCCAAGGAGGAATTATATCGATGTAGAGTACTGCTTCTCCCACTGAGTCATAAATACTTGAGACTAAACTCCACAAAAAGTTGTATCACAGTCATTTAAGGGTTTAGATAAACACATAAACTTAGATAAAATGGAGAAGATTTGCAGCTCCGCTCAGGTGGATGATTTTGATGTTGTGTTCTCTGAATTGGGTGGTTTATTTGCGAAGCTTTCTTTGCCCTACTAGGCAGCAACATCTTCAGCGCATACTTCAACTGGAAGAGCATAAAATTACTAGAAAACCATCAACACAGGCTTCAATTCTTCTATCCTCGATGAATGAATTTGAACCCAAAGGATGACTGACCGACTGGTTTCAACGTAAAACTTCGCACGGATGTGCAGCAGTCCAAGTTAATACACTCCAAGTAGCACACAAAGCAAGGGAAGAGAGTAAAGAGAAATTCAAAACAGAAAGAGATAATAAACAGAACTGTGAGGTAAAAAGAATAGTAAATCTAAAGGATACTCGCTTACTGGATTGTACACCATAACAATAATCGAAAAGGGTTATCTACACAATCTAGGGGGTAATGACCTTAACGAGTAATCACTCACACACACACACATACTAAATTAACTGGAAGTGAAATGACGGCGGAACACTTGCTCTTTTACACACGTACACGCACACACACACACACACAAGACAATAAACTTACAGGAGATTCATGGAATAAATCTACACGTGCAGCCAATGCCACTTTATTAGCAATTAGTCGAGCAGCTTTTAAACGTAAATCTGGTGGTAATTTTTGTACAATCTCTGAATTGAATACATATCCTGTATGCGGTAGAACTGATGTATTACTGAAACCAGATAATAAACGTTTCTGTGCACCTAAGACAAGTATATTACACGATGGCATTTTTGTTAGAGCAGTTAGCCCACCAGCATGACCTATAAAACAAAACCAAAAATAGAAACAAACAAAAGATTCATAAGTTATTACCAAAAGCAATCACATTTTCGATAAAGAAAGAAAGACCAGATTTGCAGTATAAAATGATATCATTCTACTTCACAAGCTCTCATCAGCTGCAAACTACCTGAAGTTGCAATGCTTACAAATAATAACATTTCATACTTCATTGTTCGAAAGGTAATAGAGAAAACGTTATAAGGTGAACGCATCACCAACTTATATACTATCAAACTGAAAAAAAGAAGAAAAAAGGGGTGAGAGAAGGCAGAAAACAGAAAAATCTAACATATAGTGTCAACATGGCAACTCAAGAAGGTCAAAGTTCACCAATTTGAAAACTTGCTTAGTGAGTTGAGCTCACTAGTGTGTATGACTAATCAGTGTAATGAAAGTGATATGGTTACCAAGGGAGTGAGAGATTGACTACACTCTCTTTCTGTGTGTGTAAGTTTGGTCTGTGACGTTTGATTGGAATTGCTTCAGCAAATCGTAGTAGATTCGCTGTCCTTTGTATGTTTAATATTTTGAAGGATTTGGAAATCTCGACAAAATGACTCGTATCCATTAGGTGGGTGTCTGGTAATTGCACTTTGTAAATATCTGCTTCCATTTAGGCATAAGTTTCTTGGAATATGCTCTGAAAATCGGATAGAAGCCCTTCTTTCTGTCCTTCCAATGTACTTGCTGCCGCAGGTACACGTAAATTTGTAAATGCAGTTGGAGGTAACATCAGCAGGGTACTTACCCAGTTTCGATTGGCTTATAGAGCATGTAGTACTGTATAGTGTCACCAGATTGGTTGCAGGGAAGCATCTCTCTATTGTTCCCTTCATTCTCTTTTCAATCTTTTGCCATACCGTTTCTCCTTTGTATGGGAGGCAAATTAATACTTTTTTCTTTTCAACTGTTGGATACTTCTCTTTCTCATCTCATTTACTTTAGGATAAATCCTTTTGGATACCCATTTTTCTTAAGGGATTTTTCAACAAAGCTTAATTCTTCTTCCACCTTGTTGGGCGAACATAACTTCCTGGCCCTGTCGTACAGTGCCGCATTTTAACTGATGAAAAATGTCCATTAAAATTTTCGGAAAGAATGGTTACTGAACAAAGAATATTCCTTTCGATAACCTACTCTTCATCAGGTTCTAGTTATATGTATATACATATATATATACAGTGAATGAATTAGTGTTATTAGCAACATTAATGTTGTTTAAACAACATCGAATCAAACTACAAGTCTTATACTTTACACAACCGATGGTGATTCCTCAATTAAAAGATGAAGTACCTAGACTAGACACTTCTAATTGTATCTACCAGTACAACTGCGCCTGTGAAGCGAGCTATATTGGCCTTTGCTCTAAGAAGTTGAATTTTCGTGCTCGAGAACATTAACCAGTGTGGCTAAGTAAAGGTGAAGTAAAAGCCAACAGTTCGATATTAGACCACGTGGTCGAAACAGGCCACTGAAGAATCCTTGTCTATCACCTACCGGGTATCAAATAAGTTTCCGAAAACATCCAGGTACCGCAGACTCCAAACAGCAGAGGCTACCGCCATCCACCTTCAACAACTGGTGTTCTGTGTGCAGAAAAAGCGCATCCGGACACCAATACTGCCCTGGCCCTCTTCAGTAGAGACTGTGAATTCATGAATTTGTATTAATGTCTTTCCTAATTTCTGATATTCAGTGTACTGTTATGTTGATGCTATCGAACTGTGATCCATTGCTATTACTATCGATTGGATGTTATTTAAACAACGTTAATGTTGTTAATAACACTAATTCATTCACTGTTATATATACATGTAACTGTAGAACCTGATGATGAAGTTACCGAAAAGCATATTCGTTGTTTAGTAATCACATTTGCCTTATTTTATAATGTCTGACTAACTGACTGAGTTTCCAACGTAGAACTATGCACAAAAGCGCAGTAGTTCAGATTACCATACTCCACGTAGCACACTAAGGTACAGAAAAAAATTTCAATTGTGTGTATGTGTGTGTGACGCGTGGAAGTTTGGCTAGCTAAACAGACAAACATATTTAGTTGCTTTTCTGTGTTCAGACCAAATATGCTTGGGTCTCAGTCATTACATCAGTAAGCTTCAGTTGAAAGACCACGTGATCTATCCAGAACTATATGACCTACTAGTCACTATCAATCTCCGAATGGTTTCGTCCAGGTGTTAATATGAACGGATGATCTCATCTCACTTTTTTCATTTCTTTTGAGTTCCGAGTGGAATATGAAGGTTCAAAATTGAGCTTTGAAGTTTCAGGTGTAGGAATTTATCTGTTTTTATGAAGTAGGGTCGCTAGTTTCACATCCAACCTTCCCTGTTTACCACACTAACTATACCGGATCAGCAAGGTTTAACAATGTGCCGGCCAGGAATCGAACTCAAGACTGCATACATGGCTTGCAGGCAGTCTACTTCTGAACCACCGAGGCACCGATGCGTAACTCTCTTAATATAGTCACACTATCCTCTCCCAAGCACATCTCAGTCCCTAAGTGACGGTCGACTATCAATTCGTGTGAAGTAGGAAAAACCGCCAATTACACAAAAAGAAACGCGTTACTTACCCATTAGTTTAGCAGCTGTTGATGCTCCGACTAGAATACTTGTATTCGGAGCAATGAAAGACATTCGTGATTCTACATAGGCTAACATTGTAACACGCATTTCTTGTAATTCAATCGCCATTGTACAAGCATCAACAATTCGTGATAATTGACTTTGTGTTAATACAGAGCCTTGTGTAGTTGATGCAGTCACTGAGACAACCATAATTGTTGCTGGTGTTAAAAACGATGCCAACAGATCAGTTTGTTTAGATCTTTCAAGAATATCATTACCTAGCACCTGATTATATGATGGTTGATAGTAAAGTAAGCGGTAATAGATGTTAGTTTACTAATTAGTTAAATATAAAAGTGAAGAGATTACTACAAAATGTATTCATAAAACTGGATTTTTTAAATCGTACGCACAGACTTTGAAAAAAAAAGCCTGCTACGAACTCAATTTACACTCAGTTATCCAGAGGAGGTCGTTGACACACCATCCTATGAGTCACATACATTTATTGTCTCCATAAACGACGTGATACGGCCGAGGGTGGTCTTCCTCTTGAAATGCTTCTATATGACCACGTCTTCATAGCTTTTGACAGGTAAGCCCCGTTCAATGCTTTTACGTGTTGATGATGTTTCTCACAAAAGTGAAAGGATAAATGAGAACGCCTGGTGCTTACAATTGGACTGGTGGACATCCAGGTTTACCTGGGGGAGCTGGAAAACCTTCATTCCAAACTTGTAGTGTACATGAACTTCAGAATCCAAACAGATCGAAAGTCGTAAGAACCTGTGTTTGTGTCAAAGAAAACCATGAGAATGTAGCTCCTGATGCTTCTCCACTGCAGTATGGATCAAAGTTTATGTCAAAAGTCCAGGAGTGGTCCCTAAAGACAATCATCGGCTTCTGTTTGGGTCTCCGGGAAGCATTCCAGACCTCGGACAAACTATGAGTTTTTGTGTGACGCATTTCTTGGTGCTCATAATGTACCGATTTTGCTTTTCAGCAAATAAACAATAAACGCACACACATACACTTATTATGTATGCGGATGGATGAGATTATCCGCTATTTCCACGGATGAAGTAGGTGAAGAAGGGCACCCATAGGCTGAAGGAATATGCCTAAAGCCCATTAACCACATAATTTGTAGGTGTGAATTAAAACGTGACTGATGTAATTTAATGTCGAACGAAGTCGCCTTGTAATGAGGAGTTCTTGGACACGAACCCCCATGAGTGGGTATTGATGGAGAGTCCCAAACTAAGCTGTAATAGCTGGTTTTCCACTGTTTCTCTAGCTAGTGTCAACTCGTGATGAAACCTGTAAACATTCAAATCCCTGCAAATGTTTACAGGTTTCATCACGAGTTGACACTAGCTAGAGAAGCAGTGGAAAACCATCTATTACAGCCTAGTTTGGGACTCTCCATCAATACCCACTCATGGGGGTTCGTATCCAAGAACTTCCGATTACAAGACAAGTTCGTAGACAGTTCAGCCACTGGGATCCGATCCAATGGCCCATGAATTCCAACTTCTACCTCCAACCAATGTTACAGGTGAGTAACTGTTTTTTAATCTAACTTGATGGACACAGCTGGTCACCAGAATTCCAGGTAACTTTTATAGAGCCTGTCGCTGGTGTACATTACATTGGTTATGGGTATCACAGATACGTTTCACAAAACAGGGCATGGTTAATTCCTCACTCCCTCAGTAATTGTATTTTGATTTGTGTTTTATGCGTCAGTTGTGTTATCCTATATTTTACGTCAATGCTAAATAAACATCACTGCAGCTAATGAGACCTCCACTAAATGCCACAGATGAAACCCAAATGGGAAGTCACCAGTTGGATGTAGATCCCAAGATGATATGGAGAGGATCGTGTGTGCAGGAAATGAAATCTTGTCAGTGATAGCGATGTCTGTCGAAAGTGATGGCAGAAAATCAATTGCGATGCAGACGTGCCTCTGTGGTCCTATAATCCTCGAATAACACAAGCAATGAATAAAATATGTAATATAATAATTTTTCCACGTTAGTTTGCCCTCACCACCACCTCCCTCTCTAGACAGTTCTTTAGCCCCGTATATGATGTTCTGCATAAGCTGACAAGAATTCGAATTATAAAATAGTGATGGATATCCGTTTAAAACTTTAGACTTGAAATTTCCAAACTGAAAATGCAATCGCTCTAACATCGTCCTTTTATCTTTTTATTTTATCCCTTTGCTTTCCGACTAGAATATGGGGGTTCAAGCTTGACTTCTAAAGTTTCAGTAGTGCTGCTAATTATTTTTTTACGGAGTGGGGTTGCTAGCCTCATGTCCAACCCTCCCTCTTCACCTGGCTTACTGGAAGCTAAATGAGGTTCAAACGAGTGTGTCAGCTGCGGACCACATCCAAGACGAGTAGTCTACTTGTGAACCATCGATGTCTTCAACATCGAGACAGCGATATTTTTATTCTTTTATAACCGTGATAACTTTAGGCAGTCTGTACCTAGAGTAATAACCTTTGGCCTACTGACTAAAATCTCTATCGCCTACTAAAGGTTAGTAAGTCGTGTGATTAGTCTTTCTTATCTGCCTCCATACAATGGTCGTACATAGCTCATTACCAAAACCCGCAAATATGTACAAGATTATTCAGTTTTCAATGCCTTGCATGAATTCATTTTATTACAATTAAGAATAAATTATATTACACTAAAAGCGAAGAAAGTGTATCCACAAATATAAAAATACAACGACTCACTAGTACAATCTTCAAGTAATCAAGAAGACCTGGCACCAAGGACTCGAGCTCAGGAAACCGCATTGAATATATATCTCTGACATATTTGTGAATGATATCTAGACAAATACAGAATTTTATACAACACGAGTATTAATCAACTTTAGCTTACCTTTTACTTATATATATATATATATATATATATATATATATATATATATATATATATATATATATATATATATATATATGGAGAGGTACAAAACTGATACAGATAATAAGACTTTGGTTTTGATCTCAGCTGAAAATTGGTGATAATTAAGAAACAACTGAAGGCACTTTCATCTTACCTAGACTGTACTTTATAGTGAGTACAGTCACAGTTTACGCTTCATATTCTTATGAAGTTAAAATTTAGTACAACACATTTAAGCAGACAATATTGTTTTCAATTAGATTTCATCAGGCTTAACTCTAATATAAATAACTGTACAAAGATGTGCTAAGATTAATGGATAATAAGAGAGGGACTGAAAATATAAATAAGGGGCAGTGATGACGTCGTCGAGTGGTTAGGTCCTAATAGGCCAAGAGAGGCAAATTAGCTGTACAAACATCATCTGAATGCATCGTTTAGGCTTATTAGTTCGAATAACCATCACTTCAGTTATGTGCAGTAGACGAATACGAAGTCCATTGGATGAAACCAGTGGAAGGCGATGAATCACCTTTAATGCTTTTGTTTCTGCTGCAAAATCACTACTATCAACTAAATGTGACAAAACGGAGCTACCAATGGTTTTTATCTGTCCTTTACCAAACCACGATGAGAGATGTTCAGTAAGACATAACTAACTGATGACCTCACCACCATCACCACTTACTTATATCTCCAATCCCTCTCTTATCATCCCTTAATCTTATCATATCTTCATTAAAATGTGGTTTATTTACTTCCCTTACAATCTAGCACTACTTAATCGGTCCATTTATTTTTCTTAGCTTTTATCGACTACTTCTACCTGAACATTTGTTTGTTTAATCATGCTGTTTTTCATTATTTTTGTCATCACAGATAGCTCCAGCTTTTCACCTTTGTTGTTGATAGAGTCATCATTATCAATATTATTCCAACTAATTGCACAATTTATATGCAAAATCTTATCATCATTCTGTTAACAAAACACCGTGATTGGTTTATATTTTAATATTTATTTGTAAAGTTATGTATATTAAAGTTAAGCCTGATGATATTTAATTAAAAACAATATTGTTCGCTTAAATGTATTGTTCTAAATTTTACTATAGGAAGTTAAAACAGCTTAAATTCAACATGTACATGAGTTCGACAATAATGACGAATTAAAAAACCACTGACTAGGTCATTGCCTAAGTCTAGACTGATTTCTGTGTATCAAACAGAATGTTCCTTTAATTATTCAATTCAGTTTTAGACTTCCCCGTTGACTGGTTGGCCCGAAGTGATCAGCCTCAGGACTACAGTGCTAGTCACACTTTCAGTTTACTTCAAGAATGTTCCTCAGTTTAGTCAGAAGTTAACAGATACCCGTCTTCTGTTAGCTTCAAATGTGTATACAGATTTGCGTTTAGTTGCCCATCTTCGATTTTTTTATGAACGCATACCGAAAAGTCCACGATTGTGAGGAAGTAAGTCGTTGAACAACAGTGCAGTCAGAAGACATTTAAATGGCACAGGAAATCAGGTGGACATCTTGAATTTCTTTTCAAAATAATAACCAAACAAACAAGCTCTAGTCTCCTGAAGTTCGCAGAAGCCATCGTTATCAAACGATCGAAACCTGACTATTTTATGCATCCAAAAAGAAGCTATAGTAAGTATTTCTCACAAGAAAATATTCCATATTTCACTAACTTAAAATTTCATTTCACCAATATGCCATCATTGCTACACACTTGCTTTACCTCCAATGTTGTAAAGTATGTTAAAACTGTAATAGAACCATTATGTTTCATTATACAGGTTGTATAAAGATGACAAGATACCAACGAAATAAACAATAGATTCGTTTTATCCAGGCCCCGGTGTTGTTATTATTACTTTGTTCAAACTACGAGACAGTCCATTATTTCTCCTAGTGAATAGCTTCGATTCTATTGATAAAGGTTACACCTACCAACAGATATAACTGATTAAAATGGGATTCATTATCACGAGACTTATCCTATAGATCCTGCTGGATTAAGTGTTTCTGTTTTACAATAATCTTTGTCAAGCTTTCTATGGATTGTTGCGACAGTTAATGAATTATTGTTATTTTTTTAAATGCAAAATTGGTAGATTATGCACTTCGAGAGATGCGCTACACAATTATAAATATTGAAAATAGGTAGAGAATGAATGAAGGAGGCCATCGAGGAGGCTAGTAAGCATACTTGTAAAGACTATCCAACATTCATCGCTTCATGTCACTTTCAGAAAGGGTAGAAAGAAGGAAACTACAGCACACTTACAACAGTGATAGCTATTCTTGACCATATCTGGAAACATGTCTAACCGCCGATTGAAACTATCTCTGGAACTTCAACCTGGAAGCCATGATGTACAAACTGATACTAACCTAACACAGGTATTCTCCACCTGACGACGATGTGTTATAGCCTGACCATCTCCCTACTTTCTAGATGCAGTCCCAGGGCTAGCGAACAGCAACTGGTACTGTACCTTCTGGGATTACATCCATGACACATATTTAGGCTACGGAAGCCGGTTTTTCACCACGACCGCCATCATGTTCGAACACATGCTACCTGACCTCAGAATTATTTACACAATGATGCCATGGGACAGAAGCAATTCAACAGAGAGAGAAATGATCTTAGACTCAGAGTCACCGCATATCCTTAGCTCGGAGAGAGCAGGTTTCAGAGATGCAGAGCAAGATTGAGTGCACCGAAGCATTGCAAACCCAACCATTAACAACCACATTGATGTGGCCAGAGGTGGACTAGATTGACGTATGCTATCCTAGCTTTCACTGTACGATTAGACATCTTATCCAACAGTTAATAACAGGTTCTAGATATAAGAATACAACTGGGCTTTCGACTTCAGTCTACTAAAGTCGTTAGCAACGTTCATTACAACATTACAGGAATGCCAAATCATGCATACAGAGCATTATTTAAGACTTGGGGAATATAACTGATTGCTGGACGACACAATGCTTGTGTGCTTCAGTATGTGTATGAAATTTCGGAGTCAATGAATTCAATGGACTGAAATTTAAAATCTTATATACAACAATCAAGACTGATGTAAACAGGGTAGGAAACAGAGAGAGAGAACGGAGCAACTCATCTGATGCCTGCAGCAAATTGACATTTGAACCTGGAACCTACTCACAGGGACCTGAGTGTCCAAACCAATGGGGCACACTACGACAACAGATAAAGTAAGAATATGTTAATTCATATATAGACTGCGTGTTTTAGGTGGTGGTGGCTATCGGTGGAATTCAAGATCTGTTTCGTGTTACTGGGGCTCGTCGACCTGACATACCTACGTCTCCAGTGAACATCATTACTTAATGGGAACATAAGTATCTCCAACTGACAAGTTCCAAACAGAACGAAATGTGCGTTGTGTATTCGACTATTAGCCGCTATCAACCAAATTAACATCATGTAAACCTTCAGATATCGTCAAAGTATCGGTGATAGAAGCCAACAGGTCAACAGATATCAAGCATTCCGGTGAATTGTCTAACCCTATTTCTTAGCAAACAATAGAAAAAAAGAAACTTACTGATTTCATTATCTATTTCCACCATAAGATTGTTAGCTTCAACAATACACTGATATTCGGGATCAGCTTCAACAGGCCCATGTATTCGATCACTTTTCTTTTGATTAGCAAAATAATCAAGATCTGACATGACTTTGGTTAGCTGAAATGAAAACAAAAAATTGTAGTGAAAGATATTAGGAGGCATGAAGTTGCGCTTTTATCTAACTGAAACAAGGTGAACACATTTATGCAGGATACTATTTAATATCATATTTCCTCCTATTCAACGTGCAAATATTAAATATGTAGCAGAGTTACTCCCACTTCTTGTACGAATCTTTGTCTAAATATAACGTATCGAGTTAATATTGGTTAGATATGATGGTTTCTTGCATACATGTACTGCATAGGCGATGTTAGGCAAGTTGCAAACAAAACACTTTGCAGTGCAATAGAGTATAAGTGAACAAAGACATTTCACTTAAGAAGGAAATGATGGAGATTATTTTCCGACTAAATCTTTTCAATTGTATGTTTGCATGAATTTAATTGATTTTGGTCTTGATCCCGAATTGACTTCAGTTAGAGAACCGTTGAAAACCAAGCAGAACTGGACAGCTGCCGTTTCGTCTTCTTTCAGGACCACCCCTAATCATTTGCGCACCCATAACCCCATTGCAGATCGAACCCAAAACACCTTCAGGTCATACCATATCGCGAATTGGCACAAGTCACAATTCATGGGCTATTGGATTCCGTCCCAGTGAATGAACAGTATTCGAGTTCACCTTTTAACCCTGGGTGAGTACTGCCAAAGATTCCCGAACAAGGAAGAAACACCTGTCCACAGTACTCCTTGGTTTGCAGTGGCTCTCCAATTGAAGTCAACTAGGGATCAAAACTCTAATTCTTTTCAATATTTAAAGAGAGCAAAGAATGGGTAGGTCTGTAATAAAATGTGGTATCAGTCTCTGAGGTCACTGATGGTCGTTCTGAACCAAACAATCAAATGCCAGGGTCACATAGATGTACTCACACTTTGAGTTGACTATTACTCATGCTATATTCCTCTGTTATTCCTGCCTGACTGGTTGAGTTTCAACAGAAATGTTGCTTCTCAGTATACCACATTTCATATAGCACACTAAGGAAGGGGAGACTGAAAACGGGAGAGAGCATAGTAACATAGAAAAACAGGAGGGTTTAAAGGATGTGCTAGAATACATATGCTCTAATGAGAACGATTTTCAGCCATATCATCAATAGTTTTCAGACACTGGTACTTAAAATCCTGAGGACCCCAACCAGGCTGTCTTCATTTCCTCCAACTGTCATAGACTTCGTGCACTAATGCTTGTTTTTGGTTTGAACGCCCCCAAACTCTTTTCCGACCCAACCTCGTGTCAGCTGACATTGCTCGATGAGGAAGGTAGTAGCTTGGCGTGTGCAACACGTGCCCCAGTCATCTCAACCGAAGTAACTTAACAACTTTATCAATTGACTCACCCTCCTTACTTAACAGTCCACACCTAACCTCGATATTACTCACCAAATTATACCATCTATTAGAGGAGATAGAACGTAAATATCTGTTATTCCTATTGTCTTTTGTAGTATTTCATAGCCTTTGGTTATATAATTTTTATTTCTTGGTCATATTAATTACCATTCCTTTGATACGCAGATATAGGATGTGAAAGCTGAGACAAGATTTCCAGGTTTTATGTTGATAATGCTTATTTTCAAGTACTGGTTTTGCAGGGATTTTGTTTCATTGGATGGATGATTTCATCATCAGCTGACATCAGTTAGAGAACCACTGGAAAACCTGGGAGTACTGGACAGCTGTTTCCTCCCAGCTTGGGACTCTTCACAGCGCGCACCCACCGGGGTTGGAATCCAGGACCTTCTGGTTACAGTTGGGTAAAACAGGTTGAAGATGAGGCACTGCGAAATGGTCGCGCTATGTCGTGAATTGGCAGAAGTTAGAATTCATGGGCCATTGGATTGGGTCCCAGTAGCTCAATGGTCTACGAGCTCGCCTTGTGGCCGGGAAGTCCTGGGTTCGAACCCCGGTGGGTGCGTGCTGTGAAGAGTCCCAAACTGGGACAAAACAGCTATCCAGTACTCCCAGGTTTTCCGGTGGTTCTCTAACTGATGCCAGCTCATGATAATGCTTATCTTCATCTATGAGTCTGGATGAATCCGTACACTAACACTGATTCTAAAACATGGCACAAAGAAACTAAACTCTAATTCGCAGCACCACATGGATTTCAACCACAAACACAATTTGTCCATAAACCTTTCAGTCTTAATCCGACCACTAACAAGCCTCTTTAAATGTACTAAAAACTCACTATATATAGAAGTATAATTTAACACGATCAATTTGGAATCTCAGCACGACTGAAAAGTAATATATGAGGCAGTTAAGAATTAGTCTCACGATAGCTGCAACCTTGACGTGATGATCAGACTTGCAAATCACAATGATCCGAGTTACACTAGTTGGAACGAATATTCTTACAGGTCCCACCATACTGGAAATATCAATGGATGGTGGTTGAAAAGGGGCAGTTACCATCACGGTGTAAGTCACTGATATTAAGTTGAGGCTCTAAATGCACAGTTCTACTGTTGGCGAATAGGTGTGTAACAGCAGTAAGGTGTTTCCTTCCGGCAACTAGCAAGCCAACTATGCTACGTCTCCGTTCTGAGGAAGGAGAGATTACGAAATGACGACCCGAAAAATTATACATTTCAACTTAACCTAAGGCAGTTTATAACCGACAGGTAGGATCTTAATATGGACATAACTCCAAGAACCCCTTCAAACAAGCCGCGTATGACTGGCTTTAAGCAGCTGTCCACTGGGCTCTGCGACCACGCAACACTAATGCTCTTTCTGTTCCAGTTGTTTTAAGAATAAATTAGCTTCCACAGTGGTGGGAAGTGATAATTGCATAGAAAGCTCAGGGGTTGGGCGTCATTCACTCATTATATATCTCGTATTACTTCAGCTCTTGTGTCATTCTATTTAGTTCTGTAAAGTTAGCTCACCTGCAGTCCTTTTCATTCAAAGTTCTAGACAATTTACAAGTTATTGTGATATGAATACTATGGAGATAGTGTTTCATAGAATGAAATTATGAGAAATAAACTTTTAAGACCCGTCTAGTAAAGTAAAGCCCAATAAAATGGATTATAAACAATGGAGAAACACACAATTATCTAAGCACAAGAGTCTAATCAAGTTCTATAAAAGCTCACCTTATCACTATTTCTCAATTTTGCATAAGCACTGATTGGAGCATCAGCAAATGAAGTTGCTTTAAATGCACTTTTAACTCCCGAACTGGTTCCATCTGACAGAAAATCATCCAACTTGTTTACACTTGATAAAGTAACATCTTCTAGTTCATGAAGACTTGAGTCAGCAATTAATTCCTCAGATGTCTCTGCTCCTTCAAGATCAGCCAAAAGTTCATCAGCTAACGACATTTGTTACACTAACTAGAAGAAAATAAAATGTGATGTGATAACCTGGAATTCGATAAAATAAAAAGTAAGAAATGATGAGAGTAATAAACAGACTGACAAACTGAAATTAAATGAAATCAATTAATCCCAATTTCTAAAATTAGCAATAGTAAAAATAGGCATATTAACATACCATGATAAAATATGGTATGATGACTAAACAAAACATAGACTAGGATGAATAAATGTGATAAATTAAAAAGACAAACTATTCATGTCTAATGTCACACAAACCCGAAGACTGACAGATGCAAGCCAACAAGGTGGGAGGAGTAGCGGCGAGGACATGACTTCAAATGAACCTGGAGAAGACAGAGGTGATGAAGATACCTAACCGACAACAACAACAAGAACCAATCACCAACAACGGAAGAAATCTAAAGGAAGTTGCCCCTCAAATAAAGTATAATTATATTTCAATAGTTTACGCACAATGATAAGTTTTGATATTGGTAATATTTCGAGCAAAATTACTGCCCGTGTTCACACCACTGTTGGAATTGTTTTATGAAATATTATCAATTTCAAAATTGATATGATTATGAACAATAAATTGTGTTCGAAACGTCATCCAGTAAATAATACTATTTCACTGTGTGATACATCTAAGAGATCGGCTACGTCGGAAGAATGAGTGTCTACATTCATTTAGAACTGGGGTTTCACAAGCAAACGTAGGCCGACTCAACCACTTTTGAAAGTTTCATCCTTAGCGTCTCAGCTTTTTATCGCCTCAGAAAATATTGAAGTCCTATTTTTTGGGGGGGATCATTCTACTTACCATAAATTTTTAGGGACTGCTTACTACATAGGCCTAACAAGTTGAAAGGTATTACATATTGCTGATGCCTACTGAACTTTTGTCATCTGTCCGTTCACACTTGCTACCAAAGCGCACATACGTACGTCTCTCGCTTTTTACTAATTCAGAGGCTCGTGGGATTACTTTCCACGTAGTAACCAGTGTGGATAAAGCTAAGGGAAATCCAATGTCATTTACCTATCACTGGCTGCAAGAAGTGTGGTACTAGTACTAGCAGTTCACCATCAACTACTCAAAGATTTTACTTATACAAAATACTCGGTTTAAAAGATACTCCTCCATTTGTATATTTACAAGGGGATTCATTGATGTAGAGGGTTAACTTTCGAACCAGTGTTTGAAATCGAAGCTTGTATTATTTCACTTTACCTTAATTGGGAAACACAAAACATGTATAATAAAACCACTGTATTTTCTAGGTCGAATGTAGCTATACCGGTGTATTCACTATCTCTTAAAGTCATCACTGAGATACAGTCCCTGAATGTGCTCGAATCGTGGAAGCCGTATCATATGATTTTATTGACCTACACAGTCATTACCCGTATCCAGGACTATTAGAAGAATAACAGAGACATTACCAACGCTAATGAATTAGGAAACACAATCGACTAACAAGTGAAATGTGGTATTTTATACTCTGAACTTTCTGTTGTTGAATTATGGAAGCCTTCAAAATCCATTTATACTGAAGAGCATACGACCTTTAATACCTTTTTTATTATAGCTTGGTTCCGTACAGTATATTTGTCAGAAGTATGGGATTTTCAGCATGTGATATCGGTAGCCCAAATTTTACAGACCGACCAATTGATATCGGCTGTGCGTCGGTAGGGGCTTCGAATCCCGAACCATTTGCATGGTCGGCGAGAGTCCTAACTGCTGTAGCCCCGATGCTGAAAAATTAGGGCTTTCAACTTCTAAAACGCATCACAACAGATAAGCTTATATATATATATGAACAAAAATAGTTAGAGCGAACAATAGTTTTCAACAAATTCTGCTTCAGGTTCTACAATTATAAATTCATTAATTTAAGCACACAACCACCAGTAAAGGCAAATTTGAATGATATCAGAAATGTGTTGTGGAACAAGCGTAAAACCTGAGCAGGGGCTCTCAGTTATCTAAAGTGTTCCTGATAATATACTTGGAGTTGCTCGACTACGTCTTCTATCATTAGCTAGAGCGGTAGTAATCAATGCCACAACACCTGGTCTCTGAATACAGAGGTATGTCCAACCGCCTTGTTTACTTTGGCCTACAATAAGGTCAGCAAATCCTCCATAAACGTTCGCACGTTAAATTTCCATCCCATTTATTTTTCTTTTCCCTACTCTTTTCCTTTGTTTCATTGACAAAAACTTTATGAGGCTTCTGATTATGTCTGTTACCTAAGGCTTATGGAAAGCTTTTTAAACTTGTTATTGTGTTTACACAATTTTGTTGAATTCACTTCATTAAATAATACTTTTGTGTTTACGCCACATCATCATTATTACTTCATTATTATTATTGTTGTTGTTATTTGTCACCCTTGAACTTACATGTACTCCGTCCCATTTGTTGGTTTATTTTCTGTAGTATTCATATTGTCTCATACACCACTGATTACACTCACCCTTAAAACCTGTAATTTTGTTGACTATATATATATATATATATATATAGATATATATATATTGTTATCTTATCTCATGTTCTCATTGAACATGCATATTCAAAAATGGACTATTGTTCCACCCCATCTTATACTAGTTCCACAGTACATTTCTGATATGATTCTAAATTGCCAGTACTGGCTATTGTATGCTTAAATTGATAAATTTATAATTATAAAGTCTGGAGTTTATTATTTTTTCCTTGCGTTCCGAGTGGAACATAAGGCTTGCAAAAAACACATCTCCACCGTGATCTATTTTTGCCGTCGCTTCCCATTTGGATTTCACTCGAGCGGCGGCCTGGCGTGCGATGTCATTCGACGGTCTCCTCAGTGTATGTCAATCCACCTACATTTTCTCCTACATATTTGTTGAGCAACCAGCTATTGGCTGGGTTTTCTTTCCATAGTTTCTTGTTGCTTATTCTTTCTGTCACATCAAGAATTTATTCAAAAAACTGTCCGCTCTAATTTTATGCATATATATAAAATTATATTGTACTACGTGGAAGCTGTAACTTCACACTATTTTATTACATGAGAGAACCACTAGACTATATACCCAAGTAAAAAAATTTCTGTCAACTCAGTGCGAAATTCTGGGGATATGCAACCCTTTCCCAAACCCTAGCAATGAACCAAAATACTCCGAAATCGCCCCAGATTGTTTTTATTTGGGTATAATTACCGACAGTAAATCATATTCGTAATACGATCCAATAAATAGTTTTCTTTCTTTCCGTCTATGTAGTACAGTACTGATATGGAATTGACTTTATTTGGTTTATTTGGGCTATACGCTGACTCCGACTCTAAAACTTATGTGAATAAGTTAACATGAGTTTCAGAATTATTGCCAGTGAAAGCACGATCAAGTCGCATGCCTTTCAATATTTTCAAACTTTATATTTCTAATCATCACAAGATGACTCATCGTTATACGATCTGCGAACATTAATTTACCGTTTGTAGAGGAATAACTGAATAAAACCAACAATTCTTGCTTGATAAATAAATAATTTATCTAGCATCTATATCTTAGTGATAAACAATTGTTAACATGATCTAATAATTGCAATGACTTACGACTTACAGATTATAAGGTAACAGAAATGCAACGTACCGCAGCCTTCAAAATACCCACCACGAACTACCTTTCACAAGTCGGAGATTAAGTGGCTTATGGTAATGTTAGGCGAAAAACATGTGTGTTTGAACTCTATGCCAGTGGAGTTTCAGTTCAGCCACATGAAAAACATGGATTGGTGTCCCAAGACTTTGGGATGAACGACTAACTTGACTAATTCAGAGAAGAAATATACATTCCTTTTCAATCAGTTTCGCATCATGAGCTTTAGACTAATTTATGTTTTTGTGTCAAAATCGTAGAAACTGTGTGGCCATTTTAGAATTATAATTTTGTGGTATTGGGGGGAGAAGGGAAAAAAGACTAGAAACAAGATATCCAAGTTCAGGAGGAAAGATGGATAAATAATAATAATTTATATTTTCATATAAACATAAATTTACATGAAATGCACGCCAGTTTTACAGGCACGATCAAGTATGTTATAATGTCTAATCTTAGATTGTCTACAAGTTAATAATGTTTCAACAGTCAAACATTTGATATATATATAATTACAGTCATTGTCTGAACCAGGCCGTATAATTATTGAATTGTACAGTTGTCCTCCAGGTGGAGCGGGAAAATCGACTTCGTTTCGTTTTCATCCCGTGGCTGTAGGCATACGATAGCCAACCAATATTGAGGTAAGTACAACGTTTACAAGGGACTGCAAGCTGTTTTAGAAAAGTTAAAGTGCTAATGTGAATCATTAAAGTGTAATAAATTAAGTAAGTGCAATGTATCATTAATAAATACATTTATATAGGAAACAGAATGGGGAAGTAATTAATCCCTAGGCTGACAACGTTCATTTGTAATGTATAGTGCTACCTATATAGTTCGTACTATCATGATGTCCACTTTTGGCTTCAATAAAATTATTTTCAAGCCAGTTGTTTTTATTTCATACCTTTTTGTCTACTTGGTGCACAGCCGTACCCTACAGAGAATAGGAATAGAATAAGTCGAATCAAATTCATATAGAGCTATAAAATGTTAGGTTTAATGGAATATAATGAGGATCAAGTAAAGACGTTATTAGAAAATGAATGAGATAAGACATTGTGACATTGATTCGACTTATTCTATTCCTATTCTCTGTAGGGTACGGAATTCATAATCAGTTAATTCGTAGAAGTAAGCAACAATTCATTTCACAATCCAAAAACCTACTGGTTAGAGATTAATAAAAACTGATTTTGAATCCCCCAGCTATCTTCACCCTCCCTATTCCAAACATTAGATTTCGAGCTGCTAACATATGCTAGTTAATTGTTTTGATAATTTTGTAGCGGTAACAATAATAATAATGCATTCCCACTTTTGTACATGAGGGTCGCCAGTTTTCA